GATTAGCATCTGCGTTGACAAACACAGTGAGCGGTCCCAAGGCGAAGAATCCTTCGCGTTGGAAATCCTAAGGAGGACCTGAAGACCAGATATGTAGGTTCGTAGGAGGACCCCACCCAAGATGAATAATTATGGGCGATCTTTATGCTAGCACCGGCTCCTTGCTGGGACCGTTAATGCTCAAGTTGAGTCGCGGGGTTCCAGAGGGATATATGTGCGTATAGTCGATCGATTCCAGGGTTGTTCGCCTGCCAGGCAGGCAGCCTTTAGGCTTGAGGCTTGAGGAGGGAGTTACCTGCGGCGTTTTGCTTTGGCATTCCAAAAATCTCCTTACCTTCAATTGATGCGCTTGGCTTTGTTAGAGAGAGAAAATATTCACGCGTATTCCGCCGAAACTCGCTAATGGTCACAGCAAGTCATCCGATCGGATGCGATGTACCATCCACAGGCATGTTTCACCTTGGTCCCCGCCTGTGTTATTAATGATGGAAATTTGAAAATACAGAAGGTTCAATAATTGCAACATCATTGGGCCTCCTCGATTTCTCAACCTTCGGACTGACTTTTGTCCCCGGGGCCGTAAACAAATTGCTGGCATTTCGCCACACTTCCCAAACTAACACACGCCCGTCCCTGAGAATCAAAGATCCTATACATCCCAGTGCATATATACACGTTTTAGAGTATGAACATGGTTTTATAGCCCCGGTACCTATCCCTTCGATCCTATAGTACGATCGGCAGCACTGCGTTTATATTGCAGCAATTTCGTATCAATTGAATAGTTTCCACGAATATGCACAAAGGCCATAAAACGCGTCGCGTGGTGAAGGCTCAGATGCAGATACACAACACTATCAGCTAAACTAACCGGTAGAAGGACAAACTCCGGCTTCTGCCCTTCTGTTTATGCCAATTTTTATGTACTATACAAGCTTCACCTTCACTTTGCCATTGCTTGGCCTGTTGCCTGATGCCTGATGCCTGTTTCTGTTCCTGTTCCTGTTTGCCTGTTTTATTGGCCTTTTTGTCATTGCAATTCACGTGTAAAACAAGCCGAATGCTAAGTTTCCTTTTTGGACCGTTTTTCCCCCGCCTCTCCCGACCCGGTTGATCCTTAAAGCCAAAACCCAAAACTCAACGATTGCGCGTGCACGCCTCTGAATTTGTTTACATTGCGCGCACGCCGCTCTGTTCCAGGTTTTCTCTTTTTTTCGATTTTAAAGGCGCACGCCCGGAATCCGGAATCCTGAACCCTGAATCTGGAATCAAGTAATGAACAAATAAACACTCTTCTGACACTGAACCATTCCCCTGAAATGTTGCCATCAAAGTTATTTAAACACTTTACTGATGGCCTTGGCAATAGGTCTAAGAACTTAATTCAGAATACTTTTATTAAATAAAACTATTTGAAATAATAATTAACCCTTAACCTGCTTCAAAATCGTGAAATACTTTACCTCTAAATAATGTCACTATAATTATAAATTACTTTGTCTCTTCATGTCTCAACCACTCCTGGTCCGATTACCACTATCTTTCAATACTCGATTTCCGCAATCAGTTTCTGCCCAACTTTGATTACTAAACACTTTTGTTTTTTTTTATTTACTTTTTAGTTTAAACTTTAAAGTATTCAAATGATTGCTTATCACCAGCAATCGCAACCATTGACAAGTTGCAGTTAAGCTCCCGTCCGAGTATGCCGGGCATGTTTGTCGGGACTTAATCGGCCCTCGATGAGGAGCTTCTTCACAGCAGAGAAACAAAAAGCTAGATAAGCTATCGACGAGGACCTGTCTGTGGACTGGCTTATATCAGCTGAAACCCCTTGAGTGACGAGTTGCAGACACCCAATTCAAGTAGCTCGTGCAGCTCACCTTAATGCGCCCCTTGGCATTCGGCATGCAGTTTTCAGTTTTTCAGTTTTCACCATTCAGTGTTCGGGGCACTCGACGGGGGACAGGAAACTGCAGCTCCAAGTGACCGCCACTGCAACTGCATTTCTGCTCGAGATTGGTCGGGTAGTTATCTGCTGTCAGTCCCCAGTTAGCCTGATAGCTACCCGTCATTGTCCAGGGGCACGAGTTTCCAGCAACTAGCAGGGGAAAGGTTTGCACTGCGAAAAATAGGCGACTAAATTCCTAAGACATGAAAGGCTTTGATAAAATGCATTTAGGGACATTTTTCTCAGTGCTTTGGCCTTTGTCCAGTCTTAATTGGACCACTATGCTGGTCCCCAGTAGGTCCTACTCCCTCATCCAATCTCAATATCCTTGGCAGCTGTCTGGCCAACGACGCCCGCTGGGCACACATGTCCTGCCATGTCCTTTGATTGCCTACTAATCCCAGTCATCGATGCCCGGGCGACAATCGAAGTAAACAGCCAGACAAATGGGCAAACAAATGAGTGGCCCGGGCGTGTGTTTGTCCTTAAACTCTGCGAATTGGATCATAACTGCGAAATGCTGAAATCTGTGCAAACAGCGCTCTAATTAAGTCCTGCAGCGAGGGCCGACATAAAAGGGACCTCGGCCCCAGCTCCAAATGGCTGACCATTAAATTGGAGACAATGGGGGCGCGTGTTTTCTGAATTGCGTCACAAGAGCATTGACTTTTCCAGAAATCCGGGGGAAGAGGACTGATGTCACTCGGTGGCGAAACAATAGGCATTTGAAAAGAGAAAGGAATGCCCTAGTCGGGTCCTGAATACCTATCTAGTTCTCTATTAAATTGAAATGTCTAAGATTAGCCAACATTTCTTAGAAAACTATTTATCCCAAGTAGTAAAAAATATTTCAAAACCATAGAGTAGCCTTTAGGGACTAAGATAAACCCACCAACAAGCACTAAGAGCTTCGGGAAAATGCACAGAAATTCAATAAAATTAAAAAACCAGGATCCTGATAAGGCAAGACCAGAAGTGCCTAGAGTAAGTGGGAGTGCCAAATGGGGCGTTTCCCATGAGTATTTCGCATGACCCCTGGATCTGGCCCCAAAACTCCAGAGAGAGCCAAACTATTTCCCCACAGAATTAAAAAATAAAGCCGTAAAACAGCTCTCAACCCGATGGACGGAATATCAGCAATCTGGGCTTATTATAATGGGGGCGTCAAAGTCGCATCGAAACTACCGCTCAGAGCCACTCACAGCCACCAGGCATCGCAGCTCAATATCTAAATGGCAGTGCACTGAAACAAATATTTTCCCTTTAAAAATAAGCCTTTCTTATACCACAAATAGAATAAAACCAGAATTTTTTTCCTGTGCATCTGTGAAATATAATTATTCCCATGGGCACCTACTTATCGCCTGGAATGTTCACTTTTAATTGCCCCGCTTGTCGAAGTACAATTCGCTCTGACTGTGGCATTTGCTGTTGTTTAATTTTTACACACTTTTTATCGAAAACGAAAAGAACACTTTACCAAGAAAACACTTAACGTTAACTGGCTGTTATCGAGTGTGAGAGTGAGTGTTTTCCAAGAGCCAATCGGCAGTGCCAGGGCCTGGGAAGTGGGTCGATAGAACGCCCACGCCCCACATCCACTCCCCCACCTCGGGAAGTTCCGTTCCCCATTTTCCCCCGGTTTTCCCCCTGGAGGGTTTTGCAGGCGCCTAACGAGACATCATCAAGAGACTTCATCGAAGCTAAGGCCAGAGGGGCCATCATTTCAAAACTCTTCTTCCGGATCGAAATCAGAAACACTTGAAAAATTACGATAAATTTATTTTGTAAATAGAAACAAGAATATAATGGTATAAATAATGGGCCTTTCAAATTGAAATTTAGTTTATAACTTTAATGCGTTGGGCTCCACTGGAAATCTATATTTTTTTTGAAAATTTTTCCCTAGTGCATTTCTAGGCTGGGCAGGCACTTCAAATTACCGCCACTAATCTTTGCGGGCATGTCAGCCGGACCCGTACCAGGACCCGTACGACAAACGGCAGAGCCCAAAATTCAAAATCCAAAATCCATAACCATAACCAGCGACGACCGACGACCGCAGCTCAAAGTGCAAAGTGCACTTGACAGACAGCCAGCCCAGCCATCCAGCTGCTGCAGCTGAAAAATGTACATATCTGTATCTCTGGGCGAGGTTGGCCCTCCTTGCTGGTGTATCCATGTCTTTGTAGAATGTCCCATGGGTGATGCATCCCATTGGATGCAGTGAGGCCTGCAGTTCGACTGGCAATTACATTATTATCGCTACACATCGCTTGCGGTTCAATTAACGCCTACTACTGTCCATTATCGTTTTGTTTGGGGGGCGTGTTTCCGAATCGTCATTTCAATTCAATTGTCTAGTTTTGATATCTTGAGGCTCTTTGAAATCGAAGCTTAGACATGTGACTCAAGTTAAATTGACACTTAACCATTGACACTTGATTCATTGATAAGATTCATTGCTTAAGAGGATAATTAAATATCTATATATATTTTTCTGGTCAAGGATATAACGAGGCATCTTGTAAAATGAGAAATTGAATAATTTAAAGTGCTAGAAACTTATCTATTTTATTAAAATTGTGTTATTTTATTATGAAGATAATAGTTTTTCCAAATAATACAACAATATTCTAAAAAATTACTTTTAATTTCACCGCTCTAAGTGGCGCCACCTACTTTCATTATCGCTCAACTAGGTGGCATCTCTAATGCCCCACACACTTGCCCGCATAAGTATGCTACGAAAAATGTACCCTTTCAAGTAGGCTATGATTTTTAAGAAATTAACAGAGAAAGTAACAGGAAGTGGAAGCCACAGAAAAATGGATGCTGAGAACACATAAATTCTTTAAAATAAACAAAATGGCTGCATTTATTATAAAAAAGAAACTTTTTTCAATAAAAATCATATTAAATATATAATAATAGTATAATTTTTAATTAATAAATTTAAGATTTCATTGATCTATCGATATTGCTATCGATTGCTTATTAGTTCCAATTGGAGCTTTCCAGCGGAAGCCCCACAAGTGCATTTAGACGGGAACTGCACTCTCCAATCAAAAACCACAACAAACACTTCCCTCGATTAACGACTAATGAGCCAAGTGGAATCAATAATAAACACAATGGACGATAAGGTTTTCAGAGAATGGAAATCTGTTGAGTTAAGTAACCGATTCATTTGGTGGAAAACAACGAAACGATGACGACGTCGTGGATGCCCAACGGAGTGTTAATTGTATTTTTGTGGATGAGCTTGATTGCGGGGATTCCACGCTCGGTTTCCGCTGGTAATGTTCTGGCCGTCTACCCCCACTTTGGTTTCAGCCACTTCAAAGTGGTGATGCCCATTCTCAATGAGTTGGCTAAACGTGGTCACCGCATCACGGTGATCTCATACGTGAAGAATCCCCAGGCCAAGGAGCTGCCCACCTACGAGGAGCTACTCATTACCGCCGCCGACGAGGATCAGTCGAGTACCACCATTAATTTGGTGCCCCTTTCGGAGAATACAGCCACCAGATCGTTGGATGTCCTCTTCCGGGAGTACCTGGCTCTCCACGAAGAGGGTCAGGAGACGTGTGAACGTCTCTTCGGCAGTGGTCACATACAGACAGTACTTCAAAGGCATAAAAAGAAGCCATACGATCTCCTACTCACCGAATACTTCAACTCGGATTGCCAACTGGTCTTGGCCAAGTTAATGGAGCTACCGATCATAGGCCTAAGTACTTGTGCCCTGATGCCGTACTACTACGATCGTATTGATCTGCCGGATACACCTTCATTCGTCCAATCTGAGTTTGTGGGCTTTGCCGGTTCTCTCAAGTGGCATGAACGCCTCGTTAACTTCATTCAGGCCAAGATGCTGAAGCTCCTCTACAAATACCATTCCAATGCTGCCGATAATGCTCTCATCAAAAAATATCTTGGCGTGGACATAGACACTGAGGAAGTAGCTCGCCAACAGACTGCTTTTATTTTTGGCAACCAGCACTACTCTCTGATGGGCAGCAGACCCCAATCCCTTCAGTTTGTGGAGGTGGGTGGTGTCCACATCACCAAAAAGGCAGAAAAAGATCTTCCAGAGAATATTGCCAAGTTCCTAGATGCATCAAAGGGTGTAATCTTTATCAGTTGGGGTTCCATGGTGCGAGCTTCAAGCATAGACGAGGATAAACTGAATTCTATCATAAAAGTTTTGACTGAACAGGACTTGAAGGTGATTTGGAAATGGGAGGCCAATGAAACCCCCAAAGTCGATGGTTCCAAGTTTCTTTTTGTCAAATGGGCACCCCAATTAGCTCTGCTTTGTGAGTATTTGGAAAAAATGCCCTAAACTGGTTTCAAAAAAGTCAAGAACCTGATCGTGAAAACCGGCTTAGGGTTGTTTACATTTTAATCTAAAATATTTATATATCTATGTTCTTCCACAGGTCACCCCAAAGTTAAACTATTTTGGTCTCATGGAGGATTACTTGGCACTACAGAGTCTGTACATTGCGGCAAGCCCTTGCTGGTCACTCCTATATATGGTGATCAATTCTTAAATGCCTTCTCGGTTCAAAACCGAGGAATGGGCCTGAAACTGGACTATGAACAGATTACCATAGAAAATCTAAAACAAGCTTTCAGCAAGCTTAGTGAGGCTAGGTATAAAACAACTTATTTAAACAAAATACCAAAATTAATAAAAACCATTCTATTCTAGTTTCTCAGAACGCTCTATCGAAATCTCCAAGATCTTCAACGAACGACAACAAACGCCCTTGGAACTGGCTGTTTGGTCTGTGGAACATGTCATACAACACGGCTTAGTGGCTGCCAAGCTTCTACAATCTCCGGGAATAGAACTAAATGGCTTTATCTACCACTCACTAGATAGCATATTCCTCCTATTAGCCACTATTTTATCCTTTATCCTCTTGGCGCTCTTCTGTTGCCGAGAAAAGTCATCGAAAAGTGCAAATAAAAAGTCTGGCAAGAAGACTAAGAGATCCTGAAGGCAGGCCACATTATTACACATTCAATTCATGACAATTTTGTAAAATATAAAGATATATATTAAGCATTAGTAAAAACTATAGTAGCTTATTTTTGTGGAGGCTCAGTATCGTAGCCGCTGCATGCAGTCCCTGCGGCACTCTTCGAAGGTGAGGAAGTTGTTTTCAGTGGAGGCGCAACCGGTGTAGTAGAAACTTTCGCAGTTTCCAGTATCCTTGTTATAGGCATATCGTAACTGACGGCCGCGACATAAGCCAGGGGCCTTGGGTTGCCTGCAAGCTAAGAGAAATATTTATTAAATAAATAACTTTACTTTCAAAAAGGACACCTCATCCTCACCTATAAGTTGCTTGACCTCCTCGTGCGTCTGGTTCTCCAAGCTTGGCAGGCTTCGGCATAGACTGATTATTCCAAACAGGAGCAACAACACCAACTTCCAGCTGAGAATAACCGACATCTTATCACTTCATAAATACTTAGAAAAATGTGAAAATTTCCACAGCAATTGTTTTTTTTTTGTTAATATTTTTTAGAGTTGAGTTTCCGTAGCGATCTGCACGAACGTCGAGCACAGAATGTTTTCATTTGAAGAGTCTTGCACTTTGACAGATTTTTCTTGGCTTTCTCTGGGCGACAGTTCTACGGCACGGGCACGTAGACAAGCTAGACATTTTGGCCAAAATTCGTTTTCATTTCAGCGTTTCTTCTTATTTCTGCATAGTTTCTGCTGCACTCTTCACGCCGATTGAGTGAAAACGTGTGCCGCGGAGAAGCTCAAATAGAGGAAGTGCCTTGGATAAGGTCAACTGTGCTGGTATCTTTACATGGTAACAAGTAGTTGTCTTTTGCACTTAAAACAATTGCCACCAGCTCAACGAACTCTACCTTACGTGGTACTTGAGTATTATCTTTCCAAAAATGACGTAAATTCGATAGAAACTTGCTCCAGAATTGTTCATCGCATAAATTTGTTTATTCAATTTCTAACTGATTTACTTAAAAAAGAAGACATTTAAAAAGGCATATTATTCGTAAAATAATAGACATGATCGCTAAGACTAAAATGAAGAATAAAAGAGAGAGGCTAGGCTGGATTTTTAACAAATATTTTGGGGGCATGTATGTATGTATGGTCAGGTGTTGCTTCGAAATGTTCTTAAAGACTATATAAGGCAACCCGATTCATAAGTTTCGTATTTTGTGCGTCATCCGATAGATTAACAATGATATTTATATATAATAGTTAGGTTACTAGTAATAGATACAAATATATAGAATTTATACACAATGCACATGGCTAACAGGCCTCTGAACAGGGAAGACAGAGTCTAAAAAAACCTACTTACAATTTATATCAATTCCAAACGAACTAGACACATTCTCTTGCTACAAAATAATAGTTATAAACTCGTTAATAAATTCATTGCGTTGCACATCATGGGGCTATCATCACGGAGATGCATCTACAAGATACCAATTAGATCTAAGACGATGGATGATTGTGTTGTGCTGGTACTCTGGTACTCCTTGCATATCCCTTCTATTTTTTAATTATTTTGTTTTTTTGGCAGCTTTCAGATGCGAGCTGCTGACTGTTGCTGTTGGCTTTGGCGTACTTATGGCGCACTTAAGATCAATATCTCCTCATTAGCTTGTTTCTCTGATCCGCAGCAGAAGCGTTCTTTAGAGAGCATCGTCTTGGAAACGAATCCTTCTTATTCCTTAGAATATATTCCTTCCCTAGAAGTCCTTATCCCATCCAGTGACATCATCCGGTGGCGGTCCCTCTGGATCGGGCGGATAGTCATCGAAGTTCGTGGTGTCCACCACACTCTTGACTGTGGGCTTGATGGGCGGCTCCAGAGTGCAGTTCTGCAGGCCCCACCAGTAGAAGCCATCGAACCATCTGAAAGGGGTTGGAAAAATGGATTAATAAAAGGTCTTTTGATTTTTTTAGGTAATGCCCTACTTGTGCTTCTGTATCTCACTGATTCCCCCACGCTGGTAGCCCAAGCGCTCTGCTGGATTATCGCGGCAGAGTTTCTTGATAAGATTGCTGGCGTTCCGGGTGATGTTCCGGGGGAACTCGATGGCATCGATGCCCTTAAGTATAATGTTGTAGGTACGCATGGGATCTGAGCCGGTAAATGGAGGGGTTCCTATAAAAGAACAAGATCTATTATGTCTGAAAAGCTTTATATATTTTGAGAATATCCCACCTGTTAACAGCTCAAACATTAGCACTCCCAGGGACCAGTAGTCCGCACTGATGTCGTGCCCCCGATTGAGGATCACCTCCGGGGCCACGTACTCCGGAGTGCCGCAGAAGGTCCAGGTCTTCCTGCCCGTCTGCAGTTTCTTGGCGAAACCAAAGTCCACCAACTTGACATAGCCCCGCTCGTTGAGCAGCAGATTCTCCGGCTTCAGATCCCGGTAGATGATGTTCCGGGAGTGGAGGTAATCAAAGGCCTCCACCACACAGGCCGTGTAAAAGCGGGTAGTGCTGTCATCAAAGTTGCCCTTGTCCCGCAGAATTGTCCAGAGCTCGCCGCCCAAACAGCTCTCCATCAGCATGTACAGGTACTTCTTGTCCTTGAAGGTCTTGAACAGCTTCACAATGAACTGGCAGTTGGCCTCGCCCATGATCTCCTTTTCGGACATGATGTGCTGCTGCTGCCTTGTCTCCACAATCTGTGACTTTTTCATTTGTTTCAAGGCGAATGACCGGGAACTGTCGCCATTGGTTTGGACCAGCTCCACACGGCCAAAGCCACCGACTCCCAGGGTGGCAATGACACGGAGATCCGTGAGGTTGATGTCCCGGAACTCCTCGTTGATCCTAAAGGAGATGATTGGTATTCGCAGATTAGTAGTGTTTCTGATTATTATTTGTTTTGAATTTTGTTTGTGAATCAGGCAACGGTGCCCTGAATTCGACTTCCAGCTAAATCTTGATAATGATTCAATTTTCGTTTAATTAGAAGCTTACTTTCTGCGCTCCATGGCTCCCTCGTCGTCGTAGCGATGCTTGATCTCGTCCAGATTCGAAATCAACTGATTGAAGGTCTCGCGATCAATGACCAGACAACTGACGCCTTCGGGGGACTCGCAAATAATGTTGGCCGTCCGGAGATCATCGCTACAAAGCGTACACAGATTAGTTTTTTGAAACTCTCAAGTAGAAATATTATATAAACTCACCCCTGAAGAGCCTTCTCGCCGAAGAAATCACCCTTGCCCAGCATCCGTATGAACTTCTCCTCCTGGGTGTCCTGCTGCTTGATCGTCACCCGCACCTTGCCCTTCGAAATAATGAAGAAGGTATCACCCCGGGCACCCTGGCGAACTATATAATCGCCTCGCTGGTAGTGGGTCTCCTCCAACACATCGGAGATCTTAATGAGCGTGTCATCCGCCAGGTCTTTGAAGATGGGAACACTGTGGGTAGATAAGAGGGAAGCCCATAGAAAAAATTGTAAGTTTCATTCCAGATTATCTTCGTTTCTAGCAAAAGAAAGTGGTGTAATAAGTGGCCGCGTCTGGTTCGATCCAGATAAGAGCATTCCGCAGTAATGGGAATCTCTGGCTGACCTACATCGATCTTCTAGTCATCGAGGCGAGAGTTGCACCTGGAACTCCACCCCATTCCACTTCCTAGTCTTACTCTTTTCTGTATTGCTGCATTACATATCTTAGATCTTTGATTACTGAACATATAGTTTCAAAGCCCTTCAATAATAATTATTTCTCCACCAGAAGATATTCATCTTTGGTTTTCAGAGGGGTTTTCCTCCAGCAAATTTATACAATTATTTTAATAAAAATATTTAGTTGATAGATTTTGATGATCTACAAATCGTTTCAGTTTCAATATTCAATCACATTTCAATATTCGTATTCCATACTTTTCCCACATTTTAGATGAAGTTTTGCGTCGAATCGACCCACATATCTTTCAAGATATTTCTTTTAAATATTGGTTTATTATTTGCAAAAATATATCCTTTAGAAATCAGATAAAAGTAAAATATTGTAAAAGTAAAAAATAAATATCCTTCTTTTCCGCTCTAACCTAAGGCTAGTATTTTTTGTTTGTCCAGATACATGTATCTATGTATCTTGAATCCCATAGTGGCAGTTGCAGCTGCAGCTGAAGTATCTTTATCTTGTTTCCATCATCAGCGGCATACCCCTTGCACTTTCATTTTCTATTCCGCTTTTTTCCGCTACTTTCCGAATCTGGAATAGGCAACGAGTGCATCGTGGAGTCGGGGCCTCGATTATGGTTTTTAGCAGCTTTACGGGCAGCTGACCAATTAAACGCGATTAATTTGCCGGTCACTCCATGAGGAGGAAGGAAAGGCCGATGCCGAAAGAGAGACTGGAAGCGGGACTGGAAGCTGCCGAAACAGGTTGCCATTGCCACTTGGAGGCAGAAGGAAAATTTCTATGCGTTCGTTGGCTTGAGGCTTGAGGCATTGCACGTCATCGTATTGGACGCCCATGACCATGACGATGACGGCTATGTGGCTATAATGTTCAATCGTCTGCCCATTTGCCGGAGAAAGTTAACTTACTTATTTGTGAGAAGAAAAAACAAAAAGCTGAACTGAAATATATGCACGATTTGAGACACAAATCGAGCAATCGAGGGGAAAAAACATCCTTAAGCAAAGCGACTTAATGGCCATACTCGAAGTGCTCTGCGGAATTGATATAATTAAGTGCAAATGAACATTAATTACGCCCAAATGGCAGATAACCAGTCGGCACCACCGCACCACCAAATGCCAAAAAGACATTCCCCAACAAATCGCTGCGGGCGCGTCTCATTAAAATTCACATTAAATTGGCAGGCGATCGGGAATGGGGAAGTCTGGTAACTAACTAGTGTCGGGGTATTCGAGGTACTCACCTCTTGAGGAAGTCCGTGTACTCCGCCTGCCGGATCAGACCCGTTCGCATCATGATGGTCTGGAAGCACTGGCGTTCAATGGCCCACAGGTTGCACTCGGTGATGGCGGTGATGGTGGCCGTCCTCTGGCAGTTGTACAGGATGGCCAGTTCGCCCAGGACCTTGGCCCCCGACAGGGTTGAGAGGTACTTGCCCTCGCGGGAGACTTCAACGCGGCCATCTGAAATAGAGATTTTAAAAGTTAGATTTGGTTTTAAATTGGAATGTTTAAGCTTACTATATAGTCTTATCAACTAGTTTAAAGATTAGAATTAAGTCAGTTTCATCTAGTTTTTGTTTTGATTTCAAATCAGACTTCAAACTAAAGCAAAAAAATATCTGAAAAATATAGAAACCCCCCAGATCCTGGTTCTTACCCTTTTCCACTTCCTCCTCCTCCTCCTGCGCCCCACTGGACTGATCCTTGAGATTCCCCGTCCTCCGCCTTCGCGCATATGTATGGACGGGAACTATGAGACGGGGTCGGGGTATGCAGAATCCTTCCCCGTTGAGATCCTTGGAGCTGCCATTGCTGCTGGCTGCGGGTGAGATTTGTCGTTGCTTTGTAGAGGGAATGTCAGTGTCCTGTTCCTTCGGTTCCTCCTCCTGAAGGCGGAGTCCTTTGACAGCCTGTTCCAAGCTGTGCCGCCGCCCCGTAGAGTCCTTCGCCTGAGCGTGGCTGCGATACAGGGACTGATTGGGCATCCTGATGGTGGCATACCGCTGCACTGAGGTCTGGGATCTGGTGAGAGGCTTTCCCGGACGCCTGGGTGGCTCTGGCGGGGGTTCTCGTGGCGGTGGAACCATCACCCTCTGCGGCTGCTGGCATATAACCACCTGGTCGTGGGAGTCCTCGGCGGCGGAGGAGAACGTTGAGTAGGCGGAGGAACTGTTGCTGGCCGTGGGCTGCTTGTTGTGGAGCCTCAAGGGCGCTCTCAAGGTCGCATAGCTGGGGGGCTGGGACATGGTCTGAGAGCGCCTCAGGGAAGGCGGCTTTACCGACAGTTGTTGGCGGGGACGTGGAATGGGCCGTGGTCTCTCCGTGGGATCCAGGACGTAGTGATTCACGGCGGCCTTATCCTTGGAGAAAGGTGCTTCTTCAATCTTCTCCTGGTAGTGATCCTCAATTGGCTCTGGGTCCTCCGTCACCCAGTCTTGGTGCTGATCCACATGCAAGGTCGAAGGCCTGTATCCATTCAGCTCCTTGATGGTGGTCATGATGTTGTTGTTTCTCGATTGCTGCTCCAGGTTGCGGATGTTCTCCAGGGTCATCTGGTACTTGCTGAGAGCGGAGATGCCGTCCAGCAGGAAGCTACTGCCCGCCGAGCTGCTCTGCCGGCTGAGCTTGGCTGGGGATATCCTCAAGCTCGGGGGCTGGGGGCTGGGGCTCTGGGCTGCCGCCCTCAGCCAGTTGGCCTCGTAGAGGGCACCCATGGCACTGCTGCCCTCCAGCGAAAGGCTGGCATCCACGGCTTTGCCCGGATAGTGTTTGATTTTCATTACGGAAGACTTTTCTCTCAGCCAGTCCTCAGGTGGGTCTTAAGGGGTTTTTCAAAAATTTCACTTGACCAGCTGAAGCGACGTGTTTTGTTTTCTCCTCAGGTCCCCAGTCTTCTGTCTTCTGTCTTCTGCCTGTTGTCTTCACTCTTCAGTTTAGTTTATTGTTTCTTTTTGTTGTTGTTGTGTTTTAAAGCTGGTGCTGGGGCGTTGTTTGTTGTTGTTTTTGGAGTCTTTTGCATAACCGAAGCTTTGAAATTTCGCGCACGGAATATTTGACGAGTCACAGGGAAGGCGGTGCCTGAGGTTTCAGTTTTGGGCCAGAAGGGGTTAACAAATTGGTATTTGGTATTTATATTGCAAAAGCAATATACGTTTTGTTGCTGTTCCAGTTGCTGTTTCAGTTGCTGTTGTTGCTGTAAACTTTCCATGTTTTTTTTATTTTTTCAGCGACTTGCCTCACGTTTGTTGAATGATTTTGTTTATGGCCAGTAGTTGATCTACCAGGTATTTTGACAACCCGGGTAACAGTGGATTACAAAAATCATACAACAGTTAAAGGCTAAGCTTCAATCACTCTTTACTTTTCAAGCCAAACTTGCAAATAAATTCCCAACTATTACCACGAACGTGTGAATGAGTGAGTGGCGTTTTTATTCCACTTCTCTCCTCAGCTTAATCATCAACCAATTAGCCAATTGTGAATGAAAAGTGACAATTGGCCATATTGCTCAAGCCCCAAGCAAAACAATAAAGGCCAAGAAATAAAGGCGTTAAAAATAAAGTGACGTAGTCCCCGACCTAGTGGATCTAGTGACCATCGGTGTTGGTCCCGAATATAGAGCGTGACTCCGGGGGATTGGTAATACCGATCGCTTTACGCTAATTGATTGGGCCTATTGACGCAAATGAATCTGTAAGCCAGGCTTTTGAATGATTTATGAATCAGTTATTAGGGAGGGGTGTGACCAAACATGATAGAGATTGGTGGGTTAAATATTAAATATTTGCTTAGAAGGCGGCTAGAGCTCTCAGTGAGTCATCAGAGGAGGTTTAAAGTCAATTATTCTAATGGAAACTTTGTGAATTCAAGATATTTAAATTTTAATTATTATTAGGCTTCTAATTTTAAAGAAAACTCTATTTCTAAAAACATCTGCTCTTTCAAAAATGCCACTAAAAGTAAATATTTGTTGAATAACAAAAGCCAGCCAACCACCAGCCAGAACTGAGATTCTTTAATGAAAAAAAACATTCCACAACTTCGTGCCTTGTGCGCTCCAATTGAAATCTCACAACAGACACGACAAAACAGCAATTATGACACTAAACACCATTCAGACAACAAGACATCTCACCTTCAGAGCCATTAACATGATCAATCACCACTACTTTAACTAATAATAATGGAAAATAAATTTTCCCCTCCTGAAAGATATTTGCCTAAAGTTTCCAACGTAAGAGCTGGAGAGATAAATCATGAAAGGGGAGAACTCCTTATCGCAACGTGAGGAGCCTCTAGACGCGAAAAACTCGTGCCTTGGCCAGATAAGAGGCCTAAACAAAAAAACAATTCACAACCAAGGCAGAGATTGCGGGCCAAAAACAAACTCCACTCGAATAGTGCTTTCCTGGCCAGCCCACTGGCTGGGAGTTCACCGACGGGGTCACCAAAAAATATGCGGAAATCCGTCAGGCCCAGCTGAACACCCAAACTCGAAATTGAAATTAAAATTGCAGACATTCTGCAGTGCCCGGAGACTGGCTTCAAGTTTTAAGCTGAGTGTTGGCAAGGTCAGCCAGTGTCTGTCCGAGTTGCGGATTTGAATACAATACGAACCCCAGAGGGAAACGAGAATTCGCTAAAACCACTATAGCCCCCTACATAGTATCACCGAGAAAAATATCAGAGTCAGATAGCATAGGGGGTCTTATCGTCAAAAAGTTTATTGATATTTTGGTTTTAATCGCTGGAAAATGTCAAATCACAGTCAATAGATAACTGATTTATTCAAAGGATGTATAGCATTTTTTGCAGTGTATTTATAGTGCTATTTATAGAAGGTAACGGAGTGGCAGAGCAGGGCGGCTTTTGGCAGAGCCTCGATTAAAAATGAAGTAAAGTTAGTCACAGAGTGTGGCTTTTGGGCCAAGGGCAGTCGGACTTCAATTTTGAGATTCAGATTCGGTCCGAGGTGGCTCGTAATTATACCCACATCCATACCAAACATCATTTATTTTTTTCTCCCTTTTTTTTTTGAATAAAAATGCCACTGCCAGTGACTCACTCGATCTGTGTCTTTTTTGGCCAACGTGACCGCATTTCGAGTCACTTGAACATCATAATAAATATTTATAGCCCCCAACCTTTTTGTTTGTCTATGCTAATGAAAGTCAAGTCGATATAGAAAGCAGAGAAACATATAAAGAGGTTCAAGCCCTGAATGGCTAGGTTGTAGTCAAGCAAGATCGATCTCAGAGCTGGTTTGCTGCTTTGTTCTGTTTGGGTTTTTGCACACATTTTGTAATTAAATTCAGCGATAAAGCCAAGAAACGAGATTGGTTTGAATTTCATACCCAATCCAAGAAAATAGACCCCCGAGGGTGTGGTTTCCCGGTTCTCATAACACCTGACTTCCTCTTAGCTTTTACCCAAAACATCCATAACTAACAACCATCGAAGAATATTAGTTTCCATCATTAACTTTCCATTAATCACTATCTTATAAAGGCTTCTGGGTATAAAATTAAGTAGTTTTCTTTTTGAGACCAACCCGAGATCAATTAGCAACCATAGCTTCTGAAACCCCATAATTCCAACCAATTCAGACCAGAGTTTCCCAACTAGATCTTGTGACCTCTCCCCCTCGTTTGCTATTATTTTCCACTTTTCGTCGATTACTCAACAATCTCCCAGCCAACCAAGCGGAGCTCCAAGTGGCATGTCAAAAGCCAAGCTGAATGCAAAACTTGTTGGGTTACTTAAAAGTGAGAGTAACCCCTTGGTTCCGGAGACAAGAGACCGGAGACCGGTCTGATTCCCCAACTAACTATCCAGCAAGTTAGTTCGAGTTAAGAAGAGAGGTCTAAAAACTGGTGACAGGTGGAGAGACCCGGTTCCAGGGCATGACATTAGCACAGATCTTTCTGCCATCTTTTTAGACAGTCTTCTGGCCTTTGGCTGGAACTTCATGGCACTTCACACGATTTCTAATTTTTGGGTTAAAATTGTAATTGAATTTTCTCTCTTGTCTTCCGCATTTCAAGTGAATTTCTTTCATACACCATACAGGCCATATCAGATTCTGTATGTTCTCACATTCTTGCACGACCCGATCGGCGTAGTGACATTTGGCATTATACAGTTATACAAAAAAAAAAAACTTCTATAATTTCTGTATTTCTACACCATTATTTTTATATATTTTTTTTTGTCGGACCAATGACCGAGCAATAACAGCAACAACAGCAATAACAACAAAGGAAACCACAAACCGGAATTCTTCAAGTGATCTTTTCGTACAAATTCGAACAAAAAGAGCAGATCCGAGTCTTATTCTCGTATTCTCCTCACAGGTCTCTTGGTTGTGTGTCTGTGGGCGTTTAGTGTAATACCTTCGTTTAAATAAATTCACTTTCACTTTTCATTTAATCTTGTTTTGAGGTTCATGTAGTTTTTCCCAGGAATTTCCAAACTCTTGATCTTTTAAGGCATAAACACATCCGAGATAGGCCAGACACATGGGAAATTAGTGCGGTTTTATATTCAGAACATGGTTGGAAATAGCTCAAAAGGCATAAAGGCATGTGTTAGTGCCCATGCCAGTGTAATTGTCCGGTATGTGGGCCCATTATGTGGAGGGGGGTATTATTATTTCTTGGGGTTCTCCTTTCTTGAATACGTATTTGTTTGTTCGGTGCCCGGCGGAGCATGCGATAGGGCATGCAGTATGCAAAATAAAGATCACGAATCACGAACCGATCACGAATCACGAGAGTGGGGGAGTAGGCCCTCCTCTATATTATATTATTTTGTAATTTTTACATTACAGTAACAGTCCAGGTGCAAATTATTTCGCAGCCGAGCGCGCATGCGCCTCACACGTTCTCTCGCTACGAATACTCGAAATGAATTGAACTGGCCCAGAGATCGGGGAAACGACTTCGGAATATATCCGAGTATATAGCCAGAGAGTACTCATATAGAGAGACCACTCGGAGAGTGGTGGCAGAGATAGCCCAGCAGCTCAGCTGGCCTGGCCATGCTTTGTTTTGTTTGTGGGGGAGAGAGAGAGTACAGCTAGTGAGAGTTCAGGTAGAGATTTGAGCAAAAAAAAAAACAAGTGCCTTGCACTGAGAGAAATGTCTAAGTAACAATTTTTATAACTATTTAGACATAGGCTTTTGTTTAAATAATAATCTAATGATATTATATTTTTTGTACCTTCTTTTGGGTGATATTTTAAACTAAATTAAGAAAATAGATACTTTAAAGCATTATATTCTTTTTTTTTTATTTCCCTAAATAATAATTTTAATATTCTGCCTAAAAATGTAAATTACTTATACAGTTTTCTAGAATTTCAAAGAAATATGATAAACAACATTGCGTATACTTAATAAAGTAATAAAACAAATCTTATGAACAGAAGATAGGAACCATTTGCTTCCTGGAAACCCCACAAGAAATATTCTTTTGAAAGAATACTTCTTTTTTTTTTTCTCACAGTGCATTAAGAGCCTACCGGTAAACTGGTTTGGCCAAACAATTCGCTTCGCAAAACTCAAAAAAGGAAGAAACAGAAGTGTTATTGTTGAAAAAAAAAATGCTCCAATTTATAAATGGAACAATGATCCAACATATTTAATAATAAATATTCAAGTGCAGTGACCTCACAGACACTGTCCTCAGGGATTTTTTTTTATATTTTTGCTTAGCTAATCAGTGGAAAAGTTTAAAATAAATCGTATATATTTTAATCTTGACAGAATCGTTATCTCGTTGGGATTCCATTGAATATATTTTCCGAAACAGGGCATTGGAACAGTCAATAAAACCGAACGAATGAACCCGAAACCTTGCCAATCTCGAAAACATCTGCTTGTTATATATGTAGATATAGACAGATGCTACGACATCTGTTGATGATATCGAGTGGCAGGTCTCAAGTGCGGACATGGATGCTTCAGGTTGAGGAAGCCAGAGTCTCAGCTCGGATGTGGCACGATTGAGGAAGCATCCTCTTTGGCCATTCATCTTGCCACTTGTTGAATGCATAATCCGCCGGCAGATTATCATTATTATTATTATTATAACATTGGTGCGAAGACGTCGGAGTTGCAATTAAAATGCTAATGCTAGTACGTAAATTAAGTCGCCGACTAACTTAACACGAAGGGTACACACACAGTATGCGGGCTCTCGGCTCCCAACCAAGCCCAGTTCGAGCAAATATTTAAAACAACAATTAGCCAGGAACACTCCCAGAAATAAGAAATCAAATGGGTGCAAGTCAGTTGAAGAAAAACGTGCAAAAAGCCATTCACCAGAAAATGCTAAAGAAAATCCCCCCAATACAGTTGCAAAAATTGAAAGGAAAACCCGCTCGGGCCACTGACATTTGGCGGCAAGGCGAGACTCTGAACTTCTCTTCTTCGAGCTGCGTGGGTGTGACACTCCCCTGGAGGCCTCCCCTCGTGGTCTCTGGTTTGGGTTTGTGGCATGCCACAGCTGGCCTGAAAGACACGTGCAACTATCTGGCCAACCTGAAGAGGTTTATCAGCAACATCTTTTTGGGTTTGGGGGATATATGCATATGGGGGAGTTCCTAGAAAGAGGAGGTTGGGGACTAAGAGAAATATATCTAAAAGCTAGTTTATAAGAGAGAATATTTGGTTATTATAATATTAAAAAAATTTAAGATTTATAGATGAATAAATATAATTAAACCCTAAGAGTAAACCTAAGGCATTAATAATCCTTTTTTTTCAAGGTTTTTAGTGATGATTCGTCTCATATTAAGACCTTTTTTTTAATTATGGTTGTATAATAATGCAGAACCCGATGACTCACGGATCTTAATAGCTTTTTTTGCATAAATATAAGCCATTAAAAAAATGGTATCCAAAGATCGTAAAAACTGTAAGTTACATGCCTTGTAATGCCAGTTTTACATGACATGACTTTTAAGACAAAATAATTTCATAGCATACTTTTTGGCACACATTCAATTCTACGTTATTCAATATCGTATTTTAGATATAAAACATTTAAGCTGATATATTAAGGATCTTACCTTCCATAACATAGACAATGCTGCCCACATCGCCCTCCTTGATGATCAGATTCTTGGCTGGATACTTGACAGGATACATGCAGTCGACGATTTCCCGGATCTGGGTGAGATCCAGGTTCTTCATGAAATCATTATCCAAAATGGCAGACTTGATGAGTTCCCGGGAGCTGAAGTATATATGAAACTCAATTAGTTACGGATATATTAAAAATGGCAAGAAACTGTCAATTGGCTGGGCAGAGGCAAGAGTCCAATTAATTCTACGGCCGACACATATAAATCGTTTTATCTCCAAACTGGCCAGTTTGGCTTACAAGCCGAGTAACAAGTTGCCACCAAAAGTATCTTGCAGATATATTGGCATGCGACCAATCGACCGATATGAAATTAATACAAATTTGAAAATTGTATGCTATGGTATTTGTTGGCCAGGCCAGGCCGGGGTATGGACCAGACTCCGAGCCATGTTGCCAATGCCTGTAAATGTCAAATGACTTTATCTGTCAGCGAACTTGACAACTGGCCCGGGCCAGAATGGAACAGTAATGGGAATAGAAAACGGTGGCTCGAACGGTTCACTTGATTAGCCAGAAAACCACACAAAGTTTTCATGAAAAAAATTGATTAAAAATATCACAATATAGAGTCTCTTAAGTAAACCATAAAGGCGTTACGCCAACTGTCATCAAAGGATTGGAAAAGCCTACTAGCTCCTCTACCGCCACCACTTGCCCCAAAATGCGGTGATGAGGTACCACAGCCGACACCTGTGGCGCCAGTTTGGCGGCTACCCATGTATCTTAACTGTTCGGATTTTCGGGGTACATAACACTCACAATTAAAATTTAATAAAAATAATATCAAAAATAATCGATATGCCGGTCACGACTGGCGGCGGAGTCTGGGAAGCGACAACATGGATACGTGGGCCTGGTAAAGTATTATATTTCAGTGCCCCACAAAATCGAAACTAGTTCCCCCTAATGGAGTTGAAACTGGAGAATAGGACACTTGAGAAAAACTACAAGATATATAGTCATACCACCAATAAATTATACTCCTTTTTTTTGGGAAGTGTATGAGACCAGCCTGAGGTCGCTTTCTGGTGTTTGGACCCGTGGGGTTTATTCGCCAGTGGTGCACCAAAAATTAACATTTTCTTTGGGCTCCAGCACCACATACGAACCACCGATTTCAAGCTGCGTGGTGGCACAATGGTGGCACCTCGGTGGTGGCTACAACAATTAATAGCTTCAATTAGACCTACGGGCCGGATCGTGTCAGCGTTCCAGTTGTCGGAAGCTATAACCATTCATATGGCTATATTTGTGCGTAAATTCAATTTGAGCGAAAAAATGTGTGCCAAGGCACTTTGGACGAAACATAGAAAAGCTGCACCTAAAGGCAGTCCCCAGAGATCTTGGATCACTGTGGAGCTGTGGATCAGTTGCGGGTGCGTTCAGTTTTGTGGAATTGAAAGTGCAAATACTTAGCGGCTAAGAGCAGTTGACAATAAAAACGGATTGGCTTGCCGGCCTGGGAATTGAAAATGGAAATTGGCCCGAAAGCCAATGGAAGTGGAAACTGGGTGGGGCTACATACATAGTTGGCTAACGCATAGTAGTAGAGGTGGTTTGTCAAGGGGTGGAGACTTCCAGACTTGCCATCTAGTTAGCTGATGTTTGACAAATTAAATAATTTGTGGTAACTGTCATTAAAAGGTAGTCTCGATTGAATTTTATTCAAATTTAATAGATCTATTGATGATAGATCTAAGCCTATTTGTAGCAAGTTCTTGGTGGAAACTCCACTCTGGCTGCAATTTTGTGGCATTATTTATTAGATGGCCCCGTTGAAAGCCAACTGGCGGCAGTTGCGTGGTGCAAATGGCCACAAATGACACCAACACTGGCCTGTAGTCTGTGGAGGCCTATGGCGCTTTTGATTTATGCCATGCAAGTGTCAAAAAATGTCCTGTTGCACACAGAGACCAGACTAGAGACCAGATTTTGGCCAGAGATAAAGTGGACACCAGAATCCCCCACTCTAGACCATGTTTGAATAGCAATTGAATTTCGGGCGATTGTGTCAACAGCTTGGGGTCATAAAAATGGCCGATTTATACAAATTTGCGGCATTACTTAGTGCTAGATAGCCATTCAGATTAAACAGAGCCAGCTGTGAGATAAATATGACAAATAAACCGGGTTATATATTATATTGACATCAAGATCTTGTATCTGTATCTGAAACAGGGTGGCGCCAAATAGATTTAAGATATAGACTTACAAGTCTAGACTATTAAAAACAATAATATAATATTTAAAGAAAACAATTCTTGTATATAATTAGAGAACGTCTGCTTTGTCTAATTTTAGTCCAAACTTTTCCACAAAAATAAAAAGTTCTTTAAATAGGAAATGGCTATTTGTTTATTTTTCCTCTCAGACTATAAGATTTTTAAGAAAATGTTTGGCAGTGAAAATGATTTAAATTTAATAAAAAACCCCCCACAAAATTCCAAGATGGCAGGCAAAACATCATCAAATAAACATATCAGCCATAAAAATTAGTAAAAATTAATCGAAAACATGAGTGGAGGCACCTTTTCCCGCCGCGCGTGTCGCCATTTAGGTGATCTGCGATGCACCATTCCACCGATTCCATTCCGGAAACACCGCCACCTAGCCGTAGAATAAATATTTATGTTTCCATGTTTTTGGATATCGATGCGAAAGCCAAAGAAAGCAGACCTAGAGACCCCGGCCAAGGGCAACGACTTCCAGCGTGGGGGCGGCAGATCCCAAGTGTGAAAAGATACCAAGTGTGATACTATAGCCAGCCGCCCACTCTGTTTCGCAGATTTAATTTTATATTCTTTTTATATTCTTTTAATTATAAAGGCAAAAAAGCAGAATATCTGAATATTTCTTTAAAAAAATCCACCCAAGTGACGCAATGTAATGGCGAGAGTCGGCTGCCAATTGGCAGGCAGTCTTTCTGCGAGCCACAATTCATAATATGACTTGTGTATTCCGAGTACTGACACTGGCCAAGGCCATTAATTGGTGGCACAAGGGGGCGGTGGGGGTGGTGCAACCGGGGGGCAACTGTCACGCCAACTCAAGTTTAATAAACGCATTCTGTGGCAGGCGACACAACCAATCGACGCGACGACAGGCCACGGGGCGCTGCTCTGAATAAGTATTTTGATTTGAATCGCACAGTGACGCTGATTTCGATCGTTATCGGGAGACTATATGGGACTGAGCTTGCACTAGACTATATAGAAGCTAGGGATGCAGTTTATGGAAGCTATAAAGCGAGAAGAGAGCATTTTAGATGATATTATATGGGTTGTAGTACTTTCTAGCTATGGGGAAGGTATTTCTCATATGTTTCCTCCTGGAGGTCTTTTGCAGGACATATAAAAGACTATAGAATCTGGAAATACACAGAACTATATAGAAACTGGCCATACACCATATAAGACATATAATGCGAGAGGATAGTCATTACGAGGCACCTATATGGGTCATAATCCTCTCTAACTACAGGAAACGGCAAGTTTTTCTCAGGTTAGTTCCTAAAAGGTCCTAAGGTTTCTACATGGCGAGTTTATTCTCGGCCCTCAGTCTTGTCCATAGACTATATATAATCTGGACATCCACAATATAGGACCTATAACGCGAGTGGAGAGCGATTGAGCTGGACTCTTAACATGTGGTTTGTAATACACTCAGTACTTTCATAGTACTAGTACTCTCTAGGTATAGGTTTAAACCTCAGGTTCATTCCTCTAAGGTCCTAAGGTTCCCAATTACCAGGCTTATTTCTGGACCTACCAACTACTATATACATTCAGGGCTATATAGACTCTTATAAAAGGGCAGGATAACGATTAAGCTTAACCTTTATGGTATGGGTTTTCATACACTTTGGCTATAGAAAAGTTCTATTACAAGTTCTACCCCTCAGTAACAAGTTTCTAACTAACTAAGATTCTACTACAATTTAACTAAGATTCCTACATAGAAGGTATATGGACTTATGATCTTACTAAAAACTATATAGAATCTGTATATCCACCATATATAACCTCTAGTCCAAGAAAGGAACGATTAAGCTGAACTTGTTGAGGTTATAATAATCTCTAGCAATAGGGAGCCTCTAGCCATCGGGTAGTTCTATTACAAGATCTACTTCCCTATTTTGTTCCTTAAAGATAAGTAATCTCTGATTCTAAGACTATATAAAATCTGGGGATCGATTATATAGAATCTATAATGCGAGAGGAGAGGTTACAATACTCTCTAGTTACAGATAAGTTCTACTTTAAGTTCCATTACTAATGGTTTAGTTTAGTTTAAAAGAAACCTCTAAAACCTTCAGCCTCTCCTAACAACTAACATCCCTAATAATACACTAATTATAATTATAATTTGTCTCTAATTAGCTACTACTACTAATTACTAATTAGCTAGAAAAACTCACCGTTCATCCTTGTCATATTTTGGAAAACTGACGTGCTCGAGCAGAACGGAGGACTCGCTTTGGGGCTCCGCCGAGATACCCTGGGCCCTCTGGCGCTGGAAGGTCTGGCCGGACTTGCGGGTGGCACCTGTGGCGGTGCTGGGCCCGCTGCCGCTGCCGCCCGCCCCCGCTCCGCCGCCCGTGCCGGCACAGCCCGCCGCACTGCTCCGGCTGAAGGGGAAGACGCTCTGGAACTTGTCCAGGTGGGACTTGAGCTCGGCTATCTCGTTGTCCTTGAACTGGAGGGCGCGCTGCATCTCCTGGATCTTGAGCTCCTTGGCCTGGATGATCTGGATGAAGCGCTCCTCCTGCGGAGTGGCCGCCACGTAGTTGCTCATCATGGGGTGTGTGGGATCCACAAGTCCCACCGGCGAGGGTGTGGCGGAGCCGGCCGATCCGCTGGGCGTGCACCCCGAAATCCGCAATCCCTGCATCTGCTGCTGGAGGTTGAGGGTGTTGGGCGGCTGCAGTTGGGTGGGGGAGTTGCAGCTGGCTGCCCCGGGTATGGCCACCGGCTGACTGGAACCGGGACTCTGCTGGTGGTAGAGCACCGGACTGCCCTGGGCGGTGTACAGGCCCTGGGTCTGGGCCTGCAACTGCTGGAGTTGCTGGTAGCGCTGCTGCAGCTGCAGCTCCTGCTGATGGAGCAGGCTACGAGGATCCTGGTGCAGCTGAGGGGCGCCCGAGGGCGGTGTTCCATAGATTAGGGTGTGCGTCAGCACATCCGAGTGGGGTGGCGGTGCTGGTATCAGCCTCAGACCCGATGCCGTGTGCTCTAATCCGATAAGGCCACCCGTTGCTGGCAAGGTCACAATGCCACCCACCAGACTGTTGTTATTGTTGCTACTGCTGTTGTTGTTGTTGTTGGGATTACCCCCGCCACCGAATCCGATTCCGGGTAGTATTATTATTATTATTGACGATGCTCACCAGACCCAAGTCCGTTGGGAACTGATAGTTGGCGTTCGGCTCCTGCTGCATGCTGGCCGCTTTTCGTATCGCCTCCGTGCTCGAATCGGCCCTCGTCGGTTTCTGATCTTCGGCACTGCTATGCCGGCGATAGCGATGTATCTGTATCTGTGGCTGCTGTATCTGCTGCTCCGTCACTGCCTCTGTCTGTCCCTGTATCTGTTGTTGTACGGTGATGCTCTCCGGCGGTTGTTGTCCCACCACGTCTATGTCCGGCGGCTTGGCCTCGGTCTTTGTGTCTCTGCCCCGATCCCAGTCCCGATCGATTATCGCCGGCTGCAGTTTCTGGTACTCGGCATAGAAAAGATTACTGACTGGTGGTGGTGATGGTGCTGCTGGTTCTGCTGCTAATTGGGTGGTGGGTGGTGCATCTGTGGTGCTATGATTGTGGTTTTGTGCATTGGAGCTACTGTTGGTATTGGTGTTGTTGGTGGCTGGCCGCTTAGTTGCGAAGCACAGCCGATCGAAGCAGAACCGCATCCAGGCGGCTTTCCAGATCAACCGCCGCCAGGGAGATCACGCTCACCCAAGTGCCCGGAGCCCTGGAATCACACGGAGAAAAAAAATCAAATGAGTTACAAGTGACAGAGTGTCGCCGTCAGGCTGTTATGGAATCTAATCGGGGGGCTAATCAGGTGACCGAACTGATTTACGATCGATGGGTTAACTGATTGGTGAATTTATACACTGAACAAAAATATAGAGTATAGATTATGTTCGGCACTCCCCCGGGCTGGCAACAATTATCACCGAAAATTTGCTTATCACTGGACTGGATACCCGGAGCCTTCAAGATAACACGCTCTTGGAAATGTCAACAAACGCCCCAACTATGCCACACTGTTTTCTATTAATATTTACTCTTTATTTTTTTGGTGTCTTGGCCTGGCTATTGTTTTCAGACACGTTCGGGCCATAATTCAAGTCTAAAAATAAATCTGGCTGGGCAACCTGTAAACAAAACACACAAAAACCCTATAAACAAGTGGGGCAGGTTTGGGAGCTCTAGGGGAGCATACCAGATTGGAGATAAGTCTAGAGCTTAAGATCATCAAAACAGGGCTTGAAAAATGCCAGAAATGTTGAGAAAGATCAGTTTAAAGCTACTTCTTTATAGAATCTATATAAGCCCAATTATATAAGCCATATCTACATAATTTCCTTAAACATTCTTGTCTAAAAAATGCCATAACCTGGAGACTAATGAGAACAAGTCTATAATTTTAAACAAATTTTAATGGCAAACGCTTAACATATCTCCTCAAATAAGAACCGGAACCCGTCCTCCCAAACATACACACTTCTCTCTGAAGATCAGCAAATCATTTGTTCAAGTAGCTCCGCCACCTTCAGACACCTTCAGACTCAGTGGAGCGAGTCTGAAAAAACAGACTCAGACTCAAAAAAAAATAGAGTTTACAATGAAAACGATATTAGAGAGACATTAGCATTTTAATGATCGCACTGGGGATTAATGAGCTATTTGTATGCCGAGCCGGCACTCTATAAACAAAGCTTGGAATAGTAGAGGTTCCCGGACGGATGCCCTCAAAGTGCGGGCAATTATCGATCGGTAATTACCCGCAAATTCGCCAAATGCAATTCCCATCGAAAAAGTGACACAATAAATTGAAAGAATTGATCAACGGAAGAAGGCAGAGCTCCAGAGTCGAGCTACAAAATAAACAGAATGGTTGTCGTTGCTGTCTGTGGGTATTTTTTTGTATTTTTATTTATAGAACAATTGACAAGCCACTCGAAATCATCATCTTGGCCCCCTCCAACCTAAAATTATTCAGACTGTCCGGCTGTCAGACTGTCTTGACTGTCTTGACTGTCAGTGGCATGGGTTTTCAATGAATTCGCTTGGCTGCTCGTGATCGGAGGCAGCTTTTGGGCCACTTAAGCGCAATTACTTAAGCGATTGCAATTTGTTTCCATCTTGGGGCAACCATAAATAAGAAATAAACAAACAGAGCCCTCTCTTCCTCGATATATACGTAATATTTTAAACGATTTTATATTCTTTTATTGTCATTTAAATTATTGTCTCGCCCTCAGCGCGGCAACTCTGGCCAACAGGTTTTAATTTTTTAATTTTTTTTTAATTAGTATTATGCAGTGAGAAACTGGTATCTTTAATGTCAAGTCGGCCTGGGTGGAGAGGGTATTAACATCACCGATCGTGAGTTCATTCATGCCTCTGATAACAGGCCACAACAAAGTCAAGCACATGCCACCGACCATAAATATACATATTTTATTTATAATTTTTTTTTTCTTAGTGATTTGGGTGAGTAATTGTGGCCTTTTAGGGAAGTTCTGTGGTTCTCGGCGTGACTAGCTTTACAAAATGGCAATACTAGGTAATCCCCGACTTGGAGATCGCCAGATATCGCAATTAGTGTGTCATTATGATCTTAGATGGTGGATAAAAGATAGCGATACTGGTTGTGAGCACTCGACAATTAAAGCTGTTGGTCAACTTTGAATTTGCATAGATGGTAGATATCTTGAAGCTCAGAGGAGGAGCCAGGAGATATTTAACTTCAGGCGAGGTGTTGAGTTAAATGAACTGGATTTGGAAAAACTAGTAGACCTACTTGTAAAGCCAATTAGCTAAAAAAAATAACTATAAGTGAATAAAAGGAATAATTATCATAATTTTCTAATCCAAACTGACAGAAACAATCATCACAATCATGTCTCAGCTGTCATTTTGAGAAAGAGACGCAGGCATGGTTAGCAGAAAGAGATGACAGCATGACAGGCTGTGACAGCATGTTAAACACTGACTAGCTCCATCTAGCTAATGGGGCATCCCAAAAATGCCTCGTATTCGCATCGTTTCCACTTTTCAACATAATTAAGCGATCTTTGTAGCTCTTTTCCGCTCCCAGAACCGCACGAATTGAGACATCAATTGAAAGTTATGTCAAGCCGTATTCGGCAACGTCGTCTTATGTAGTATATAGAAGCCTATATAGTATATAAATGGTATAATTATAGGTTTCAATTACAGACGCGCTTCCTCAAACACACACTAGAACACACACATCATCCTAAATTGAAACAAGAATTGTCCGGATTTCGAAATAAATTGATTCTCCGGAGAATTCATTTGCGCCTCACTTGAGGCGTGCAATTATTCAAGTTATTTCCAATTTCAACGTTGCACAAACAATCAATAAAATTCGAATAAAATTTCCACACGATTCTCTAGACTCTTGAGAGTCTTGAGCTTGACCTGCCAAACTACAAGTGACCTGTGAGTACATTAGTTATTATCTTGCAAGTGATTTAAATCCACTCTAAACCGAGTCAATGTCAGAGGATCGTTTAGATACCGACATGTGTTCTCAGTTTTTTAGTCGTTTTGTTTATCGTTTATTTTTATTTTTTTTAGTTTTTGGCTTACAAATGTTCATTAGTCCCGGCGACACGTCCGTTGATCGATCGATCGAGCCATGCCGAAGGCAATTGATCGCCTGATAACACTCGAAAGACATTCAGATACGGCCCGAGTTGTCATTGGCGAGCTAGTGACTCGATTTAGGCGGCTAGTGGGCATTAAGTGAGCTCTATCTATGGATACCGATGGAATTTTGGCATGAAATACACGTTCAATCAATTAAACCTCTTTGCAGGGGGGGTCAGATGAGTCACCAAAGGTTTAAAAACTGACGGGGATTAATGGGTAGCTCCGTATCACTCAACTCTTCGCCTAAAAAACTGACAAACCCTCAAAAGACCTCCACTTTGTTTACATGTGTCTCTGATAATTTCCGTTTATTTCAAGCATAATACCATTATAAGACCATAAAAGTTCTTAGAGCCTCAGAGAACTCAAAAGAACCGCCAGTGATCAGACAAGTTCTCTTGCCAGTCATGCACTGATCCGATGAAAAATGGATATAAAATGAGTCTTCCGAGACCATCTTTAGAATAAGAACCACTTTATTAAACAAAATTTATTGTCTCCTCGGATATAGAGTTGTTAGAACATTCCTTAATGATTCCAATGATGAGCCAGCCGTCTAATCAACCGTCACACTTTTTTCTGTGGCATCGCTCTATATATAATTCTTGAGCGGAGGATGGAGGAGAAGAATTCTGGTTCCAAGACCCCCCACAACAAGTGGACAACAGTCCCCTCCATCTCCACCATCCGTTATGACAGATCTTGGCTACCGAAGCGGAGGCAGCCTGGTGGTCACTTCAAGACTTCAAGCCTGTCACATGACTGTCTTCAGGAGCAACTCTTCACCAGGCTTGAGGTTTGGTTTTTCTTATTTTTTTTTTTACATTTTCTTTGGGGTTTTTAATTAAAACGTTAGCACATACACACACACACTCACTCCGGTAAGGAAAATTGCCCGCCTGGGAGCCAGTTGGAAGAAAAAAAAAAAAACAAGAACGTATAAGGAAATTGGCTGGTGCTTTACCTTTGGAGAGGCTGGCAAAAAATTCTCGTAAACAATTTGCACTTTTAATGAGCCAAAGAGCCAAGTGTAATCACACACACGCACATTTAAGATTCCGATCTTTGCGGTTTAATTAGTTGGGTGCGTGAGACGAACCGTTACGCGGTTTTTCTGATTCGGATTCTGTATTTTTTTTATTTATTTAATTCACAAATTAAAAGCCAAAGCCAACGCGAGAGCCGTTGTTGACCGATCGAGCGACGCGGTGCGAGTGCGAGTGTTGGGTAGCAACGATCGTAAGTCTATCGATAGTAGTTGACGACTGCGACGCCGACTGCGCTGCCCGTTATCGAAGTGAACCCCAGAAGCGTTTGTTTGTCGCTTAAATTAAAACTCGGAATTTGGCTTAAACCAGTTGGGTGCACGCACCAACACACGCACCAAAGCCATATAATAAAAAAAAAACGAGAAAAAAAACACACCTTGCCTGTGATTCGTGCGTTGGCTTTGGAAATCGTTTAAATAAAATAATAATAGTAGCACTCACTCACACACACACTGATACTGGCACCGGCACTGGCACTGGCATGGCTGTGATGGAAAAATTGCATTGCCAGCGATCTAATTGCTGGCTGGCATGCTAGAATGAAAAGCGTTTCGTTTCGGGGCAACTACTATAAAGTACTTCTGGACAACAGCAGCAGCAATATATAGTATGTAGTATCGAAAGTATTTACTTCCAGGCGCACACGCATCATTCACCGGCTCTGGCCACTCTGCTGATCTCCTACTTGCATATTTATGAACGGCTCTGGGCACTCGGGATGGCTTAGTTTCGCTGGTAATTTAAAGGATGTCGGAATGACATCTTAATTGGTGAGCTATGGGGGCTATTTGGTGGCCAATAATTTAATTCGTTTATTTATTGCCGGGATTTTTAGTTGAAATTCATAGGAAGACTATATGGCGTATACTTGATATTTAACTATTTATTACCCATTTTTGTTGGTATTATTTGTTTATACATTTTTAGTTACTATTTTGATTTAAACACCAATTTTTATTTTCAAACCATCTCCAATTTTTAGCCAAAAGTAAGAAAAGGCGTATACTTACTATAATATTACATGTAGGGAAATACATTTATTTTATTACATAATCTTAAATATTATTTAAAAAAATATTCAATAGTGCTCTTCTAGTTAAAGAATACATTTTTTGGAAACTTAGATTCCAATTCAGAAGTAATGGCGTAAATTTAATTTGTAAATAAATACTACAGGGCGTATACTTAATATTTACAATTATTATTAAAATAGTGCCAAAAATAAATTAAAATAGGTTTCAGACTAAAATAAGAACTGAGAAACAATTAAAATGCAAAAGAATTCACATTGTTGCTATTTCCTCTAAAAATATCACGTATACGCCAGGTGTGACAAATAAATATTCTCTCCTACCAGTTAGCCCAATTATTTCAGTTAAACTGTATAATATGTAAAAAACCAAACGCTTTTTGGCCAATTTTTTTGTATTCCAAAACAGTATATCACCGAAAATAAATTACGTATACGCCGTGTCGACAGCCCAAGGCAATAATTCGCACAAGAGAAACCGCACTAGAGCTCTCTAGGCGGCATTCTGTGAAAGATTTAGTGCAGATCACCACATAAATCATGTCCTGTAGCTCATGTCCAACTTCGGTATGGCCTAATGCCCTGCCGGGTATTCTATAATATTTTTATGTCATAATTACAAAAGCCTGTTGGCTGCCACCTGATGGCTGCCGATTGCAGCGGAAAGCGTTTAAGGAAACAGTAATCTGGTAACAGGGGTCTGTGGGTATTTTGTTTACTCCAAACTGGAAATGTTATCAACTAACCGCAGACAGGGTATATATAGAGCGGTTCATGCAAAAATCATTTGGCGTGGGACGTGACTTGAGCAGAAATCAAAACATTATTAAATTGTTTACAACTATGAGTGGGAATTGTAATTCCAGAATCTATAGATATTCGGGTTATTCATCAATACACTTTCCTGGAACTAAACAATCAAGCTTATTGATAAAGCTATATATCATTTATGAATGGGAATTTTTTTTTTATTTGTTAGACAATTAAAATTGTGGAAAATTGTATATTATTTTATTTATTTTTTTGTTATGAAAAGAAGCACTTTTTTCCATGCCTGGTTTAAGGGAATAATTGGCTAAAAGGGGTATACTATTAAATGTATAAAAAAATTATGAAAATATCTAAAAGCTGTATTTATTGTTTTATATATTAATTTAACCCTTTTTTTAATACCAACACCCCCCCCCCTCTGAAGATCGATTTGCCAACTCTTGGAAGATAGTCTCCCTGCTATTCCCTCTTGATTATATTTGTTTGTATTTGGCGACATTGACGCCATTGATAAGCCGTCATGAGAGCTGCCAGTGAACGAAGGTAATAATTATATGTATATATATTTTATTTAATTGGCGCAATCGGAAAGGAAAGGTTATTTGGGCGGCAACTGAGCAGGCCGCTATTGAATGGTGACAACACCCGCCCAGTTGTTGTTTAAATGCAATTTGGGCTGGGCAGCACCACAATATAAAAAAAAACGGAATTATTAACAAGGTTGATAAGCTGATAATATATTTATGATATAAATAAAAGTATGAACAAGCACAGGAAGTTTTAAAAATAAAATCAAAAGATTTAAAAAGCTTTAAAAAAAAAAACTTTCTATAAATGTTTATTTTTATGTAAATATATTAAAAATTTTAGAAACTTTTAATAATATACATATATTTTATGTTTTTAAATTTCAACCCAAAACAACCGTTACATTCCCTGAATAAGTGTTGCTGCGCCATCTGTTGGTAAGCAAGAAAACTTTCAAAATAAAGCTTATTTGACCGTTTTGGAGCTTTTCGCGCCAACTCAAGTGTTGAAAAACGTGGAAAGAATCGTTGAAAATTTTAAAAACAAATATAAGAAAACGAAAGTACATCAGAGTTCTATCAGAGGCTGTGCAGAATAGTGTATATTCTGTAATATATTTTTGATCAGGGACTGTAAATTTGAGAAATCAAACGTAAATATCGCCTCAACTGAAATAAAAAACCTGAACCAAAAGCTACTGTATAAATAAGAAGAAATATATATTTCACAGACAAATACCTTCCATTTGGTATATAATGTGTGTATAAAATTCCATGTGGATGCTTTATATGGGCTTCGAAAAGAATTAAAATATTGAGTTCCATTTAATATAATATTTGAGTTATAATTATTTATATTTTATTCTTATAATAAAACTCGATAATAAGAGTTTAAGAGATAATAAAACTCTTTTCTAATTTTTTTAAGCTCTTTATTATTATTTTCAGTCCCTGTTTTTAATTATAATACAGAAACAAGTATTAAATCATTAACTATATAACTATTTTTTAATTTTTCCACCCAAAACAACAAGTATTTTAACTCTTAGCCTTAGTTGAATGGAGATTTCCCATCACTCATTGATAAAAAATCAAATGGATCTTAGGTTTTCGCACAAATTGATTGGCAATTATGCTCCGTAGCGTTTTCCTTTGTCGAGTTTTATTGTTGAAAATTTGCCAATTTGACATAAATTTGATATGCGGCTTACACAAGCTTATATTGCCCGAAACTGGACCTGGCCCTGGAAAAGGGGCACGTCTTAGCCAAGAAGAGGGTACTGATACCGTTTGGCGTTTAAAATTGCAATTTGTTTTGCTTTTTGGCGAATAAAAGAATTTCGAATAAACGGAAAAAGTACAAAATGCTAAGATTTGACAAGCTGTTTATTTATTTTATAGCTTGGTGTTGTAAATGGGCGAAATGGCTTTGCCAAATGAATTTTTGGGATAAACAAATGAATTGAATATTTTGTTTACTACAAGATATACATATGTATATGTGTATGTGAGATTTATGATATTGTATTAATGATCATTAATGGTTATAGGAAGTAAACAGTGTGGGGATACAAAACCAATATTTGCGACTTTGTAGACCCCTATTATAAGCCCTGATTTGAAAGCCCTTCTTTATATTCTTATCTTTATTGGATCACCCTTCAAAACTGGAGTCAATTTCCATATTGCGACTTGGTTTTCGCAAAGTAAATAAAGTTTATAATTTATTCGCGCTGTGTAACTTTGAGAGTTTCCTTAGATAAGAACCTATTCCTTATAATTAACCAATATATATATATTTTCAAAGCTTGAGATCTGCGCAGTTGTAAAATAGCCTCTTACACACCCTCGCAGATTGTCAGCGAAATTTTTTTCAACAGTTCCCCAACAGGTATGTTTGTTTGTTAAACTTTATGACAAAACGCTAAAAATAAACTAGCAAACAAAGCAAAAAAAAAATAAAATAATATTGAACAACAATAATTAAAACAACAAATGGGCTTTGTTCGCAGTGCCAAGGAAATGGAAACGCAATCGAAACAAAGAAATGCATCAGCGATAGCAATTCTTGGGGGATATTTAATAGAAAAAGTCTTAAGATTTTTAGGGGAATATAACCTTTATAAAGTACATAGTAGAGACAAGGGCTTGGGCCTTCATTAAGTATTCAATGCACGCACAAGGCCGGAGATAATGTAACTACAAGGAACTCTACAAAATCGTATATAATTCCAAAAAGGGGGTCTGAAAAATCGTTCATATTCAAAGGCAGCTCAGCTCCGGCTGATTGTGCAATCGCAAAAATTCGTAGGCGGCATAAATCCATAAATAAACAATAATAAATAATGCTTGTTGTTCAACAAACAGCGGACAATAATTGCATATTAAAATGGGGGCTTACATGTTGGACGTCGATGTGAAGAAATTCCAGAGGTGAATCCAAAGAAAAAGAGAATTACAGCTTGAAAGCTCTCTTCCTTCGGCCAGCCGGCTTTTGTGATGAAAGTATCTGTCGGATTCCGGATTCCACTTGTTGCGCTCTCACTCTCGCGGTTATGTCTCGGGTTTTTTCTCTGTTTTTCTCGGTTTTTTTTTTTGTATTTTTTTCGTTAATTCACAGGAAGCACAAAATTAAGGCTAAAGAAAATATGCAGGCGGCACAAGAGACAAGTTTTGGTCATCAATTGCCTGCACTTTTGTTTTTATTTAGTTTGTAGTTTTTAGTATTTCCGTCTCGCTTTTCTTTTCGTTCGTGTCTTTCACTTGATTTTCTATAAAATTGGGCATTAAAATTTAAATGCCATTAGCCAGGCCGCAGAACCACCCAAAAGAGAGAGCGGGGGGGAAAGAGAAAGCAACTAGGTACCGGGAGAGCGATCAAACAAGTGTATCAGTTGGCTCTCTCTGGCCTCATCGGTGTTATTGTTATCACCTGAGTCAGGTACAGTGGAGCTATGATAAGTGATATTTATTTAATTTTAAGATTATCATAATAATTACAATAATATTAATAATAATATCTTTTTTTTAATAAAATTTCAATTATTTTCACTAATGTATATCACTCTTATTCAAGCCCCACTTTAAGATCACTCTCCAGCTCTTCACGTAGGTACTCTCTCTCTCCGGCTCTCTCTTTTGTTTTGGGGCTCTCTTGCTCCCCATAGTTTGTCAGGTTGTTGTTTTTTCTGCTGCCAGCGTAGCGTAGTTAACTTGAGCTCCACCAACAACAAACACACGGCCAGCAACTACAACAATACTTGTTGCTAAAAATAGAATCGCGGCGGCTGAAGAAAATATAAAACAAAAAAAATACAAAAAAAACGCAAAGCGAAGGCGGCAACGCGCACAAATTGGAAAAAATTGTGGAGCAAATAACAACAACAACAAAGAGAGAGCCCCAAAAGGAGGAGTAAGGGCAGCACAAAGCAGAAGAAGAAGCACGAGGAGTAGTAAAAACAACAACAATGGAGCTACATTTAATAAAATATATCAAAGAAAAGTAGGAAATGCGACGCAGAAATGCACTTTAAACCGAAAAAGAATGAGGATACCAAGGGGGGGTGAAAACGAAAGTGTGTGGGTGGCTAGAAATTGCAGTTGGATGGAGCTGAGACAAGTGCATTTTATTAAAAATTAAACTGCATTCACTGTTTTAAGTTTTCCATTTTAATTGACTTTTATTTAACTTTAACTATTCGCATGTTTTCCCTTTGGGTTAATTACATTTTAAGGCAAATAGCTGCACATATGGAACTTTGTATAGTTGTTGTTTTCGTTTTCAGAATTGAGCACACACACGCTAGATCGTCCGACTAGCCAAACCAACAACAACAACTAACTAACCGAATAAAATAGCACTCACACAAACGCGCACGTAAATGCTTCACGAAGCCCCCAAGCTCCCAAGCAGCTCCAAATCCGAACCGAACGCGTCGAGAGAGAAAAGCGATTTGAGCGCTTGGCGCAGAGAAATAGTTAGTGAGACCCCACGAATGCCCCGCAAGTACAGTAGGGTGGACGAATAAACTTCCGAAAGAGCTTTTAGCTTTATTTTAATCTTCGGAATAAATTTATCAACATTTTATAAAAATAAAAATTTCAAAAATTTCCATAGCCCATAGGAAAATAAATGACTTTTTTTTAATAAATTAAGACTATTTTTAGATTGAATGTTGTTGTGAAACGGTCACACTATACATAATTTAAATTAAATTTTTTTTTAATAATATTTCAATTCAAATTGTTCTATAAAATCCTAAAAATTTGATTATTTTATTATTTTTATTACCAAAAAACCGGTTTTGAATTTTTCTTTTGGAACTTTTGGAAGCTTCACTGTATGTATTTCAATTAAAAATTCTCTTAAAACTAGTCGAGCTGACTTTTTAGAACTTCAATCTGAGCGGCTTGGTATTTTATAGCTTTTTTCGTTAATAATCTCGCAAATCAGGTGAAACAAATGGCTTTAATCGATCACGGTGGATGTTCTAGCATTTTGCATCAACAGGTGACTTAGTAGACTTGTCTACTTGGAAGTGGGTCAAGGTTCACTGCGTGAGATCAGATCACATCTTAATTAATCAGGAATTATAAAAGCTTTATTAATTCTTTTTATTAAAAATGAGTTAATTTATTAAATTAATTGTGCTATTAGTTAGTGATATTAATTGATATTTAACAAAACTTTTTTTCAAGTGATCTTAATAGATTTGTATTTTTGAATGAGAAAATTTGGAATTTAAAAGAAAGACTTGAATAACTTGTTTGTCTTTAATTTAATTTAATTTAATTTTAATTTAATTTTCCTGTCGAATCTTAAATTCTACCTGACACAATTTCTTTGGCGCGCCATCTGTGGGTCATAACGAATCAAAGTTCATATGTAGAGGTCGCCATATAAATACCCAATATTATCGCCATTTTTTTTAAGACAAAATTTTTTTTTTGTTCATAAATGGGGGCGGAGCCTAAAGAAAAGGACCAAAATATTGGGAAATTATTGGAGGAAATTTCCTTATTATTGGGAAATTTGGAAACCGTTAAATTTGATTTATTTTTAGTTTTTAATGTTTTGTAACCAAATAAAATTCCTAATCAATAAAGTAAAAATTTAAAAAATAAGTAAATTTATTTATTAAATAAAAATATTTCTACTTAGTAAATATTTCCCAGCCACCTCATATTGGCCCCCTACGGCTGCTGCGTCGCTTCGTCTTCTGCCGCCGCTGCCTCGGCCAACTGCAAGGCAGCGCAAAGAGAAAGAGACGGGTGGATGCCGCAGCGAAGGAGGAGAAAGTGCCGAAGCAAGGACAAGAGGGTGCGGGTGCAGGGCGAGGAATAGTGAGGCGGCAGCAAAAGTTGATTAGATGGATTTCGTTTGGTTTTTGTGTTTTTAATCACACACCAATTTCATTTATTAAATCTTCGCATCAGCATTTCATTTTTCGCATTCTCTTTTCTTCTTTCTCCCTGTCTGTCGGGTTGTCGTTTGTTGTTTTTGTTGTATTTGGACTTGTTCTACCGACGGCAATTGTTTGCTTTTTCTTCTTGGTTTGGCTTTCTCTTTTTCGCACACTTTTATTTGATTGTTTTGTGTGTGTGTGTGTGTGTGTGTGAGCTTTTTGTTTTTCCCTGGCCCACTCACTCATTGTCACGAGCAATTTGGCGCTGGTTCTCTCTTACTCTTCTCGTCCTGTCATTCATCCTGGTCCCCCATCCCCCCGCTCAGTGTCCTGTTCAGGAGCCGACGCAAAACTTTTTACAAAATGAAATTGTTTTCGTATTAACAATTTCATTAAAATTAAATTACTTTTATTATTCCGACAGAATCGGAGAGAGAAAAAGCCACCCAATCTCTCCCCCTCCCACTCACCCCTTTTCGACCAAAAGCTTGGCGTCTGTTTTCTTCAACTGTCATACAAATTAATTGCGCTTTTAATTGATTTTGCTGGCTTTTGCAGGGGGCGAGTGGGTGGTCTGGGGGGGGAACTGAAGACAATTATATTCATGGATGTGGGAAATATGCTGATCTAATGATCTTTTAATAGAAGAATATCATTTAATTAGAGAAAAGTCTTTAGGAGCTATAGGATATAAGGGTAAGTGCTGAAAAAAAATATAAAAACCCCAAAAACCATAAATACAAAATTCTCCACTTATCTTAAAAAGTCTAATAAATAATATATCTTAAATAGAATATCCTCTTTTATTTCTCAACCTTTTGAAATAAACTTTGAATGAGAATCGAGGATATTATCCTTGTATACTGCCGGTCCTTTCACTCTAATTCTGTTTAGCCATTTATTTTATTTAGGCATTTCATAGAACGATTACCGCTCCACACACCCTCCGCCCCACTTGATCCTTTTTTATCCTCGAATTTCGAGGGGGGGAAGCCATCGCCTTCTAAATGGATTCTCGGGGAGGTCTCTTTTAGCCAAATGATGCGTAGGCCATAAAAACGAAAGGGCAACGATGGAGTCTTGGCCATTTGGTTAGACGGTGGGCGTGGCAGTTGATACTGGCTATAAAAAAATGTACTGAGAGAAAATGATAGTAATTGGAGGGGTCTTTTACTATGTTTTATATTTTTATAAATTAGAAAATTAAGAAATTGAAAATGAAAATGTTAAGAAATTGCTTTATAATTAATTAACCATTATTTAAACATTTTTTTCCAGTGTATAAAACAATTTTTGATGGCGCCAATAAATTGTTGAGGGCCTACTACTGCGAGTTGAAATGTCGCATCATAAATAAAAGGGAATCGTTTTCGGCAGCAGGATGGTGGTGATGAAGTGGGCTGGAACATAAGGACCAGGAGGGGCATCAAGCTCTGAACCGGCCTTCAAATAAACCGCAATGCAATTTGGCCTAAAAGAAGTTAATAAAATTTCATTCGATGGTTTTCAGAGGGGGGATTGGGGTATGGTTTTTTGTATGGTTCCCCGGAAAAACTGGAGTTCTCTCCCCATCCCGTTCTTTTACCATCCTCCATCTCTGTCTACACACCTCCCCCTACTTAGCGCTGTCCCTTTCGGGCTATTCATTTTCGGAGGCTGCGCCATTTTGGCTTGGAAAATTTATAAACGTAATTGAGAAGCCTTCGCCGCAGCACATAACTGCCAGGACCTCCGCCCAGGACCTCATCCTCATCCGCCCCCTCCCACATTTCGCCACCCAACTGGCCGCACGTAAAATGCATTAACTGCCTGCTGCTTGCTGCTGGTGCTTCTTTTACGTCCTGGTCCCGGATCCGGATCCGGTTACAGCTACGGGCCTGCCATCCTGGCCAAGTCCTGGCCAAGGCACTCGCAATTTGGTTTTCGAAAAATAAGCAATTTGTAAATTGAAAATGGTCGTTCCAGGCGTGGCCGAAGGGAGCGGGGGCAAATTGCAGTTACATGCGGCCATTTACTACGCGGGCGGAAAAGGGCTGGACGTCGAGGGAGGGGGGTGGAGGGCGTGACAGAGGCTAGAACCGGCAACGCGGAAGCTGGAAATTAATTATTTGCCATTAAGGCTAAGTAGATGATATAAAAAGTGGCAGCAAAGCGTGCTCCAACAGGGCCAACTGGGGGAGGGGGGGTTTTGGCCAAATGGAGATGGTAGATGGATGTGGAAAGCTGTCGCGGGGTGGGGCCGACTTCTGCAGGCAATTTAGACAGTCAAGTGCCCATATAAATTACATAAATTTCACCCAGCGTTTGTCAGGCATCAAGGACTCAAGGAGGTGGAAAAAATAGTGGAACATGAAGCCAAAAGAAAATTCTTTCAGAAGAAGTGGAAAAGTCTTTTAAGAAGATCAGTAAGTACATATAATTTATTGTTTATTACATTACTTTATTATAGGTATTATTATTATTATTAAATTTTGTTAAAAACAGGACATTGTAATGAAAGACAAAGACAGTATATAACAGTGGTCGGCACCCCAATACATTGATATGATTTTACCGCATTAGTGTTAGTAACGAATAGCAGAAAGTAGGCTGTGAGCATGACGTTTCACACATTTATACTGTGTGTGTGTGGCAGAGAAATTTCCTATGCCCCCGAGATAGGGCCGTGCCGACCTCTGTCTTATATCAATAATCAAGAAATAATAAATATTCGGAGTAAAATAACTATCCTGTGGAAGAGTTCGGATGTTATCGACAAATAAATCCCACTTATTAAGTTCCCGTAAGGTTTAATAGAGTTGGCGAAAATTAAATGAATTTAATAATATATTAAGAAAAATGTAAAAAAAAAATAAGCTGCAGTATACTGATTGGATCTGACTTTCTATATGACATACATCTGTTATACTTATATCAATAATCAAACAAAATAAACATTTCGGGAAAATTAGAACAATCTTGTGGTTCAATGAAGTTGTCAAAAATTATATTAATGTATGAAAAATTATTTTTAAAAAATTAGAAAACAAAAACAAATAAGTTACAGATAATTGCACCCGAGTCTCGAAGAAATACTATTTCTTACATACATGAATAATCAAAAAATATTAAAAATCAGGAAATAAGAACGTATACCCAGATATGTTAAACCAAAGAGAAGTAAAAAAAATAAATAAAAATGATATAAAATAAACAAAAAAAAACATAAATAAAGAAGAAAATAAGGTTCATTCTTGGCTGAAGACTCACAACCGAATGATTTTCAAAATACCAGAAGCTGCCTTTTATAGGATTTAGGGCCCACTTGAAACAAAAGCTATGTATATCGATAAAAAGAAAGTGTTGAAAAGGTAGAGAACAATATATAAGGTGTTGAACAGCGAGGGCATCGCTCATCGGCAGTATCGCCATCGAGATCTGCTCATCGCCATTAAGAGAATTCTTAAACTAACAGCTAGACAATATAAAATTTTTAAAAGAAATATGAACCAAAAACTAAAAAAATATTCTGAAATCTGAATACATATTTATCTGACCATAATAACCAAAATTCATCAACTTTTAGATAGATTATACCTACTTATATAATCGTTCCTACCAAAAACTACCAAATAAAGGAAACAATATTTAATATTTCACTCAATTAACAAATATTCCCTAAAAACTGACATCTAACCCAATCCTGACACCTTGAAGGCTCGAAAAAAATTGGTAAGAACCTCTCAGCAATCCAGCATTGCAACATGGAATCCCAGATGTACAAAATGCAATTGTGCAGTTGCAGGAAAAATCCTGTGGCCTCACCTGCCAAACAAAATGGCGATGTGCTGGGCCACGCCTTCCCTGTACGTTGGTTTCTGGCGTCGAAAACGAATCCCAGACTCATCTATTATGGACCAAGTAATTCCACTAAAACGACCCAACCAAGAAAAAAGCCCCGAAAGTGTACCAGGACTCAGTGGCGTCCAAATACAATCAAACAGGACAAAACAAAATTTAAGCCCAAAATGAAATGAACTTCGGATTGAAAATGAAACTAAAATACAAACTAATGATGGCAAAGGACATGGGGGCTGGAGGCTGAGGAGGGGATTGTAGGTGGGCTGAAGGAAGTAAGCTAACAATAGACAAAGTCATAAATCAGAGCGCCAATTTGCGAGGCTGACAGGATTCTACCAAAGGGAGCGGGCTGGAGGGGATGGAGGAGCGGGCAGGATGTAGGGGGTGTGGAGCAAGATGAAGCCGAATAGTTTTCCAGGACACCCAAAAAGTCAAATCTTTGAAGGCGAAATAGGGTTACACTGAAAGAAAACCTCAGAGATGGTCAAAAAAAGATCCTAAAGTAAGGCTGGTATAAGGATTCTCAAGGATAATAGTGATTGGCAAATTAAATAAATTATTATAAATTTAAGGATTAAAATTAATATTTTTTTCAATGCAACATCAGGCAGGATAGGTTCTGCAGGAGGCAACAAATTCATTTCGTAATTGTGGCCAACGACCCATGGGGTGAGCGGCGGCAGTGGGGGGGGGAAATGGCAGAGGAAGGACAGTTAGAGGAGCCCATTCAGGCAAACAATAATAAATGGGATCCAAGATGGAGTCACTGGGATTGGGAATTGCGATTATACGGGGAGATTTTCGTTGCTGGACACCGCCTCCGAAGAGGGTTGGGTGGGGTGGTGAGATAAGGCTTTGGGGGTTAGGCCATAACAATAATGCCTCATAATAAATTAACTGAAATTCACTTAGTTATTTATTTTTTTCAGACTGCGGCGAGATGAGATATTAATGTAAATAAATTGAGTTGTCAAAAAACGGCAAGGAAAAATAAGAGGAAATAAGAGCGAATTAGAAAGGTAAGAGGGCTAGGGGGGTAAAAAATGATATGCCAAATAAATTCCAACGGTGAGTAATCGTTTTCTCATTGTCGTCGCTGTTGTTGCGGTAGCTCCTTTCCCATCCTTGGAGGAACACCCAAAGCTCACGATTGTTCTCCTAGAGATGGCACTTATGCAAGTCCTTTAAGCTTTTATATATTTTTAATGTTTTTTTGGAAAGTTTAGGAATTAAACTTAATAAATTAATTTTTAAATGAGTAAGTAATAAATAATTATAATATGCTTTTAATGTAAGAAATGATTATCATGATAATATAGTTTTTGATATATAGTATTATCAAATTTCATATTTTTAAACGATATATCGTATCATTACTTTCTTCATCTCTACTTCCTCTGCCTTTCACTCGCCCTTGCTCTTTCCCTCCTCCTAGCTTGGCCCACACATTCACCACACTTAACGATGAAAATCCAATTTAAGGCTGCCTCAGTTGTTTGCGCTCTCTTTTTTGGCCCCACAGCCCCCCCTTCCTCCCCCCGCACATCCCCTTGGGGTTAGCCAAGGCGTTTCTTTCTCGCTCCCACCCACCCACTTCCTGGTGGCTTTTGTCTCGTTTGCTCACGTTCGGTGCCACCTAAATAAAGTGTAATAAAATAAAGTAGATAGGGACAGTGGGGTGGGGAAGCCGTATTAGAAACACGAGAGTCAAGCTCCTACTGCATCTGCTTCTTCCTCGACGTTGACTTCATTTGTTGTTTTCTTCCCATGGCACATTCTTCTTCCTTTCTGCCGGCTCACTTTCCTCCTCCCACCACCCACCACTCCCCCTGGCACTTTTTTGCAGCTCTCCATGCCGAAAATTCAATTTCCACAATGAAAATGCGCGAGAAAATTGTCTTACATACCGAGAAGTGTACTCCTGAGTGAGTGGAAGTGAGAGCATCCGAGTGTGCAAGCGAGATGGGTGGATGTCTGTGCTATGGTTTGCTGACTGGAGGGCGCCTGCGCAAAAAAATAATGGGAAATGGCAAAGGCGGCGCTTAGGGGCACACAAGTCGCCCATTCCACCCCCTGGTCGCCCTCACACCACCGTTATTTGCCCGTTCGCTTTCTCACTCTCCCCGGGGTGAGTCCTTTCTCTTTCTGGCATCAGCCATCTTTCTGCTGGCTGTGCTGCCAGCGCCAGCGTCGCTGTCGACGTCGCATCTGTGGCAAGCACCGTTAGATCATTCGTACTCAGACGTTCCACGGGTTCGGTTCAACACCATCCACACACGATATCCCCCCAATCAGCTGATGAGTTAAAAGTTCAAAAAAACCAAAAATACGAAACTTGATTCCTATTGAATAAAACGAGAAATTACAATCCATATTTTCCGTCGGAAAAACGATAATAAACATAAAGGATCCTTGACCCTAAAAAACTAAAGACAGTGCTACCAGTGTGTTCTTCCCAAAATTAAAAAACTTAAAACTTGAAACCCTCATCCTTGATTCGGCCTATTACCTCTCAGATTGACTGTGAAATTTGAAGTTGTATCTTGAAGTTATCCCAACATCCTTTGTGATTTCTCCACACACTCTTTGCTAGAACTTTTGGAAAACTTTTGGAGAAAGTGTTTAGACGCTCGAGGAAAGTTTCTCACCTTTGTCCTACGTGTGTTTCGTGCTGTGAAAACTGCGAAAAAGTTTCAATCAAGCCAATTAGGGCCAAAGAGCGCTCTAGGCCCAAGGCAAAGGATTTTCTTCTGTGACACGCTTGAAGAATTGCTGCCAAAATTTTCACGGACGGTAATAAGGTGAGTTGGGGAAAGAATGGAGATTTAGGAAACTATGGGTCATATATGGGTCAATTATTGAAATTTAGAAACATAATTTCTATGAAAAGACTTGAGACAAATCCCAATTCTATAATATTTTAAAAATATGCATCTAATTTTCTGCAAAAACTTTAAATATTTGGCTAATTTTCAAAAGTTTTGGATATTTTTCTAGGACCTATTTGGAGCTAGACGTATATGAAACATGTTTCCTGGAAAATCTTTTAAATTTTGGGGCTATTTTTGAATTTAGCAACAATTTTATCAAAAAAAAACTTTGAAAATATTATTCCAAACCGGTTTTCAAATCTTTAATTAAACTATTCTAAACTAAATATCTAAACTAAATCTAATGAAAATCTAATCCAAAATCTTTCCTGTAAAATCTTTTGAATTTTGAGGAAACTTTTGAAAAATTAAAGAATCTTTTAGAACCAACTTATAATTGTTGCAAAAAAACTTTAAACTTTATTTTTTTAAGCCGATTTTCAAATCTTGAACTATAAAACTATAATAAAAATGTTTAAACTGAGTAGATTTTCTAATAACTCTTCCGATCTAAACTGTCTTTTAATTCCCAAAAATACCATATAAGTATCTCTCAAGACAGGACATCTTTCATGTGGTGGCACAAAACATTTTTTGCTCATAATTTATTTAGAAGCTTTTAATTTGAATTAAGGAACTCTCCTAATGAGTTCCAAATTTGATAAAAATCAGAGCTGTGGAGTGCCTACAAGTATGCCCCGCACACTCGTCCTGATATGTCCTGAAGTGTCTGGCAAGAGTGTTTGCTGCGATGCCTTTCCTGTCAGAAATCGCACAAAATTTGTGAACACTTGAAGCTTAAAAAAAGGAAAAAAATATATATGAAGGAGTAAAGGCGAGAAGAGAATTAAAACCAAAAATAAAGGATTCAGGAACAAGGATTCCCTGGAAGCTTCACTGCTCGAGGGGAAATGGGGGGAGAAAGGGAACGATTTCAGTTGAAAACTCCTCGTTTAATTGAAGACCGACCAAAAGTTGATCATTCCGCAAATGCAGTTTGAATAATTGATGGTAATTAAGAGGGAAAGAGAGGACGCGAGTGCTGGAAAGAGATGGAAGAAGGGCACAAAATCAATGGCAAATGATTCGCCAAAGTGTGGGGCAGAGGGGGGGCCTGGAAATGGAAAATAAAAAAAGGGGGAAACGAAGTTTCAAATTAAATTGATCAACCGCAAATTAATTGGCAGCCATGCAAACGTTCAACGCTCCACTGGATGCCACACCCACAAAAGGGCGGTGGGGGAGCAGAGGGTGAGGGTGACATCACAGTGGAGTCAATTGGAGTTGACGAACGTGTCCTTTTTTTTTTTTTTACATTTCCAGCGCCATCCATTCGTCGCCAAGTTGCGTTCGATTCGTTCAACTCAATTAGGGTTCAACATTCAACAGAGAAAGCGATGGTGGTGGGGGGTGATTGAAAATGGGGGTGAAAGTGGAACAAAAAGAGGGTGAAAAGAGGGGCCTCCCAGTTAGCTGGCAAATAAAATACAATTTGGCATATTTAAATTAGCAAATGGAATTATCATAGAGAACGGTTATTGGCCGTTATTTTGAAGAAGGTTAGTTCGGCCATGTTTATTGATTGCTTGATTGAATTGAACATGGAATTGCCAAATTGATGGATGGCCAAAGAACTTTACAGCTGCGCAGAATCTAATATGCAAACTAGATTAGTCATGGCATTAGGAATTTTCGTAAATATTCCTTCTTTTTTAATGTTGACTGAATAATATAATTACAAAAATCTTTGATTGTAAATGTACATTTACAATGAAAAATTGAAAATTTATATATAATATTTTCTCATCCTCTACCAGTTTCTCAATCACTTAACGACCGCCCGCAAAGCCAGTATATATCCACATATATAACCCCATCTGGCAAGGCAAATGCACAAAACAATTTGCTTTAATTAAACAGAAAATTCAATCAAAATATTTATTATAAAAAATAATAGCGTGAACCAAAAACAAAACACGAACCAACTCAGAGGGGTTCCACTGACGATCAGTGGCTTTTCCTCCCCATGCGGGCGCCCCGAAGATGACAACATTACACACACGTTCATACCATAGCCCATAATTGAAGGAGGGTTGCCTACGGCGGATCGGTTCAGTTTCGTTTGCCTTTCGAGTTTTGCATAAATTGGCGACACTTGGTCACGAACAAAAAAAGTATATATATATATTAGTGGGTTGATAAAACAAAAGGCAGTGCAGGGGGTGCACCAGCATTGGTGCATAATTCAATTTACGAAAATTTTCACTGCAATTTCCAAGCGTTGATTTGTTGGTGGGTGGCAATCCCAGCCACAATCACTCCGGCCCGGTCCACGGGTCCAGATCTGCACTTAAGACCGGGTCTGATTCCAGGCGCGAGCCAATTGACACAATCAAATTCGAACCTCGCAAATCCGCTTAATGCGCCGCGAGACAAAAAAGGAACCTTAAAAAAGGCAAAACCGCAATCAAGAGGTAAAATTTTCAGTGGCTGCGCTTGAAGAATATGCAGATTACTATACACGACAGTAGAACAAGGCTAACAAAGAATTTGGTCAAGATTATGGGCCAAGATATAGCCTTCCCAAGGGTTTTCGTGCCTGAATGCTTTCGTAAGCATCCCACAGCCATCCGAAGTTTTGAAGAGGCTCTATCAGAAACAATCAGAAAAATATTAAAAAATATTCTGTTGCCAGATTTTGATGCCGGATGGTGGGGAATCGATCTACAAATCATTTCAGATGTTGCACTCAAGGATCGGTGGAGCATTGGCCAAGATATGGACCTTTTAAGTGGTCACATTTGCATACCCCACACTTTTCCCTGTTATTAAAAGGGTACCTCTAAGAAAAATAAAAAAAAAAAAATTATATTCTTTTGCCTGATTTTAATGCAGAATGATTCCAAATCGATCCACAAATCGTTTAATATGTCTTTCCAGATTTCCATCGGATGATTATTGGCTAAGATATGGACTTCGAAAGATCGTACTATATTCTTATACCGCACATTTTTTCTAATTTTAAAAGAGGTCTCCTTAAAAAAACTAGAAAAAAATTATAAAAATATTCTCTGGAATGATTTTTATGAAAATTTTTAAAAAATCTATAGACAAATCATTTAAGCCTTATCCCCCAAGAATCGGATGATTGGTGGCCAAGATATATACATACCTCACAAGCAGATATATGACATCTCATTTAAAGAGTCCTCACTGTTTCCACCCTGATAATGTCAGAAAGCCCACTTTAAAGTTGGATCATCAGTAGACGCAGACTGCGCCAGTTTAGTTTGATTATGCCGGACGGTCAGACGATTCCAAAAACGGATGCACTTTGCTTCGGTTGCCAAAGTGATAACCTCATCAGCCTCCCAGCCTGCAAGCCTCCCAGCCCACACCCTCCTGCACACCCACTCGCATTTCCATATCATCTCACCTCAGTGGGAAATTATCACGCTTTCGGTTTGGCCGCAAAAACAAAGCAGTGCCACAAAAAAAAAAAAGGCACAGCTGTGAGGAGGAAAACTAGAACTAAGCGAGTGTGTGGGTGGGCGGTGGGCAATTTCGCAAATGCGTTTAAGTGGCTCTAATGCCAGCGGGGTGGGGTAACCGGAGATCGGGGGCCGGGATGCGCACGTGGATAGCCGTCGAGGCGATATACCCGTGGATGGATGCACTGCTATGCGGCAGATGACGCAGTCTGGCTGCGAATTATGCCACACCGACGAAAGTATCTATGGATGGAAATGTATCTGTGTTTGGGCTCGTAGCTCGTATCTGTGCCTCGGCTCGTTTAGTGGCGATTTGGCAAAACTGAGATTCAGTACACCGATAAGTCTATTACATAGCATTTCTTTTGACCTTCAGGGGTAAGAGCTTTAAAATCTATATACAATTTTCATTAAAAAAATCGTCTGAAACCCCCTTTTTTAACCAGACTCCCTATCCCATTTGATCCACTTAAATTCAGCGCTTCTGGGTGTTGCACTCGCTGATTGACTTGTGTTTCCATTTTTAATTTGGTTAATTCAAATTAATCAAGCGACAGTTGATAATTTCTGTCGCCCCACCGAGCCCCCCTTTCTGACGCTGCAGAATGCATTTGTTGCATGGAAAGTGCATTGGCATTGGAGTCCAGACTCATACATATTCATATATTTATTCGCATTGTTGTTGTTGTTGTTGTCGTTGTCCAGACGCACTTCCCACTTTGTTGTTTGTTCAATTAATGCAATTGCTCGTTTTGTCTCTTTTGCTGCAACTGCTGCTGGTTGTTGTTGCTTTTTTTTTTTTTATTCGTGACATTATTAATTTATATTTTTATTACTTTTTATAGCTGCAGCTGTTGCATAATGCCCTCAGCAGTCCAGTCGCTTCTGTTGCTGCAACAAATTGCATTAAATTCTGATGCGTTTTAATTAATTTTGAGTTAATTTCGTATTTTATTATTTGGCCAGCACTCACAGCAAACAATTGGGTAGATACTGGGATATAGGGGGGACTTAAATCAGTTCTGATTGAATTTGTATAATTTATTTTTTTTTTTTAGATTTATTTTGGAGTGTGAAAACTAAAATATGACCAATAGAGTACTGGGATGTTTTTGTAGAGAAGCTCATTTAGTATTTTTAAAATTTAAAAGAAATTTTAAAATTTACTTTCCTTTAATACTTTTCTAAAAATTTTCAATAATCCATTGACTTTTCTCCCAATTCAAGTCTGCTATACTGCACTAAATGGAATTTGGCGAACACTGCCACCATATTCGCATCCACATCCGCATCCGCTTTGGTGTTATACCCCCTCCTCCCACCCAGTACTCCCTCCGCTTATTCCACTTCTCTACGTTCTGGCGGTAATCCTCCCGCTCTGATTGAATTTCCCCGTTTTTGGCGACGGCTCGTGGCAGAAACTAGCGCAAGCTTCCATTGCTAAACCCCCATGTCCGAGGACCGAGTGGACAACAAAGGCTTACCACACAGATTTCCACCAATCTGCCAGCCCTTTTCCCCCATTTCCCCCCTCCTCCTTCCACAACTGGCGTTTTCCATCCGCTTTCCCAGCCAGTTCCCTGTGTGTTTTGGGAGAAGTGCAGTCAAATCGAAATCGTTGCGCTGTTTAGTGCGCACTTAATTGAATTTCGCGTGTGCTGCTCCACCATACACACACACACAGATACTCATACTCACACACAGATACACTAATACAGAGAGTTGTGTTGCATTGTCTAGGCCACAAACATTGCCAAGTGCATTTCGTGCAATTGGATAATTGCATTTGGCTTGGCGTCGCATGTTGCCAGTTGCCAGCGACTGTTGCAACACCAATTGCAAATTGCAGCAACAACAGGAACAGCTATCCAGGCACTAGTTGGTCAGGTGTTTTTGGCACTTTAGTTCAGGTGAGCAAATTCCAGGTGATGGCAATTAGCAGGGTCAGCCTAAAAGTAGGCAGAGGAATTCAAAAAGATAGAAAATCTAAAACCTTTAAAGATGTTAGGAAATTTTGCGTTTTATTTTATTTAAAAAAAATTTATTTTTCCATACATGCCTCCTCACAGCTCTCTTTCGAAGGAAACTTATTCATGTTTCCACCACAACCGCCATAATTGAAGGCCAAACATTCGTTGCTCATCGGATAGTAGGAATAATAAATAATACGGCCAAAGCAACGCCGAAGTTAAAAGCCATTGGCAGCAGGAACTTGTCCACAGATAGCTAAGAAATACAATCAAATATTTTGAAGCCGTTCACTAAACTAATAATCATCCTACTAACGATCTTTTAATCCTAAAACAAGGCCAAACAGGACACATATTACAGCTAAAATGGCCAAGGATTTCATTATTCTATTTTTGATAGATTTCAGCCAGAAAGAAACTGTCTAATTTGAATCTTCTTTAGCTACTAAAAGCTGGTACGATTTACTTCAGAGTAAATAAATGTGTCTAAAACATATTGCCAAAATTTCCATAAAGTTAATTTCACGCTCACAACCAATCATTCATTATACCCTTGGAGAGAAAATTATAATTTTGGTCAAAAGTGTGGAACGAAAGGAAGGAGACATCTCCGACCTTATAAAGTATATACATTCATAAAAATATCTAAAAAATATTTTGTCTCAAGATTTTGATGCAGAATGGTGGAGAATCGATCTAGAAATCGTTTAAGGTGCAGAAATTGGGGAAGATATGGCCATCACTATGGAAATATTTTCAGTCCCATCACTAAAAATGGACGAAACATCGAAAAAATATTTTGCCTCAGGATTTTGATGCAGAATGGTGGCGAATCGATCCAGAAATCGTTTAAGGTACTCCGCTTGTGAATCGGATGAGATACTAGGGAAGATATGGCCATCACTGTGGACCCCATATGGGGAAAACCCCATTTTCAAGGGATCCCATCACGAAAAATGGACAAAAAATCTGAAAAATATTTTGCAAATCGATCCAGAACTTGTTTAAGGTACTTCCGATTGAGAATCAGATAAGAATTGGGGAAGACTCTAATACTCAACCTTTTATTTTCATAAATATGAAGTTTTTTTTAAAGAAAAACAAAGTTAATGAAACTATTTAGCAGACTAATGAACTGCGACATTGTTCTGTCTATAAAAGCCATGAAATTATTTTCTCGCTTAGGTGCTGACTTATTCAAACACTTCGATTTGCAACTATCAATGGTAGAGAAAAAGTTTCCAGTAACCGAACAGGCTTTGAATTGGAGTTTCCTGCATCTGTTCCTATTGGCTACAAAGGAATATCCTTTGATTTGTTCCTTACATTCTCCTTCCACTTTAGGTTCTTTAGTGCAAATAGCTAAGTAAGAAAAATTTACAATATATAAACTTAAAAATAAATTTCATTTGGTTTATATACTCACGATCCTTTTGAGCCAAAGCCAGGCAAATAAAGATGTTTATTAAACAAAGCCAGATTTGGATTTTGTTTTTCATCTTTTAAGTTTCTTCAAATTTCATCCGTCTGACTCAATGGCTAGACGATGACTGAAAGTTAAGACTCAGGTGTATTAAAAAAATATAGAATACTAATTTTCCAGTTAATGCTTTGAACTAAATATTTATTTTATGGCTTCTTTTAAGTTACTTGCTCTAACTTTTTATTATAAAATTCCATATCATCGCATCTTGTTTCAAATAAAATGCCTTTGCTAGAGAATATCACCGAATTATATTTATTCTTTCATATCTTGTGAAATTATAAACGCCAATTGGTTAGCTTAGAGATCATATCCCGTACTCGTTCCCCAATTCGGTCAATGAAGTAAGTAAATGGAGCTTCTTTCAAACTATTGAACTCCTTGCACAGATCCTCGCATTGAGATCTGGACTTGAAAAAGTTTCCGGCTATGGAACAACCTCTACCGGAAAAGTTTACGCATCGGTTTCGAATGTTACTATAGGTATAACCCACAAAGCTGTTCTGACAGTCTCCAACAAGAAGGGGTTCAAGTCGGCAAACGGCTAAGAAAAAGTTTACATTATTTTAATATTTTTGTTAGATAAGTTAGTAAATATTTACGATTAGTTTGGGCCAGGACATTGCCAATCAAAATAAATCCTAAGGAAACTACAGCAAGGAAGTTCATTTTTGAAGCTCAGATATGAACTGTGTTTATAAAGCCCTTGGCTAAGACTGATTTTTATGTCACAGGTTTGCTCTATAAATAAGGAAAAACGATCTACATTTATTAGTCTATAAATATTAGTCTAATTTGCATTTTAATCTTTTCATACCCTTTACACCTTTAAATAGTTTTATTGCTATTAAAGCTATTTAAGTTTTCAATTGTCACTTTGTATTAATTTTATACAAAAAGAGAGAAATAAATCAAAAAGAATATTTTTAATAAACTTAAAGAAAACTCCAAATAGATTTATTTCAATAGATTTTATTGATTTAGTGAAATTACAAACTTACGGCTTTTTTGTGAGAGTAAGTCACATTAGGGAAAGTAATAGGGTAATAGAGACTAAAAAGTGCATTTTTCTTAACTGACCTGTCCTCTTCGTTTCAGAACGATGAATAAGTTACAAATTTTAACTCAAAACACCTAATAGAACTGTGAACTATTATAGCTTTAATTATCATATTTATTGTAAGTTTATTATTCAAGAAAATAAAGGCATTTTGCATTTTAAGCGCTTTTTGGGACCTTTGCTTCTAAGATTCAAAATTACTTTAAAACTACAAAAACTCTTAGCTATTACATTCTTGTCTATGTTAATACATTTTGCAAACAAACCTCTCCCATTTAGAACTCATTTAGACTTAATGCAGACTCAGGGCCAAAGTAAAAGCCATGTCCAATTTGCGTCTCATTCAGGTGAGACTCGCAACTAATTTGGACCATCTCACCACTCCATTAGTGCAGCGCATAACTATAATCTCCACTGTGCTCCGGACATTAAAATTTCAAAAATCAATTTCAGAAATAGCATTTTGATTTGATTTAAATGTAACGCCCCAAGGTCCGGGGTCCGAGTCCGGATCCGGGCCTAAGTGAGAGCTTTCCCTCTGACGCACATGGGTTTGGTATTATCCTGGGGTACTCTGCACCGCAAAAGCTTGCCCCTCCCTGGCCCTAGCCCTTCTGACCTGGGCTGGGTCCTGGTGCGGAACTCCTGTGCCTATTTAATACGTCCAAAATAATTCAGCATAAATTATTCAATGGAAATTAATTCACTAACAACACCAGTAACGGGCTGCTCACACATTTCGGTCCCTCTAGCCCCCTCCCACTTCTGCGCTGGCACTAAAACTTTAGAGCAGGTCCACTGGACCAGGTCCTATACAATATCCATCCTATACAGCCGACAGGCTATCCGACCAGGCAGCCAGGCTGCCAGGCCGCATGTGCAACATTAGACACGAAATGGCAATTTTCCATTTGGCAAATGAGTTTTGCGGCCGACGGACTCCAAATATAACAATTATGCAAAATTACAAATTCTCACAATTCTAATGGAATGTTGGGCCCAGGAGAGGGGCGTGGCAGCTGCCAAGTGGGGCCGGGCGGAAGCTGAGCGGGGGGCGGTAGGGGAGGGCACAGGTGAGGGCCGGACTGGGTTCCCGCGTTAAATGGAAATTTATTGGCGCCACTTGTCGAGGGTCGACTTTTGGGAGCACGGACACATCTGTGACCAGAAAACAGGCAGCTGAATACAGTTTTACACTGTTATAAATATTTGAATAAAATGTTATAATTATTTATGAATGTTTGGTTGTAAGTTTTAAGTAATAAAATATAAAGGTTCAAAGGGAAAATATGTATGAAAATTTGTTAATTACTTTTCTTTTGTATAGTTAAGAGTTCTATGATTTTAATATTATTATAATACTCCTAGAGACCTGAAACTTGATTCAGAAAAACTCTTTAAAATTACCCAAAGACCTGTAATTTTTTTACAGTGTCTTCAGGACACAAAAGTAGGCAGGACACGCGCTACCGTCGAGCTCGTTAAATTATTTTGCGTGTGTAAATTTGGCGGAAATAGTCTGTAACATGATATGCTAACACTTGTGGTGCTGTGGTGCAGGGTAGTAGGTGGGTGGTTGGCCGGGTGGGGTAGCCACTGCAGCTGGCCTTCGTCGGGCGGCGTTCCAACATAAATAAAATTCATAAAAATTTTTTTGAACAAATTTACTCAAATAAATTAAAACGTTCCGTACACACGACCAGTGCAAGGAGAGATGACCTGCCCCACAAGCACCACCCATTGGCGCCACCTGACCCAGGCTGGGTGGGTGGTTGGTTGGGTTAGCAGTTGGCTGTATTACTCGGTCTATGGGAGTAACAATTAATTTTAATTGCAATTGAAATGTAACTGGAAATGTGATATCCCGACAAACAAAAACTATAAAAGATGGATGGACAAACACAGGAAATTGGCATGGGCCTATGAATAAAGAAATAGTGGCTAAAAAGGAAATAATGTTTTAAAATTAATACAGGCACTCCATATACCAATTGATGGAGCATTTTATGGTGAGGCTTATTTTGTAAAATGCAAATTTTTGGCTTGAATAATGAATCAATTATTAGTGGAAATTGTATTGTAGTTTCAGCGATGAAAGCCAGTGAGTCATCTGCTCTTTTTTTTTTCTCAGCCATATCAATTACAATTCGTGAAGAAAGAAAGCGCCTTTCTATGATCTTCCCTATCTGAGAATCTCCCTTGACTTCTTTGCAGCCCCCAGATAAGAACTTTCCCTAGAAACGGGTATTACTTTCCTTTCGGGTATGGGACTTACCCACCCCTTGTGGGCATGGGTTGGACATGGAAATTCCTCGACTAATTAAGCCATAAAGTGCATTGGGAAAGGCGCCAGCAAAACGCAAAACATCTCTATGAGAGTTCATCAAGACCAGTTACAGTTATGGCCATAGTTATATGCCGACTGGCTCGACTCTTTTGCGGCAAATGCAATTAATTTAAATCAATTGATTCGTTTGAGGACAATTTAATTGTATGCAGACGACACACAATGCATTCGGGTACATCACATACCATCGACTATAGTCGAATCGAATCGAATCGAGTCGGACCGAATGACATGCAGATGAAATCGATTGTAGATGATTTGTCAGAAGTCTGTAATTGCCTTTAATTGAATCGAATTGAGTTTGAGGTGCATATGACAACATTAAAGGCGACGCAGAGTCGCCAGAACAAGAAACCCGCATGCAACTCGGCTCCAATTGAATTGTGCCTTTAAATTACAAGTTTCTCGTTCTCGTCCATTGCCATCATGAATGGCAAGTGAATTTATCAAAATTATATGCAATTTAAAGATTCTTTTTCACAATTTACTCAGTTCTGGTATCTGATTCGTATAACCATTTAATGTTTATGTAATTTTTCAGCTCGGTCCTGCAGCCGCGGGCAGAGGAATGTTTTGCTACCAATGTCCACCCGCCCTGCATCCTTGCGGTCCGCATCCGCCACGCCTGCCAACGCTCGACTATCCTTTTGCGGCAACACATCCTTGTAAGTACAACAGTCTAGTCTTTGTAGTTATATAATCCCATAATCTAATACTTCCTAATTCATAAAACCTAACTAAGTGAAACATAATTTGCAGAAACAGATGTATTTCCAACTGCCAAAAGTGCAATCTTTTCACTTTCATCGAATTAAATTTAGATTAAAAGCCAGTGATAATTTTCGGCGGGCGAGTTGTTACTTTTTTTGTTCCACTGTCAGTGGATTATTATCGTATCGCAAAGGCGTATCTTTGTATCTTGCAGTTACATTAACGAATTATTCTATTAGCATCACCAGGGCAGGCTGGCAAGAATGGTAAGAGTCGAGGGCATATCAGATTTCACGGTCGCACATGTCGAGAGTTAGCTGTTTGTTCAGAAAAGTTTGCCATTCGGTCAGAGGGTAAGTGTTATGGGAAAATACAAGGGAGGATTTAGAAGAGTGAGGTTCATAGGATATATATTTTATTTTAAGAGGAAACATATAGACTTGCTGTCTAAAATATCCATCACTAAAAATAATACTTTTGAATGGTGGATAGAACAGTTCTTTCCCTGACGTGGACTCATAAAAAATCCATTTCGTTGAATTTGGTGTAAAGAAAAGCCACAGCGAAGCAATTGGATTTCCTATGGCCTGGACCCAGTCCCTCCACTCCACTATCCATATTCCCGTCCAAACCAAATAAACTTTGCCTGGCACTCCAGAGTCAGAATCCGAGAGACAGAGGCCCCATTGCCATATAACTATAATTGAATAAAAAAAAAGACCAGAAAGGGAACGGGAGGAGGCAAGTCAATCGATATTCGAATGCCGGATGGAGGGGACTTTTGGGGGCTCTGGGGGTATATTTTTGGAGCAAAGGAGTGGCCAAAGGCAAAGTCAAGCAAACGTGAACGTGTCGGAAAGTGAAGCGATCCATTCGAATTGGAATTGGTATTGGTATTGGAATGGAGTGTTGATGGGATATGGTACATATAGTATATACGTATGTTATGCACCTCCTGCCGAGGGTGAGGAGGAATTTTGGATTTCATTTCATGCAATTATCGTTTGGCAAAGCGTTAATGCTTTGGCATGCAAATTTTCCTTCTGCGAACGGAGCGGAATGCGGCGACAGATTTCGACAGATTTTCAAAGTGAGTCGGTTGAGTGCCGAGGCATTTATCCAAAATCATAAATCAAAGCATCACCTGCCGACGTTGGCATAGTTGATTGATATTTTTTTTATCTCCCACCCAACCACTAACCATCCATAAAAGGCACCGCCAACGAATCACAAAAAAATCAAACAAATATGTACGTTTCTTGCCATAAATTGCAGTGCACTTTGTGTGGCTTCCATCATGTGCTATTTAATGGGATTAGACGAAGACTTACGGACGCATTACATAACATCTTGGCACGTAGATCTCTGCACATCCACGCCCCCTAGTCACTCCTCCCGCCCTGCGTAATCCTAATCAGGTGCAAATTCTATTTACTCTTGACTGATTCAATATGACATTCGGATAGACAGACGGCGAGGCAACAACTTGGGACGCCCTTGGGTCATGGGGCCCAGAGCCGGGTCCAAGGTCCTTCGAGGGACTGTCGCTTTTGATTTGCGACAGCTTAAGGCCCCTAATGTAATTTGTAAAAGGATAATGACTGCCAAGGCAATCACTGAGGGAAGTTCTTGGTGGAGATACTAAGCTAAGACTTAATATTCCAAGTTAACATGACTATTTCCGCTTAAACCCTGATACATACCAAACTTTTATAATTAATTTTACCATGAATAATACCCAAAATTTACACATGACGAAACTCTCTGGAGAGTGTGTGTCATTCATTCCCAGAAACCATAAGCACACCCATAAATATCGCTCACAAATCAGAATAAAAAATTCCCCGGACCATTTGCATTTCTAATTCAATTTGTTGGCTGCTTCTCGGAGATTCCGATTCGTGATTCCTTTACTTGATATAGCCCCCTCCCCAGAAGAAGCCAACCCTCCTATAGTGTCACCCCGAGAACGCTTCTCAATTGCTAAACTAATTTAAAATTTTGCCAACGCGTGCCCGGACTCTGAAATTCTGAAATTGAGACGGTGACACTTCCCAAACAAAATAACAAAAATTCCAAAACGGGGCAAGGGCGGGAATACGACCTTCTGCCAGCGGACTTCTACTTCTTTCCCCCAAAAATAATAAAAATAAAAAGAAACTAGGCCAGCAAACGAAAACTATAATGAATGCTAATTTTCAGATCTCAGATTAAGTAAGCGAAACTGAAATCGAATGAGAATTGATTTTTGTTTCGTGTGGATCCTACACAGAAACGGCAGACAAAGTTGCAGACATGTTTCTTGAGGATATATACAGAGTCGAGTGGGCGGCTAGGTAGGTGGGTGGTGGGGTGGCTTGGGTGGTGCCGAGTTGATTGCAAGGACTCTTGACTTGACTGCTCCCAGACCGAAAATCCCTTAATGATGGTTTCGCTTGTTATGCCAAATGTTTAAAAATTGAATTATCTCCCATTACCGGCGCAGCTAACGAGCAGACACAGAGCAGCTTCAGTGCACTAAGAAAAATATATTATATAAAATAAATTAAAATGGTATCTATAGATTAGAAAGAATATAAATGAATCAGTTAAATTCTTTGCTTTCATACAAATGAATTTCAAACAAGTATCTTATTTTAAATCAAACTTATAACTAAAACTTCTTGAAAAACACACCACCATTTTATTGAATATCCAAGCTAAAGCCTCATAATATCCCCATAATATTTTTCCAAGTGCAAAAAGAGACAGCTTACTTCGTTGCCAGACAAAGACAGCTATCGAAAGCCAGAAAGAGTGAGGTAGAAGGACCTGCCCAGAGACATAGACGGTTGCCTGTTGGTTGGTTGGCTTGTCTGCGCCCCCCTTTGCGTACTTTTTGAATCAATTTGCCAACAAGGATTTGTTAATCCTGTCTTCCTGACAAGTGCGGTTAGTTGACTTGTTGTTGCCACTGTTGCTGCTGCCGCTGCTGTTGCTGTTGCTGCCACATGACGTTTGATGTTCGAGTTTTGGAGGAAAATGGGTAATGGGAAGGCGGAAATCCTCCATCGAGCAGGGTGGTTGGGTTCGGTTTTTGGTAAAGCTTTCAGCATGAAATTCTTATTGCCCAGTTTTTGGCCAGCTTTTGCTGCTGTTGCGCTTTGGGATTTGCACTCGAAACCTAATTGTGCTAATTGCCAGCCGCTTGGACGTCATTGGAACGTTTCTGGTCTCTTCTACGTACTTTTTTTTTTTTTTTTGAAGGCCCGAAGCATTTTTGGCCGGTAAATTTCCGCCCACTTAGAACCCAAAACCTGGGGCATATCCATTTGCATTTTAGGCAATTATTGGCTGAAGAGAATTTGATTAGCAAGAAAATTGCACATTGCAGCTTTCGAGTCAGTAGGCAGATGAGCTGGAGATGAGCAAGTGGAGGAATAGCAGCGATCGTGATTATCCTGGAAAAGCAATAGATATAGGATAGAGATGGGGGAATTAAGAGGAATAAGAGGCTTACTATAGATCTTAACAGTTTTCTGTTATAAATAACCTATTTTTAATTGATAAAATAATAATTACAATACCTCCTCTTATATTTGTCTTTCCATCTTCCACCTCTAATAGTAACATAAATGCCCTCAACTTCCCAGAAAAAAAGAAATTATAATAGGTAATGCTGAGTGCAAATGGCTCAACTCATCGACTATTCGATTAACTTGGCTCCTTTGGCAAAACTCTTTGAACTGATTGCCTGGTCCTGGCACGAAATGCGTGCTTCATTAGCAGGATACCTCTACACACATAGATCCTTCGGCTTACCTGAAAGCGCAAAAGAAACCAAAGACAGAGTGGAAACATTTTCTAATTATTTTCATAATTAAATATTAATCGATGGCAGGCATAGCGACACTTGGCGATAGAGAGCCGGAGAAAAACGTAGTTGAAAACAACATTAGTGCGCATTACACGGATTCTCCAGGGATTCAGTGGGAAGGCCACTGAGAAAGGGGGCGGCGCCAGGATGGGACGACCTTCGTCCTGGCGCAAATGAATGCCAAAGTAACAACATTTTAGCTAATCGGATTAGAGCCCCCCCAAAAAAGTTGACACACAGCCCGGCCCGAACAGACAGAGACGGCGAGAGGTCAGGAGAAAAAGACAGAAGCTTTGCGAGGCTTTGGCAAGAAGAAAATTAAAATTAAATTTTGCAATTTGCCAGCTAATTATTTATTTAAAATCAAATTGAAAATTAATTTTACAACACGGACGCACCGAGTCCGGTCGAAAAAGGTCCAACAAAGTTTCCGCCTTTCGGCTTTACTTTTCCATTTTCCAGAAGCGGTCGGCGAGCAGGGAGTGGGGGAAAAAAGGGTGAGTCGCTGGGGGAGGGATTTTCGGGCGGAGGTCAAGTGAGGCTGTCAACGCCTTTCCTCTCTCTGTCTCTCCTTCTGGCAAAGGAAAAAGCTCAAAAGGCAGTTATAAAATATTTTGTAGCATACAAAATGGCGCTGCTGCTAGAAAATTCAATTAGCCTGCAATTTTTGGCAACAGCTGGCTTTCAGCAGAAAGGCAACTTGGCCAAGTTGTCAGCGGTGAGTCGGGGCCAAAGGATTTTTGCCAGCAAGGGCAGAGAAAAACTTTTGGCTTCAATGATTTCCAAGGCATTTATAGTTGGTTCATTTAAAATTTAGAGAAAAACTTGTCCATGAATGGGCCATAAAATAATGGAGTTTTATATCCAGGATAAAAAATAATGGAAACCAAATAAAGTAACTTGTAATAACTTTTAGTTTCTGGCTTTTACTTATTTCTTCACCTTTTTTCAAACTAATCCCTTAACTATATTTAATTCATGGCCACTATTTGGCCAAGACATCCACATCCCAGCTTAGTGGCACTCAAGCTCTAACGCCCTTGGCTGCAACTAGATAAATTATGTCTGCTAATGCAACACACCTATCTTGGCTAATACTCTCCGTCTTCTTTTAATCTGCTATTCCTCCAGATACCAGCTACTCGTATCATCCTGCCATCCACGATGAGACTTTTGTCCGGCGGAAGCAGCGACGGAATCGCACCACCTTCACACTGCAACAGGTAACTAACTCCAAAGCTGGAAAAACAAGCAAAAAGTTGATGTTTAATTTTTAATTTGAAAACAGCTGGAAGAACTGGAAACGGCCTTTGCCCAGACCCACTACCCAGACGTATTCACTCGCGAGGATCTGGCCATGAAAATCAACCTGACCGAGGCTAGGGTTCAGGTAAGACACCACCACTTTCTGTGATTTTTCAAAAATTATGCAAAACAGGGAAAGAGTTGGGCAAAATCCAAAGAAAAAAAAGGTTCGGCCAACTGAGAAATATTTAATTCAGCGAAGAAACTCACGAAATCGTATCAAATTTCATAAGGACAACCCTAGAACGGTCACGCATTTTGATCAAAGCCCTAACTATATAGGTATATATAACCCCCTCCCTAAAACCGATTAATAATGCATATGCATGCCAAACAGGCTCAAGGACTCGGGGATTACAAACGGGTTCGGGGTTTCTGGGGTGGCGTGTAGAAAACGTAATGCAATAACTGCTCTTAAAAAAATATTTTCTATATACATTTTCAATGAAGTTGGTGGGGCTGGCACCCAGGCACCCAGATATGCAAAGTTCTTAAGCTCTAATCGGCAAAAAAAAAAAATATGAAAAGAAAGTAGAAAGTTTGAGGGGTTCATTGCAAATTGCTCTTTATTGCTGGTTATTGAATTTATTTTTCAATCTTCCAAGTTGGGAGGAGAGCCTCCTTTTTAAGAGAAACAGGAAAGTAGCCATAAAATTAAATAAAATTGAGAAAGGCTTTTTATTTCACATTAATGTCACTCATGAAGAATAAGGTCTGGCAATTGGCTGGACCAAAATTAGAATCATTTTGTAAGACATTTGAATTAATAGCCTCGTGCGGATCAAGATGCAAATTAAGTCAGGAAAAGATTGTTAAGTCTGGTAACCATTAGACGGAGGCAATTTACATGGAATTGTGAAGTGCATTTGTCAGATTAGCGCACGGCAGGCTGACAATTAGCGGATCCGTACTTCCACGGATAGGAAAAGAGGTACAAAGATACTCGGGGTAGATCCGTAGTGGGCGAACTGAGCGAATCTCTGGGCACTCGAGCACGTCGACTTGTAAGGCCGAAAGCAAATTATGCACACGGCAAATGGAAATGAAACTGCAACTTAATGAGGATGCCGCACTAACTAGACACGTTCGCGAGCTGGGCCCACGCACACTTAGGTGGCTATTAAAAACACTTTGGTGGCGTTACGACATCCTCTCTATTTTTCTATTTCCGGCGCAATTAGGCGCCTTAGCTTTTCAAAAAGATTTCTCCTCATTTTCCCAGGCGTAACCAGATACTTGCAATTCAATTTGGCTGGCAACTTGATATTTGTATATTTTTTATTTGTCAAGTGTTTCTATTTGTGGGACACTTGTCGCAAACACGTGTACTTGTCAGGCTAACAAAATTACAAGTTAATAATACTACCAGAACTGCAAAACCCATCCCCCAAAAACCGAAGAACCTGTCAAATGCCACCAACTTTTTTATGGTCCGAGTTTGCAGAGTCCGAAGTTCTTTAACGAAATTGTGGAAATAACTGCGGCAAAAAGTGTGGAAAAAATTGAGCAGGAAAATGGGAAAACAGCACTTTGACTGGACAGCTTAGTCTGGGATTTCGATAATGGAATGAATGCCAAATATTTTGATGAGGGTGCACCACCGCCATCCATCCTGCCATCCAGACCAGCTTTTCCTGGTCTCGTTTTTCCAACCGCATTTTGACACATTCCGTTCGCTGTTCTTTATTTGGCCCGTTCGCCGGGCAGGAGCGGAAATAAATTTTATAATAAAATTTATTATGTGTACTTCGTTTGATTCCCCAACAGCCCTGGCTCCTGTTTAGCCGCTCACTTGCCTGTAACCTGTAACCTGATACATTTTCCACGCGATTTTTTTTTCGTCTGTCAATTTTTGATGCCCTAACAGCCGACCCCGGGAATTGTCTGGGCTCTGGATTTTATTTATTTTTTTTTTTTTTTGAGAGAGTTCAGTGCAAAAATCATTTACTTAATGTATAGCAGCGAGCTTATGGTTAAAGCCCCGGGTCCCAGCTGGATCAGGGAAGTGCTATATAATATATACAGAGGCTCACCTGACAAGGACAAAGCACTTTGAAGTCGAGCTAATGCCGGAGAGCTCTTCTAATAAGTGATATTGATTGATAAATGAGTGGAAAATTTGATTTTTGAATAGGTAGAGGGGAGATTTGTTATTTTAAGAGGCTGAAGAGGGAGGAATGTGAATAAAGAGGGGTGTAGTTGGGCTCTTACTGCACTTTAATGTGATTTTTGATAGAGCACCCTATTTTCATCTTGAATTATGTTTGGCGCTCATTAATTACTCATTTAATAAGCCTTCTCTCTGGCCTCCAAGTTATCAATTTCCCAGGCCAAGGCGATGAATAATGAAGTTTTTAGCCCGGTGAGATTACCGCCTTACACTTCCGCGTATACTCCACCTCATACATAACTAATTCGATTAAAATTAATGTACGGCAGCAGGACAATTCGATGGGCAACACCCACACGAAACTAAAACCACCCGTTCGGAAATGCGGAATTAAGCCAAAGGGCTGCTTACCGCAAATAATGCCAATAATTGATAATTTATTATAATCACAGGGTCCAAGTAGCAATGTGAGAAACTGTTTGGCGGAAAAAAGACTCAGAAGGTGGTTTGGAAGAAGGAGATTTTGGTTCAAGGGTTAAGGATATACACTGGGGGAAACTTGAACTACAAAAACTCCATTTCCAATTCCTTGAGGATCAAACCCTTAAGCTTCCCTTCTTTAACCCTTTATTGGCTTGGAAAATTCTAAGATTTCCTTGGAATATTTTCCCCAGTGTGCAGGACTATTGGGTTGATCGGACTGCCTGTCAAATAATTGCATTTGCTCGAGTAATCCTTTAATGCTGATCCAAGTTGATGGCCGCCTCAGTCGGCAGTCGAAGCGAGTTGGCCTCAGGATATGGGCGGTTTCGAAACCACCCGAAGGGAGTAAAGGACTCCCATCCTGGGAAGGAAGGGCGGTGGTGATGTGGTGTCGGCTGCTGCGGTAGCCCAATTATTGTTGTTGCCACTGCTGCCGCTTTAGGTTGCAAAGGGTTCAGCCACAAGCAAAATGCGTTTGATATTAACACATCTGTTCATTCATTCCACTTGGTCTGCTTCATCGTCATCGTCATCGTCATTGGCATCCTGGCTGATCCTTGCGGGGTCCTTGGGTGTTGTTTGCATTGAGTGTTTCGGACCAAGCTGTTTGCGGAAGCTAATGGTGCGCACTTGTCCGTAATTACTTCATGAACGACTTCCCCTCTCCATATCCCTGCGAGTTTTGTTTCCTTCCTTGGGTGGTGTTTACCTTTTGTTCGCTGGCATTGTTTCCTTTTTTTTTTATTTTATCCAGCATGTAACTGGCTGTGTAACAACTTTTGGTATTGTTTACCCAACCCCGCTCCATCCGCCCCTTTCGAATGTTTACTTATTTGTTTTCGTTTTCATGGCAAATCGGTTATCGTGTAACTTGTACAACCGCAAAAATTATGTTTGCCCAGTGTATATAAATAATTGTTGTGCCTTGTTATTGTTCTTCCAAAATTATGCGATATTTTTGCCGCCTTTGGGCGTTTTACCAGGGTAAATAAATTACATGAAGTGGGTCCGAGGGTCCTTCACAGGATCCGTTTCAACGTGTTGATAAGAAGAGACATGTGCAGTGAGTCGTTAATTATTATTATGGGAAATTAGGGTCAATATTTGATCGGAAAAGATTTTTAAAACAATAGAGGTATTCAAATATTAAATTTTTGGACAATTTTTACAAATTTGTTGTTAGAAATAATAGGTTTTTTAAGCGCTTTTTATCGAAGAAATAATAACTAGACAATTTACTCCCAAAAGTATGCTATGCTTTTCTGACTTTTTAATCCTCTCTTAATCTTCTTAATCTGATTATATCTTTTAAAAACTCTTAACTAAACCACTCTCTAGTCCATTTTTTTCTTTAAATAAAAATCAATATTTTACATAAACTTTACTACATAAAATATTAAATAAATATAAACAAAAGACTCCATCTTCCAAGCTCCTTTCTTGTAATTCTCGACAAGCAATCAAGGAACTAAGCCAAGCGAATTAAATAAACAAGAACATATTAAATTCCGAGTAATAATAAAAAATACAAAATTGTGCATGAAATTATGATTGAGGGCAAGGTAGAGGGAGAGAGCCCGAGGGCAGGGCGAGCGAGACAGACGCAGACAATTGTTTTTCATTATTCAATTTTTGTCATTATAACGGGAGCAGTCAGAGCTACTTTTATCGTTTGTTCTTTCATCTCTTTCCTCCTCCTTGGCACACACACACACACACATAAATATATCCTTCTCTGTCCGCATCTACCCCCAGGGCCGAACACACCCACACTCACACACACACAGAGAGAAAAAAAGTTTGCCCAGCCATATTTTATTGGTAATGTGCTTATGGCATAAATATTGTATTAAGTAACTGGTGGGCGTCACCACCAAAAACGAGGAAAACTGGAAAAGTTCAGGCCCCACCGGGGGTGTTATGGGTGTTGGGTGGATGTCAGAGAGTGTGTGTGTGATGGGGGGTGGAATCCTTCTGGGGGTTGGATTGTGCGCCATTTATTGTTTGCCAAGGCAAAAAAAGAGCTTGGGAAGTGCGGGGAGCAGGAAGCAGCTCCCGTTTTTGCCACACAAGTCTGGGGAAACATGGCGGATAAAATATATATAAATACCAGTGAGTGGAAGAGAGAGGGCAAAGGAGTGAAAGAGAGGCGGGGAATTAAGGAAAGTCAGCCAGTTTGGCTTCGGGCCAAAGAATGTTGAAATTGTTTTATGCTGCGTTATGATTACAACAATGGAGCCAAAATGCCAACTTTTGCACAATGTCTAATTTGAATTTTGATTAGGAAATTTACTTACACACACACACACCCACACACACTCAGAGGGAGTGATTTTCATTCAAGATGGCGCCCTGCAAGTAAAATCCCATTAGAGGGCGCTCTAAGCTGGGGAATCAGCGAAAAGCGGAACTAAAAGCAAACGAAAACGAACGGGAAGTGAACGAGTGGTTTAGGAAAATTCAAGGGAAAACGGGGTACACGTCGGAGAGGGGAGGAGGAGGATGCCTGCAAAGGAAACACGCGCGCATAAGCAATCCAAAGGATGTGTCTAAGGATGCCAGGGCATTGTCTTGATTGAACCTCATTAGAGCCAAGGCATCCATGTGTGTGAGAGTGGGTCCCCCATCCTTCGTCCTTTTCGTCCTGTCCCAGCACACCCCCAGCCCCAATTTAGGCGCTGATTACAGGGCAAATTTGTTTTGTCTTCGTTGCGAAAATTGAAAATCAGATTTTGTTTGTTTACGTCTTAGATTGGCTGGAAGGACAACGGCAGCACGACAAATTGTTAAAGTTTCTGAGGTGGAAAATTTCGTTTATTGTTTCTCTCCCAGCCCTACCCGGCCACGCCTCCTGTTATATGCTTCCTGCAAGCAATTTTCCGACTCCTCTGCGTGGGGGAAAGTTTTTCAATTTTCAATTGGCTGGCAGCGGGAGTCAACAAGCCAGAAGTTGGCTTCTGGCATAAATAATAATGATAGTAGACATGTGGCCATATCAGGCAATTTTCTCGAAACTTTCTCAATTTCATTCCCTCTCCCTGCAGGTCTGGTTCCAGAACCGGAGGGCCAAGTGGCGCAAGGCCGAGAGGCTAAAGGACGAGCAGCGCAAGCGAGAAAATGGGGAGAGCTCCAGCTCCCTGGATAAGGTAAGGAGATCCTCAAATGTCCACCTTAAAGCATTCACCTCATTCCTTTTTTTAATATCCTTGCAGCTTCACGACTCTCGGGAATCCTCGCCAGACATCACGGGCGAAATAGACGACGACATGGATGACCTGCCACCCCGCCAGCGATCCCACAGTCCTCTGCCCAATGGAGGCCTGGAACAACAGCATTCCCTTTCCCACTCTCGCAGTCCTGGCGGTGGCATGCATCTGGACTCCAGCGACAACGAGCGGCCCCTGTCGTCCAATCAGCTGACCGCCACGCCCCACTCCGCCTCTCAATCGCTGGGCTCCATTAGTGCCGGCTCGCCCTCGCCTTCAGGATTGAGGGATCGCAGTACGCCCATGGCTGGGGGTGGTGGTGTCGGACCCAGTAGTCCCTCGAACTCCCGTAATACAGATTCCCCCATCGAAGTGGGTGGCCCCATGTCCCTGACCACGGGCTCCAGGATGACCGGAGGTCCTTCCTCCAACAACTCGGCCTCGTCCACGCCCACACCCACAACACCGCACGCCCCCCAGCTGCCCCACACCTCGGCAGCGGCGGCCGCCGCCTTTGGAAGCCATATTTTCGGAAACTTTGGAGCCGGCAGCAGTGCCTCTGATAGGTGAGTCCAGAAATCAATCTCCACAAGGGGGAAATCTCTATAAATAATACATCTACTTGGCGAATCCCCCTAACATATGCCAGAGACAATGGCGCGAGTGATTAGATACTGAGCACGTGTCTGCCATATCAATGATGCCCAAAGTATAATTAGCGGGGGGTCAAAGTTTTGCGATTTCTTTTCGGGAGATCAAGAGCCAGGGAAACAAGGGTAGAGATTGCTCCCTTAATGTTTCCGCTGGCGCACACGACATCCGGTGACCGGAAGTGCGCCAATGGAATTTAAACGTTTTCCATCCAAAACATTAAGTAGAACGCCTTCCGCTGGGCACGCCTGTTCAATAACCCGTGAGTCGAGAAAAGACCGGCGAATAAAAGAAATGGAGAAAAGAGAATTGCGAATTGAGAGAAAAACACCGCAGGAGTCAAAAAGGAAAAGTACACAGAGAGAAATAAGAGAAATAGTTGCTATAATAGCGATAGGAGTAGTCTCTTCTTGAGACAGAGATTGGAGATCTTCTTGAGAACTAATGATATCTTAGTCTTTTTCTCGAAGAGAAAACAGTAGTTTAGTTTTCCCCCTATTTTCTCAAGAGTTACCATTATTTTTTCTTCGTGTAGTCCAGGGAAAAATACTGGAAAGAAAGTCAAGAATCGCCTTGACCATCCAGCCAAGCATCTAATGACATTACGACTCTCATTGCGGTCATTGTCTGGCTAGAGTTCCGCCAGCTCTTCGTTTCGGGCCCATCCTCCCCCTACAATCAATTGCTAATTTAGTCATCGTCACCAAAAAACCATGAAAGAGAAAGCAATAGCCAAGAACGAAAGAGACAGCTGTATGGGTACTGCCCACTTAGGGGTGAAATTTTGTCGCAATTTTGCTTTGTAGGATAAATATTTGTTCGGGAATCCTGCTACCAGGGGTGGCTGGTCCTCGACCAGCAACATTTTTTTTTTCTGGCAGTTGTTTTTGTCGCTGCTTGATGACAAAATGCGACACTTGCCATAAATTTTATTGTTTGTTTGTCTAATTCCTTTGTAAGTGGAAGCTTAATGACACGCAGGCAATTAGCAGATCGTGGGGTTTATAATCGTTTCGAATGGGTAAGGGGGTGGGATGTGAAGTATCCTTTTGCTGACAAGGATATTTATCCCCTGGAGGGGTGTAGCTGCTTGAAAACTATAGTAGCAGGATTAATAATTGGCTTAAGGACTAATGAACTTTGATATTTCACTTAATATTCGAGATATTCAATTCATATTTCTTTATAGATATGGTGGGTAGTCCTTCTAAATGGAAATTGTATTAGTTTTTGGGAGAAGAACCACCACCTTCTCAAAGCAAGTCTTATGAAAACACTTAGATATGAGTGCATTATTTTCAGATACCTTATCAGATTCCCGGCTTTCCTTTCATTATCTATTCATAATGGATATTAACTCCGTTTCCTTTCGCTTTTAGCTACTGAAATCATAAATTCAAAAATGCCTGGCCACAAGACCATAAAAAGCTACTTCAAAATTAAATTGGGCGTAAACGAGGGTGTTTTATTTTGGGTGCATATGCCACGAGGCTCACAAAAGGCGCTGGCTGGTACATTTCGTTTTGTTATTTTTGATTTTTTTTTTTGTCCTATTCACAAGTATATAAGACCTCCTGCCCCTGTAATTGTGCCCTTTATCGGTGGGCGGTCTCATCAGACGGCAAAGAGGCCACGGGCGGGCCAACACAAAAAAAAACTGGAATAGATTCTTGGCTCACATGTCAACGCGCTGGAACAACAAACATTACACCACAATCACAAAAAAATGAACAGGATCCGGTTGAGACATAATGGTACGGATTCCGGACAAGGACCAAGGACATCCCACTGGGCAGGGGCACGCGTTTGTTCAGCATCTGTGTGCTGAATCATTGGGAATATTCCGCCGCCCCTCTCGATTCTCGATTGAGGGGCCATCCCGCTGTTTTTGCTGTTGTAACGGTTGACCAAATCAATTCCGAGCTTCGAGCACTCAGAATTCGTGATATCTCGCCTGTGATATTGTTATTCAAATGTCCTCGAACCGGATGTCCTTGCCATCCATCAGCCAATCTAAGCATTTCGATCGCAACTGAAGCGTTTCATCGCAAAAACATTTATCATTGCATTAGTCAGGCACTCTGTTCTGAGATTTCCCAAAGATACTCTCCAACCATATTGACTTTTTCGCTTCGCTCTGGAATATTTTATGCAAATGCCAAAAAACTAAATAAATAATTATGGGGCACTAATCGGCACTTGGCTCAGTTTCAGTCTCCTTGCCTCAGCAAGGTTAACGTAAATGACGTAAGAAATGATTCCCGAGATTGCAAAACTTTCATTGCCAAACAGGTTTGGTTTTAGTCGCTTTAAGAAAAAAAAAACAATGCAAATTATACAAAATTATACAAATTATGCAAGGGAGTAAAGTACTCGCTTAAGTGCAGTTTTTTATGGCAAGCTGTAATACCGAAAGAGCGACTCAGTACTTCATATAATCGTAGCTTATAGTATGTGTGGTTTCTCAGACTTAAGCTTTCAAACTGAAATAGGAATCATTGTAAATTTTCATAGAATTTCTCTTAGTTTTTAATAGAAGAAGGTCCTTGTGAAGATGTCATAACTTCTATCTCAGATTAGCTAAAAGGAATACAATCCTTAAGCATATGTACATTATACCTTGTCATATGATACATCCTAATATGACTTATTATATTCCTATATCAACATCATATATATTATAATCCCTTCCAACTTTATCCAAAAATTACCCTGATATAACTTTTCAGCTAAAATGGTAATTGAATGCCCAACATCAGCATCAAATCTGACTGGCGCGCATCTACCAGATACTTTATGCACAAATAACTAAATATGTATTACAGTACCGGGAAATTGCCCCGAAAATACCTAAACATAATTGGCATACTACATAGAAATCACCCAAAATTATATACATATATGTGCGTGGGTGGGGTGTACACCCTCGTACACCTGTGATTCGGGAGTGTGTGCGGGCTTGGGGATACTTTAGCCCGCTTATGTTGGCGCGCACGAATGCGAATGCTTGAATAATAAATTAAGCAAATATTTTAATATTCATCATGCAATTAAAATAAGCTGCCGCCGCATTTCGCTCCCAAACTCCCACTCTCGCTGGCAAAACTTTTCGGGTTGCCTAATATAATAAGCATTATGTGGAGCGAATGCCGACTCCCCCGGATGGGTGGTGGGCGGGTTTGCCCAAAAAGTTTTCGGGGAACTCGAAAAAAAAAAATTACATTTTGCGGAAATTGAGTTTGACTTGCGGTGGAGATGCCGGCAAGCTAAGCCTGGGTAGGTGTTGATTGCTTGAGTTTAATTTGTTAGAATTGCGTAAAGCATTAAAATGTTTGCCCGACTAATTACCCCCGCCTACGTGAGATAAGGGGCGTGCCACACATCCCCCCGTATATGGCAATGTCATGGAAACTTTATCCTTCAGTCTCCATCCTGTATATGCAATCTGAGAAAAGTGCGAAAATTTTAAGAAAAACTTTTGTAGAAACTCAAGGTAGAAACTGTGAACCGAAGCTCTGAAGATTGACATTGACAGACATGGCCTGTCTTGCTTCTCTTTCTTGTAGTCTTTTCCTCTCTTTCTAGCCTGCCTAGAGGAAAAGTTATATACTAACTAACGAGCTCAACGACAACACTCGAGCTTGTGAATGTCTTAATTAGAAGGATGCGTTCGAGGCAGAAGAGGAGGTTTGAAGGGGCAGGTATGAGTAGGGTATGGGTATGAGTATAGCAATTAAGGCGGCGGCATTTGAGTGGGCGTGGGACACGATACCGCCCATTTTTCTCAGGCCTTAACTGAAAGAAATACCTAATTTTTGATTTTATAAATAAATCTGTAATATATAGATCTTAAAATAATATTCAATTAATTATATTTATAAAAAAATTATTAAATTTTTACAAATTCTTCATAAAATATCTTGCCCAAAGTATAGCTATTTTTCTCAGTGCACTGATGTTGCCTAAAGCCATAAGCATATTTTTGCCAGAGCCCCCAAAACAAGAGGGATAAAGAGAGGGATGGGTTTATAGACCGTGAGGGGACTCTTAGGGGAAAAGGAGGGGTATTAAGAGTGGGTAGCTAGGGGTATATAAAGGGAGGGTGGTTCTAGAACGCAGCCCCAAGCTTTTGGACCCGAGTCCGAGGCATCTGCTGGATGTGCACATGCAAAATTTAATTACGACCAAAGGATGAGTGCTTAATTATACGCAAACATTTAAGTTTACTGCTTTTTTCGCAACTAGCGAGGGGCTAGGAGAGATGGTGAGGGGGTGGTGCAGAGTGGGTTTTGGAGGGTGGTAGTCCTAGTGGTGTTGGTGTCTACAGAGAAGTGTTTGCCATCGTAGCTGCTATTTGAGTTTTCTCATCTCGTTTTTGCCGCTTGGACTTTTGCTTTTTTGGCTCGGAGCTTAATTAGGGGCCATGGGAGAGATTTTTGGGTTTGGATACCCAACTTGGTAGGGGCACTAGCTCTATATTTACAGATAGGCTTATAGAATTATTAGTATTATTTAAAGAGTTTTACTTCCTATAATATTTCTTAGTCGAATATTAAAATCCCTTTAAAGCTAGAAATCTAAAAACTCTTGGAAAAAGTCAACTAACCTTATAGAAAATTCTGTTTTAAGCGGCCGACCGACTTGCTTTCTCCAACTACCCAAAAAAAGTGAAAAATAAATAAAACCAGACCGGGGAAAGCGACAAAACCTCGGAAAAATCACAGCAAATTGTGGGAGGATAAGAGAAAAGCGAAAAAACCATGACAGGCTTAGGAAAACTGGCTGGGGGGATGATACATTTTTTGGGGGGTAGCCAGGGGAAAATAAAAAGTGAAAATCGCGGAGAATTAAAAGCGACAACGGCCGCGACGGTTGTGGTCCTTTTTTCCTGGTAAATGTGGTCGCGAGTGCCAGTCTGCTTGTCCTGCTCCCCAGTCATCCCAGTGCCTAATCCCAGATCCCATCACATTTCATTGCCCAACTCGATTAGCATTCGGCAGGGCCAGCCGGCAGAGATTCGTTTTGGGCCAAGTCCTCTGTCCCTCGGATAAAAATTATTAAATTTTAGACGCAGTCCCCCAGCGGCTTAATGTAAATTTGAACAAATGGAAATTGAATTTTTTCCCTGCACCAACCATGGAAATAAATTCTAGCTCAAGTTTCGCACTTCCAGAGGATAATTAAACACAATTAATTCTCATGAAAAAGTATACATAATAATCTATAATTTTATTAATGGGTATAATCTCCATGTCATAGAAATTGATCAATTCTATGAATTGCTTGGCTCACTTATCAATTAAAATTTTCAAATTGCATTAAGTGTTTTTTATTGGTGTTTGCTCCTCTTTTTTTTGTGTTTTTTTTTTTTGTTTTGTTCCCATTTGCCTTGAAATGAGACTAAGCGTTATATTTCATTCAATTAAAACCATCACAAAAGTGCCAACTGGGTGTTGATTATTCTCGTACCCTCTTCAGTACGTTCACACATACAAAATATTTAGGTTTATTAATAATAATGCAATTACGCATAAAAATGTTTTAATTTATTTCAATTAGGCGTTAATTAAAACTCTGTGTGTTGTTTTTGTTTGCCTTGTGTGTTGTGTGGTGTGTGGCGTTCCTTTTTTTATTAATTTTCATTTTTTGTTTAATGGGCGCGTGGAAGCGAAATGCAAAGCAGTTTAAATGAGTACAGCGAGGGTGGTTTCAAGAGTATTCCTTATAGAATTTGTTTTATTTGTATTATATTAATTTTGATTTATTTTATTTCAGCAATTGCGGCTTCCGTCCGGTGCTCAGCGAACAGAGCGCTGTGGCAGCTGCGGCGGCGGCAGCGGCCGCCCAGCGCAGCGCCAATCATCCACCGCTCTTCCTGCCGCCCCACCTGGCCGCCCAGTTCACCCATCAACCCCTCTTCCCCGGCCTGAAAGGTAAGACCAGAACTAATCAATCAAAAATCTAATCAAATTATAAAAATATCAGAAATCACTCATAGGATCAGCCTTCAAATCAGTTAACTATAAGTCATTTTTGGAAACTGATTTAAAATTGATTAAAAAGCAAGCTCTTACGATTTAATTTTTTAACTTTATTCCAGGTGTTTCCCCCTTCCAGAGCCTGTGCTCCTGCTGCTCCCTGAAACCACCTCCACCGCCACCCACCTCCTCGGTGGTGGCGCCACTTAGTGTCCCCGTGAGCAGCAGCTCGGCGGCCAGCTCGCCTGAGTCTCCCAAGTCCTCTGGCCAAAATTCTGGACATGATCCTCGCTCCAACTCGGTGGCCGAGCTGCGCCGCAAGGCCCAGGAACATTCGGCAGCGCTGCTGCAGTCTCTTCATGCGGCGGCGGCCGCAGGCTTGGCCTTCCCGGGCCTCCACTTGCCGCCCCTATCCTTCGCCCATCACCCGGCCTTGGGACAGCATGTGAATCACAATAACAACAACACCCTCAGGATGAAACACGAAGCGCAGGACATGACAATGAATGGCTTGGGCACGGTGACAGGATCCGGATCAATGCCAGGAGCTGCCTCGTCGGCAGCACTTCTGGACCTTGCCGAGTCGGCGGTGGCATATCAGCAACAACAGCAGCAATCCCAACAGCAACATGCAACACTTTCGCCCCCTACCACGCCCACTCAACAAGCCGTGGGCGTGGGAGCCACTGAAGGATCCCCAGGACTGGGAGCCGGTCCTGGCGGAAACTCGAGCAATTCTTTTAACGCAAATGCGGTGCTAACCAAAAGCGAATAAATTGGAGATGAATAATTGTGCAATTTAAGAATAAGTCAGGCCACTTTGCAGATTTTGTTTGATTTTAAATAATTAAAATATAACTTTTAAATTACAGTGTAAATGCCTTGAATAATTTCATCAAAACTTTTCATCAAAATCTGAAAAAAGGAGCCTGTTACAAAAATTTAAAGAATTTTAAAATAAAACTAAAGTAAGCTTAGCACTAGTTTACGTTTATGTTAATCAAAAAACCAAAATATACATATATACATGCAAAAAATAATTAATAATACAAAAAATATAATAACACTTTATAAATATATAAACAAGCACTTAAAACTTTATAAATATATTAGAAGAATAGGTAGAAATTTGCTGTTTGTTGAACAAATGAATCAAATAGAGGTTTTCTTGAAGAGATAACCTTTGATCTAATACGACATCATTGGCCACAGCAGCAGACGTTCAAATGATTACCAATATCAATTAACAAGCATATGCGTATGAACACTATATATAAAAAAAAATAACAAAAACTATATATATTTCAATAAAAATCACTATAAAATAAATATGTAAAACACTAACAATTATAGAGTTAGCTAACAAATCATACAGAACAGATACATAGCCTAGCCTAATCACACAGAATCGGACACTAATTAACGTAAGCGTCAAACCAATATTAATTAAAGTTAAACAAGTTTATGACTAAAAAAAATAAAGATGAACATATTAGGATAAAAACATCATTCGTTTTGGGAATTTGTTAAACTTTTCAGAGATATTCTTCAGCAAAAATGTAAATAGTCGACACGGGAATATGAAATTATTGATGAACTTTATTTATTAAAATTTACAAATAATTCATTGGTAAGTAGTTTCCATCATGTTCTCAAATTTTGCAGGCCTGTTCACAAGCCCGTTTGTTCTCGAAATTATTTTTATTTCCTTCGCAGCCGGTATAATAAAATTGAATACACTCATTGGCTGAAGGGCGATAAGTCCACTTTTGAACTCGTGATTTGCATGAACCCATTGAACCAAACTCCTCGCCGCAGATCGCTTTAATGAAACAAAATTATAAGTACAAAAAAATTAATAAAAGTTTAGAGAAGTTGAAGAATAGTTCTTACGATTCTTAAGATTGGCCAAAGCCACTCCCAAAAGGCAGAAAAGCACCACGAGCACAGAAAGGAATTTCATATTGAATTCGAGCACGACTTTTCAAATAGAACTGAACACCGATAGAGGGGCTGGGACTATTTTATAGGCTCAAGTCAACTGGCTTATCAACCATCTAGGGTCAAGGTAGCAAACTTTTGCAAAAAAAAAACCTTGAAAAAGCCAGATCTTATGTACATTTAAAATAACAAAAACTTTATTCACATAACACTTTAGTTTCAAATTACAAAATTTGAGGTTTGCAGTTCTTTTCACAATCTTCCTGGTTATCAAATCTATTGTTCGATCCTTGGCAGCCATTGTAATTGAATGGTTCGCATTTCCCAGTTGCTTGATTATAAGACCAAGAGGGAATTAGTCCACGACAGGGTCCTCCTCTAACTGCAAACTCCTCTGCACAAATGGCTGAAAATGAATATAAAATATTATTATACAAATGATTTGCATTATTTTTTTGGAAATATAAAGAAAGTATTTTTAGGTAAAAAGTAAAACAGATTACTAACGGTTCTTTCTCTGGGCCAGAGTAGTGCCCAAAAAGCACAAGACCATCACAAAAACAGCAAAGTACTTCATTATTCTTTAATTTTTTATTATTGGTTTTTAGAGAGATATCGACTTTGACTGGCGATGTAAGACTGAGCAGCGATTGGAGAGGCTGCAGTCATTTTATAGCCCCAAACCGGATCGGATCGCTTATCAACCGATGAGGGTCAATATTTTGTCGAGTATACGAGCTGTGACAACAACAAAACACCTTGAAATTATAGTGAGATTTATTTTATTTATTTATTCTTTTTTTTACGAAACAAGCTTGCCGGCTGTTTGTTTTGGTTTTCAGACTAAAGCTTTGTTTTGTATTTAAGTGAGGGTTTTACCCCAGTCGGCAAAAATTGTTGTTTTCTTTTTTTATTTAGTCCTTGCAGGCTTTCTCGCATTCGTTTTTGGAGGAGAACTGATTGGAATTTCCACCGCAGCCACCGTAAATGAATTCGGAACATGAATTCTTGGAGGCATCGTAGGTCCAGGTGGGCATGAAGGCCATGCAGGCGGCCGAATCCTGGGGCATGCCATCCATGGAAGGTTGCTGATTGCACATCTCTAAAGCCACTGAGTTCAATAAACAATATTTAATTATTGAATACATAAGACTCACCAGGCTTGGCCTGAACTAAAAGTCGAGTGCCGAGGAGACTCAGCATTATTGTAATCACCGCTACACCCAGAAACTTCATTTTTGCTCAAACTCTGAAGTAAACTATATTCCAGACCCAGATCGAAGCCTTATAAAGCCATGTACATATAGCAGAAGATGAAAAAAGGAACCAGAAGAATCTGGAGCTTATCGGGGATGTCATTAGAGCCTGAAGTCTATATAGCAGAAAGTTTGCCGATAACGGGAGGCGGGTATTTGTATATACATATATGTATATTTTATACAAGGCGGGTATTTGTATATACATATATGTATATTTTATACAAATGTGACCCAATGCTGAAATCTAAGCTAATAAAAATTAAAAATACAATTTTAGAAGAGACGAGAATGAAACCCCAGCTGCTATTGCATAATCTAATACATTGCTTTCTTTCGTTTAGAATAATTCCACTGAAATATAATATGTAAATACTGAGTTATATAATTTTATAAATTTTGTTTGATATTGTTCAGAAAATAAACCGCAAATTAAAAACTCAAATTTAAATACGAGCTCAAATAACTCTCTTGTTATTTTATTTTTAATAAAAGCCAATACAAAATGTATATTTATTATTTTGCTTGTTTATGTAGGTTTAGTTATATTTTTTATTCCAAACACTTTTCCTCACAAGCTTGTTTGGTGTCAAAACGATTGTCATTGCCTCGGCAACCTCCGTAAATGAATTTAATGCATTCATTGCTGGAAGAATTATAGGTCCAGCTGGGAATGTAGGCTTCACAGGAGATTAAGTCACCGTTTCGGGAATGGGGTAACCCGCATATTTCTATTGATTTTAAATAAATAAATTAATTAATATTTTTGTCATGTTTCAAGTGGGACAAACCATATAACAAACCATTTTTAAGGGCCAAAGAAGTACCCAGAAGAGCAAAAATTGCGGCCAAAAAGATCAACACCTTCATAATAAAATTAATATTTATGTTCTTTCAGCTAGCTAGAAAAAATATAAACTAAAGTTAAAGCCGTCAGGGCAGCGATATTTAAAGCGAAAAACTTGCATTGTTGGAAGAGCAACAGGGAACTGTTCGGGGATTTTTATAATGACGCAGTACCCGACTCACCGACCGTAATAATTTTGTATCATTTAATCAAAAACACAGATTATATAGTTGTATATTATTTTATTTTATTCCAAACATTTTTGCTCACATGCATCTTTAGAGCCAAATCGGTTTTCGTTTCCTCCACAGCCTCCGTAAATAAAATAGACACATTCGTTTTTGGCAGAATCATACGAATAGCTTGGAAAATAAGCCTCACAGGAAATGTTACCATCGCCATTCTTAGAATGAAGTTGACCACAGATCCCTAAAAATATTTTTTTTTTAATTTTAAGCTAAAAACATAAAAATATTAAACAAACCATCTTTCAAAGCACAAGAAATCTTTAAAACGGCCGCAAGCACCGCGAAAAATATGTAAAGTTTCATATTGAAATATTATTTTGAACTTAAAGCTTCAAGTTGGAAAATAAACTAACATTAATATAGAAAATTTCGGCATTTATAGGCTCTCAGCTTATCTTCAAGTCCGTGAAAAATTAGGTCATGATGTTAAACATTTTTTTGTTTCCGTTGAGAAACTTACAAGATTACAAGAGTTCCGGTTTAATTTTAACAAAAAAGCTAAACAACAAACTTAGATTTTTTGTGTTAATTTATTTAAGAATTTATTTAATCAGCTTAAATCTAAATTAATCCAAACATTGAGCTTCACAGTCTTCCCGGGTCAAGAAGCGATTGTCATTTCCCTTGCAGCCTCCGTAGACGAACCTGACGCATTCGTTTCTATTGGAATCATACGAATAGCTAGGTATATAAGCCGTACAGGCAATCATTTCCCCATTTTTGGAGTGGGGAAGATCACAAATAGCTACAAATTCAGAGAAATAAATACGCGTTAGGTTAAATAAACAATTACTTGTGAAGCAAACAGACCATTTTTCGCATCTATCGAGATAGTCGCAAAAGCAGCAAAAACTACGAGCAAGATCAACAGCTTCATGGTGCAAATTATTCTAAACCTCAGCGGGCAAATGACAAAAGTAAACTAAGCCTAGCCCACCTGGGAGGGTGATTTTATAGACATCCATATGAATAGGCTTGCTGCTTTTCGCCGAACTTATTGACTTTAATAACCAACTTTAAAATTTGCTGGGAAATCTCCACAAATTTAACGCCGATTTATGTAAATACTTTTTTTAATGCCGGTGTCCCATTCAAATGTCTGTTTACTTCGTCAGCTTGTTTGCACTCGACCTGTTCCCAGAACCGAGCAGAGAGTCTATATGTTTTTGTTTACCAGTCGGCCGGAAAGGGAAAGCCCCTCCATGTGTAGTACCCCACACATTATAATTATTATATACCGATGTATTCGTATTTCAGAAACAATGAGCCCGACAAACAAAGCGTGTCAAAAGGTGTTGAAACTATGGATTGTTTATGGATAGATTCTCCATCGATAAGGAGGGCAAAACCACCCAGACTAATTACTCAATAACAAAAACATTGTAACGATATTGTCATTTCATTTCACTTCTAAAGTGACTCATTGGAAACGTCATTGGGCTGTTGTAATGGCTTTCGAAGTCAGGGCTTACATTTTAGCTTTGAATTATGCCTCAACAGATATATCATCCACAAAATCAATCAATTTGAAATCAATGTGTTATCTATTTATTCTGTGAGCGTTTTCTATGCAAATTCTATTACTTATTTCAGAGAAGATCATTTCTAAAGCACTTTTAATTACAACCTGTCATAGTATATCATTTACTAGCTTTTTCTTCAAACCCATTATCTTTAATGACAGACTATTTCATTTAGCCATTAAATTACAAAGTCTAATGGCTTTTAAATCACATTGATTTAATTGAAGTCTTTTTTCGATATAAGAGAAATTTAACAAATATAAAAGGGCAAAAATATTTTGGCATACGTAATAATATTTGTTTAAAAGCTTAAACCATATACTTGCTCAGATAATTGTATATGTATTCAAAATGCTATGCCAATTTATTGAAAATGTATAAATAACAAGAAAGGAAAGCTAACTTCGGGCGGAGCCGAAGTGTATATACCCTTGCAGTTAAAACCAGATATATATCGCAAACATCGGATATAGTTGGCCACTCCTTATGGGAATATGAATATATAATCCAATTTATTACAATACAAAATCTAAAAAAAGTCCCAAACTTCTATCTTCAAACATACCAAAGTTGGTATTTCTACCAAAAACCATTTCCGATCGTTCAGTTATATGGCAGCTATAAGATATAGTCGGCCAATCGTTATGAAATTCGGTAGGTCGGATAAACTGACCAAAAATATAATCTGTACCAAGTTCCAGCTTTCTATCTTAAAAAACACGAAAGTTGGGTCATTTCCGATCGTTCAGTTATATGGCAGCTATAGGATATAGTCTGCCGACCCTTACGAAATTTGGCATGTCGTATTATTTTGCCAAAAATATAAGAAATGTGAAATTTGAACTCTCTAACTCTAAAAACACCGAAGTTATACCATTTCCGATCAATCAGTTATATGGCAGCTATAGGATATAGTCGGCCGATCCGGGCCGTTCCGACTTATATACTGCGTGCAAAGGAAAGAAGGGTGTGTGCAAAGTTTCAAGACGATAGCTTTAAAACTGAGAGACTAGTTCGCGTAGAAACAGACAGACGGACAGACGGACAGACAGACAGACGGACAGACGGACAGACGGACAGACGGACATGCTCATATCAACTCAGGAGATGATCCTGATCAAGAATATATATACTTTATAGGGTCGGAGATGACTCCTTCACTGCGTTGCACACATTTGGACAAAATTATAATACCCTCTGCAAGGGTATAAAAATACTTTCAAAAACTCACTTATCACTAAAATTCATAGTATTTTGAAACCAGATTAAACCCAATAATTTAAGGTTTCAATCAATTTCTTTTTCACAACCTAAAAATAAAAACTTTTTATAATTTGACTTTAAATAATATTTGTAAATAGAAGTATCGAATAGAAGAAACTTTGTCCACTATTGCTGTTGAACTCCTAAGAACTTTTCAACTCATTCTCACTATGAGTCTCTTAATTATCAAATTTTTTGTAAGAATTTAAATTCACAAGCTTTGCTGATAACGTTTTGCATTCTTTAATTTTATTTTAAATTTTTAATCACATAATGGGTAATGGTTATTTCGGATAATCGTTTATTCCTTGCACTTGGACTCGCAAGCCTCCTTTGCAAAGAACCTATTGTTGTTGCCACCGCATCCGCCATAAATAAAGTCCTTGCAGGAGTTCTCCTCCGGATAGTAACTGAAACTGGGAACATAGCCGGCGCACTTGATAAGACCATTGCCATCGGAAGCAGGCGGCAGACCACAGTCAGCTAAAGGATAAAGGACTTTTATTAGAATTTGTAGGACTATTTTAGGCAGACTATAAAACTTACGATGCTTAAGTGCCAGGCTAAGGCCCAAAAGGGCGAACATAAGACAGACGACAGCGATGAACTTCATAGTGACGACTTTGAAAATTAAATCTTTTCCAGCTTCTGTGAAACAACTAATGCCAAGCGAAGGTCTGACACCGGATTATATACGATCCGACTGTACCCAGCAGAGCTTATCGATTTGCTCATGAACTTGTAGTTCAAGTTAGCAAGTACTCGTGAAATTATTAATCAAACAGCATAGCCATTGAGTGCGAATCAAGTATGTGTGTTTGTATTTGAGATGAAATCGGGGATCATAAATAGAACTAAACACTACAAACATATATGCCTAAAAAAAACAAACTTAATTAAAATTAGGCACTGGTGCTTGTTTCGGTTGTCACATCGGCACTTGACTCTGTAGTGGTGTCCGACGGCTGCTGGGGCTTGGCCCCCGATCGACCCAGACAGGCCTCTTCGCACTGCTCCTTGGACTCGAAGTTGTTCTTGTTTCCGGCACAGCCGCCATAGACGAACTCCTCACACGCCTTGGTATCCACATTGTAGGCGAAGCGATAGAACAAGGCGAAGCAACGTCCTGTCTCCTTGGGCTGGTGACAGTCCTCTGGCACTACGAAGTCCTGCTTTGGCTCCTCCGCTGGCTGGACTGCAGCGGGCACTGGATCCTCTGCCTTCTCGACCACCACATCCGAGGGGGCTGACTGGATGGCGACCGCAAACAGGAGGACCGCGATCACCGTATAATTGAAACTATATTTGGAGTACATTTCGATTCCGAGGAGTGGCTGCGAATGATGTTGGTGTCATGGAATAGCGAGGCTTAAATACCCAATCCCTCACTCTGGTCAGCTCACGTACTCGTTAGCCTTTTTTGTCACAGTTTTAGCCTCTTTTTGTGTACATTTTTTATCTTTATTGGAGCGACAACGTACGTAGTATCTCTCCAGCTCGTATTTGCAAAAGTGATTCGACGTCGCGTGTAAATCACTTCAGTGGCGCTCTCTGACGTCTCTATTCCACCAGTACCAGTGTACCAGTCTACCGGTGCCAACATTTAAGCAACGATCAGAGATCCCATCCAACCTTCGTTATGCAGTTCAACGCACCGCCTGACGCCTTACTCATAATGCTTTGAAACGTCTATAAAATCATAATCCAACTCGTTTCCGCGCAGCCCGTTGTTTTTAGAAACCCAATCACGTTTAGCCATTAACTAAAATTGTATTCAGCGTTTCGTTTTGTTTGTTCTACCAGTTCCGCTTTTAAATCCAAATCGTATCTCCATCAGGTAGGTCAGTAAGCAGAATTATTTTTGATCATCAAATGCCAGTTTTTGGACTGACCAGCACCTGACAAAAATTACTCACTGTATGATATTTGTTTAGTTTAGTTTACTCTTCCAATAATTTAGTTATTTGCAATAAATTGCTAATTCATGGATTCAATTATCTTGAAGTGGAACGGTACCAGTTTATGCTGTTATATTTTTAAGTAAATAATAAACATACTGATAATATTTCTATGAATCATATTGGTAGAAAATTAAAATATTTTACATTATAAATTTTTTATAAATCAATATGAAGTATAAGGAAAATAAAAATCTATAAAATAAGTGCATATTACATGTTCCTTTAAGGCCTTTTTATTGCTTTCTATATATCATATAATATTTAGCAAAACAAATATTAAATTTAATTCATGCATTAAAAGCTGCCAGAGTTTGAAAAATATATAATATACGAATATTCTGAACTACATCTTATTTTATTGATTTAGTTGGAAGACAGGCCTCCTCACAGGTCTGCCGGAATCCCCAGCGATTGTCGTTTCCACGACAGCCTCCGTACTTGAAAGTTTCACAGGCCTTCTTGTCTTTGTTATAGTAGTATCTCTCTAGACTCATGCGGCAAGGACCTGGATCCAAGGGCTGCAGGCATTTGGGATCTGTGGATAAAAACAAGTTTTAGGTATACAAAAGAAAACAGGAAATCTAGTATGAAATATTTATAAAACCGACTTGACTTTCTTCTTCAGAATCAATTAAAAATCAAATCGAATTTATATTTTTTTCAAACCTGGTTGCAATCTCTGTGGCTTTGGGGTTGTTGGAGGTGCTGGCTGATTTCCTGTCGAAATTACAGGCTGAGGCTGAACCACGCTCTTGGGCTTGTTGTTATTGTTATTTGGTGTCGCCACGGCCTGTGTCAGTTGCATAACACCGAGCAGCAAAAGTGCCCCGAAGCACAGAATCTGGGTCAACCTCAATAGCATTTTGTGAACTTATGTGTATTCAAACTGATAACTGAACGTTAATAAAGCCGAGTGAGAACTGAACAAATCAGAAAGTTCTATAATTTGTTTTTGAGCAGATTCTAATTTGAGTGTTAATTAAATCGCTCTTTCCCTATTTTGCTCTCCACAAAGCCAGCTTAAGCTTTGTACTCAAATTTTTACTCAGGCGCTTAATTACCGCATGATACACAAAAAACAAAGTTTTGAAAATAATTCGTAAAATTTTTAAAAGCTAACATATACTAAAATCTAATTAGATTACCTCGTAAATATCCCATATTCGATGTGAGCTATAGTTTCGTAAAACTGCCTAAAATAAACAAAATACTTTACTTAAATGATATATGAAATAAATTTTATTTCAATGTATTTTAATGATTATTTTTTTGTTTTATTCATGGGTTAATTGAGTGAAAATTAAATCACTTTATTTGAGTGCGCATTTTTTTACATTGCGCATACGACAGGCTGGGCCGAGAAGAGATTTAATACTTAAGTACAATCAAATAAACACATGCATATGTACATTTAAAATCTAAATACAAACGAAAATTAATGCAACAAAAACATAAATATATTTTTAGAAACCTTACAGTCCCAAATTTGAATTTCTAATTTTTAGTTTTGGAAAACTGCTTAAGACAGACAGTTCGTGAAAATGAAGCCTGTTGTTCTATTCTCTTTATTATTGGTCATTATTGGCCTTGCTCTGGGATTAAAGGATCGTACGTTTTAAACTTCTTTAACTTGAAATAAATCAAATAAACTTATAAATGTGACATATATTTCAGCTATCTGCGGTCTTCAGCCTGCTAAAGATGGAGATGGTATTTCAAGATGTTTAGCCTATATACCGAGCTTTACCTATCATCCCGAAAGAAACGAATGTTCGGAATTTATTTACGGTGGATGTGATGGCAATGAAAATCGTTTTTCGAACAAAGAAGTTTGTGAGAACAAGTGCAAGGAATAATATTTGATGTAGCTTTATATAAAGGTTAATAAATCAAGTCCTTACAACAAATTTGTTGTAAAAGACTTAGGTTGGTTAGGTTGAGGCGGCGATGAGGGCCGGTTTCTGATCCCCATCCACTTGAGCCGCTAGGGCTCCTTGTGATACCGCACAGGCAAGGATCCTACAAAAGGACCTCTCCCTTCCCACTACTTATGTGCCCAAGGGTGCTCTATCCTTCTTGAAGCGGCTCGCGGTCCCATCCGGCTTTACGGATGAAGGCTACGAGTCTGTGTGGAGCGACCTCCGCGAGGTCTGTAGGGTCTGTAAGTATTGCTGCGCCCAGGAATTTGAGTCGAATGCGCCCCAGCGCAGGGCATTGACACAGGAGGTGTGCGACTGTCTCTTCCTCTTCTTCGTCTCCACAGCTTCTGCAGTAGTCATAATGAGGCACCGCTAGTCTAGCCGCGTGTGCTCCTATTAACCAATGTCCCGTAATGGCCTTGATCGCCAGACTACAGTCCTGCCTATTCAGGGCGATGAGCATCATTGACCTCTTCCTAGATCGGATTGGCCATATCATGCGGGAGTTCCTGCAGTTTTGGAGGTTTCTCCATTTCCGCAGTGCTGCGCGGTCAAAGTGATCCCTGCATTTTAGCCTACACGTAGCTAAGGGGATACCTACTGGTTCCTTCTCCGGTAGGAGAGGATTGGTAGTACCTGCTCTTGCTAGTTCGTCGGCGGCGCAGTTACCCTCGTGGTCCCTATGCCCGGGCACCCATATGAGATGTATGTCATGCTGCTCTGCCATCTCGTTAAGAGATCTGCGACAGTCATTCACTGTCCTGGAGTTGGATGAAAGACCGTCAAGGGCTTTGAGTGCCGCTTGACTGTCTGAGAAGATACAGATTGTGTCCTGATTACCAATAAGTGCTGGGGATTTGAGTGCTTCTCCGATAGCTATTATTTCTGCCTGGAAAACACTACAGTGGTCTGGGAGTCTGAAGGACTCATTTAAACACAGCTGTTCGCAATGGAAACCGCCTCCCACCTGGCCATTTAATTTTGAGCCGTCTGTGTAAATATGGAGGGAACCGGCTGGTCCGGGATTTGTGTGTCCCATTCCTCCCTTGTTGGAATGTAGACCTTGTATTTTCAGGTGGGATTATCGACAGGTACGCAGTAGTCCGTAGACCCCGTTGGCGTGCAGTGGTGTAGATCTAACTTGGTATGTCCGTAGTCAGTCCTTTTCCATGCGCCCGTCTCTCGTAGCCTGATTGCCGATAGCGTGGCCATCTTGACTCCCATTATCTCTACTGGTAAAAGGTCGAGTATGAAGTCTAGTGCGTCCGTAGGAGTGGTACGTAGGCTGCCCGTGATACAGACCTCCGCCATCCTTTGCGTTTTCCTAAGCTTCTCCCTGATTGTGGAGTTGGTGAGAGCGGGCCACCATACCACCACCCCGTAGAAGAGGATGGGTCTTATGACCGCTGTATAAAGCCATCTTACTATTTTTGGTGACATTCCCCATTTAAGACCAATGGCTTTTCTGCAAGTATAGAGCGCGATTGCAGCTTTGTTGGCTCTATCCATAGTGTTTAATTTCCAGTCCAGTTTCCTGTCTAGCGTAATCCCTAGGTACTTGGCGCTATCGCTAAGAGATAGTGTTTCTCCTAATAGTTTTGGAAGCCTTAAGTTTGGTATTTTGTACTTCCTGGTGAAGAGGACGAGCTCTGTTTTGGATGGGTTCACACCTAGTCCATTTCTAGCTGCCCATGTTGAGAGGACCCTAAGTTTATCCGTCATGCGGTCACATAGAGTCTGGGGAAATTTTCCTGAGAAGGCAATTGCTACATCATCCGCGTAAGCGATAACTTTGCAACCACCCCCTTCAAGGGATCGCAGTAGGCTATTAACCGCCACGTTCCAGAGCAGGGGTGAGAGTACGCCTCCTTGCGGGGTGCCTCTTCTGACGTATCTATGAATAGATTCTCCTCCTAGTGACGCCTCAACAGTCCTGTTTACCAGGATCTGCTTAATAAGGCGTACGGATTGGTTATCTATTCCTAGTCCTGTCAGCGCATTGGTTATCGAGCTTGGTAGGATGTTGTTGAACGCACCTTCTATGTCTAGAAAAGCAATGAGTGCGTATTCCTTGTCACTAAGTGCCTTCTCGACAAAAGTAGTGATTTCGTGGAGTGCCGTTTCCGTGGATCGGCCCTTCCTATACGCATGTTGTGATCCTGAGATATCATCTGGGTTTATAGTAAGATTGATATGGAGGCTGATTAGTCTCTCCATTGTCTTCAGAAGGAAGGACGACAGGCTTATTGGTCTGAAGTCCTTGGGGGTGCAGTGAGATGGTTTTCCTGCCTTGGGTATAAATACGACTTTCGTCCGCAACCACCTTTGGGGTACAATGCCCATCCTGAAGATTGCTGAGAAAGCTGTCTTGACCCATGATTTCAGTTTGGGACCGGCTTTAATTAGTTGAGCCGGTACAATGCCATCTGGACCCGGGGATTTGAAGGGCTTGAAGCTATTTATTGCCCAGCTGAGATATCTATCATTCAATAGGTATTCAAGTGGATTGTTGGTGGGTGGGCTATTCCCCTGTGTCTGTATTTCCAGGGTTGCGTCTTCTCGAGAGCATCCCGGGAAATGTGTCTCTATGAGAGCCTCAAGGGTTTCTTTGCTGGACGATGTCCAGTTGCCCTCTGAGGTTTTAATGTATCCTACATTTGGTGCAGTAGTTGCAAGGACCTTCCTGAGTCGAGAGGCCTCTGATGTTTCCTGAATGTTCGTGCAGAACTCGGCCCAGGCATTTCTTTTGCCTTGCGAAGCTCTTTATTATATCGCCTAAGGTCCGCTTTGTACGACTCCCAGGCTGCCTCCGAGTTTGTTTTTCTGGCAAAATTGAAGGCCTTGCGGGCCTTGGTTTTAAAAGGCGCAAGTGTTTGCGACCACCAAGGTGGTTTCTTTGACTTGCTTTTGCCCGATCTGATTTTGGGACAAGCTTTATTGAATGCCCTGGCGCACGCTGCCGTGAGCGTATCCACCATGGAATCCAGGGCTGCCCTACTATCCACATTCCCTGTTGGAGGATTTCCCAAGGAACTATCTAGCTTCTTTCTATATAACTCCCAGTTCGCTTTTCTCGGGTTGCGTACCGTTAGTCGATTAAAGTTCTCGAAATTGACCACTAATTCTATGTATCGGTGGTCTGAGAATGAGTGTTTCTCTAGGACTCCCCATCTAACAATCCTGTCTGCTAGGGATTCAGAGTAAAGAGTGACGTCAAGTACTTCTCTTCTGTTCTTGACTATGAAAGTGGGTTCTGTACCCCTGTTACCCACCAAAAGATTAGAGCCTAGGATAAAATCGAAGATTGACTCACCCCTCTCGTTTGTGTCAGTGCTGCCCCACTGATGATGATGGGCGTTAGCATCACAACCTATGATCAGGTCGATCCTGTGCTTCCTGCTGTCTTCCACCAGCTGTTTGATCAGCGGGTGCGGGGGAAGGTCCTCCTGGTCGTGGCCCATATACGCCGAACATATCCTTAGAGGGCCATTTGGGCTCTCTACGGCTGCGGCTACGTGGTCTTCATTGCTGAAATTGGGTAGCAAAAGAGGTTAAGGTTCTTTTTGCGAGGATGCAGGCTCGCCTTTTACCTGTAGTGTTGGCTTTGCAGAGCCTGAACTCCGACGCCCCCAGCCCAAGAATCCTGTCTCCTAGGATCCAGGGTTCCTGGATGAGGGCCACATCTGCTCCACTCTCGGCGAGGTGGAGAAGGAGGGCAGCTGACGCTGCTTTACTGTGGTGGAGGTTTATTTGTAAGATCGTCAGGGACATCCTTACAAACCTCCACCACAGTTATCTCTGCCTCCGTCTCGAAGCCCAGCAGAGAGTCCTCCATTCCGACACCACCAAGCGCCCTTGCCAAGTCGCTCTCCTCCGAGGTGTACCCTTCTAGAATGTCCTCCTCCTCATCCGACATTTCCTCCGGGTGCCCCTCTTCGGTCGGCTCCTCCAAGTCTGGCTCTTGCGTGTCTGCCTCCAGACCAATACCTCCTGGCTTGGCCTTCGCATCAGATTTATATATACGGACCGAGACATGCTCGAATCCGTATTTAAGCCGGTGCTCCGTCCTCTCCAGGGCTTTTACGGTCTCCTCGTTTAGTGTGAGGACGACCTGCCTCCGCAATCCCACCGCCTCCTCGACCTTGGCGACTCTCCAGTCCGCCGTGGGGAGCGTCGGGTTGCACATCCTAAGCATGGTCAGGATGGTCTTAGGGTCGGCTGGCTTTTCTGTGAGCCACACTCGCGCCCTCGGTTTGCTGGGGATCTCGTCCCAGTCAACCGCCACCAGCTTAGCTCCAGGGTAGACCTCTCCAAGCGATGCAATCATCCGCTTGTAGGTTTCCACCGATCGCGCGTCTTGGCAAGCAATCACCTTGACGCTACCCTGGTACCATCCTGCGTCTTCGCATTCAGGTGGGGGTCCTCCACTTCGCAGCATCTCCTCCACGAAGCGCCCATGCAACTCGTTTACCACTCGTCGCCAGAGTTCCTTGGGGATGAGCCCATCCTTGGAGCCCTTGTCCAGGACTCCAATTAGGGTTCTTCCCTTCGTCACCTCAGCGAACGAGCGGTTGGGCGGCTGCGGCTGGGCCTTCCTCTTCTTGGCCTGGGGGCCTTCTCCCTCTGAGGACCTCTGCCTCTTCGCGCTTTGCGCGGCCTCCTTGGCAGGGTCTGACCCAGTACGTCTCTTCGGATCCAGCCTTTCTCCCGCCTTTTCCGGATTGAAGTCGGGTAGGATTTCCCTTGCCCACTTAATAATCTCGGCCTGGTCCGGGTTGGCTTCGGCCGATGGGTCCGCCCTCATCAGAATGAAGGCTGCTCTTCTTCTGTCCTTGTAGGATCCTTTACGCTGCGTCGAGTGAGACGCTTCCGGACCAGGGTTCGCCTTTGGGGCACCGCCGGTTGGTTTAGAGGTTGACCCTGGGGTCTTCCTCTCCACACCGTTCGGTGGTCCCATAGCTAGCCCCGCTTTGGAAGAAGTTGCCTTGGCAACCTCCACCGCACCGGCGCGTCCCGCCTCCAGATGTTGTCCCTCTGTGGGGGACTTCTCCATCTCAGCAACTCCTTGGCTTTTGAGGGCCTTGAGTTTGACGGGCCGTTGGCCCCATTTCCGGTCTTTTTTAGGGAGTTCCGCTCTCCGCTTTGGTTTTTGTTATTAGGTAAAGTGTTCATATTTGGTCCCACGAGTAGGCGGGAAGGGGTTCGTCCATCATGACATAGCCCGCTTGTCACGATAAGCCTGGTTAAAACTGGGAGGTCGGCCTGTCCCCCAGAGTTCGCATATTAGCGTCCGAGCCCCCCTCGGACACGCATCCTTCGGCATATGCTGTTCCACCTTGGATTGGGGTAATTTAAGGAAGGGAGTGTTCTTCTCCCCGCCCGACTACCATTAGCCAGCATCCTCGGCAGAGACATGACCTTACCGGGACCTGTTACCAGCCGCCCTCACGTGGAGAGTGTAGTCGCACTACCAGCGGTGTACACAGTTACGGCACGCAATTGCTTGCGCGTAGGTCCCCCTGTTGTACCCGTTGGCTGACGGCCAAAAGACTTAAAAAGAGGGTTTTTGGTGCAAGATTCAGGAGGCAAGGTTTGTACAAAAAAAAATTTTGAATAATACAGTTTCTAGAAAGTCAGGAACATTCAAAAGATATTTAAGACACATAGGTAAAGTTTTAAAAAGTAGTTTTTCTTAAGAAATTAAACTAATCTTACTCCTTGTGGTATTTATTTCCCTAACTAAATAAAGGCTCCTTGTCGGGCCGGCTTCAACCACGCATTAAAAAAGGGCGAGACTTTTATATACAGCGGATGTAAGGGCAAATAAAATATTATTGTTTTAAATAAGGATTGAAAGCCACAATGCAATGAATGTGATTTCAAAAATTTTCAAATTTGACTTTTAAAAAATTTTATCCGAAAATAATAAAATTAAAGTTTCTTTTAATATTCCCTAGTTTTTGGTCAATATGGAAGTATTTCAATAATTTATAATATATTAAACTTTGGAATAAACATTTAGCAGCAGAAGAGGCAGTCCACGTTATAGCAGATTTTCGGGCCGCAGAGCAGAACCTTTATGCAAGCTAAGTAGAACAGCGTATACTTTAGGAGTACCGAGATTAAAAACATTACAGTCGTTAACTGAATAGAAGCGTAAGCCTATTAAATCGGTTAAATAATAAATTAAACAAAAAAAAAACTTTCACATACTGTACTTTAAACATCGCGACCCAGAAAGATTAAAGTTTTCTCAGCTTTTGAACGTTCCTGAGACAATAAGATTATGAAGGTAAGGTTATTAAGGTAAGTCTTTTTGGTTTTCTTTATGAATGTAAATACCTAGTTTCCCTATTTTATCAAATTAATACACTTATGGATTACCTAGTTCAAAATTCTACCATCTCGAAAAGTGTTCAGCCTCTTTTGAATGGGTTTCATGGGTTAAGAGGGTTGGCTTGAAAATTTAAAGAGATAAATATAATAAAAAAATAAAATAAAACACACGAGTAACAGGGTACGATTAAGTCTATTTTCTGGTCACAGAGCAGAACCTTCCTGGATCTTAAAGAGTACGCCGCATACTTTAGGAGCACCAAGTATCAAAGATTTTATCTGTAACCGATACCGATAACCGTATCGGTAACCGTACTGTTACAGTTGCGTAACCGTAATAATCCAATCAGAAATTGACTTCCAAAGCCAAACTGTACAAAACCTTATAATCCCAAAGTTTGAATTTATAATTTTTAGTTTTGGAAAACTGCTTAAGACAGACTGTTCGTGAAAATGAAGCCTGTTGTTCTATTATTTTTATTATTGGTCATTGTTGGCCTTGCTCTGGGATTAAAGGATCGTAAGTGTTAAATTTCATGAACTTGAAATAAATCAAATAAACTTATAAATGTAACATATATTTCAGCCATCTGCGGTCTTCAGCCTGCTAAAGAAGGATTCTGTTTAGCCAATAAGCCGAGCTTTACCTATTATCCCGACAGAAACGAATGTTCGAAATTTGTTTACGGTGGGTGTAACGGCAATGAAAATCGTTTTTCAAACAAAGAACTTTGTGAGAACAAGTGCAAGGAATAACATTTGATGTAGCTTACAAATAAAGGTTAATAAATCAAGTCCTTAAAAATATGTTGTAAATATTTTAAAAAGAGAGTTTTTTGTTCAAGACTTAGGAGGCAAGATTTGTTCAAAACAAACCTTTAACTCAAAACTTTACATGGCAATAACTCAGATTTTCTTGACTTTTTGTTTATTCGTTAAATAAGTGAAAATAAAAAATACACTTATTATTATTTTTTTTTTAAACTTTGGTTTTTTCTTTTTATTTTTTTACAAAAAGCGATTTATTTTAACTAAGCGAAATTGTTGATTTATTCGTATTGTAATGCAAAAACACAAAAACTCAACAATATACAACTAAATATAATATTTACCTATTTATAAATATAAATTGAATCAGTTGAATACAATTTTTTTTTTTTTTTTATATTTTGGGTGAGAAACTGCACAACCATTTCAGATAACCACATTCACCTAATTGGCGTGAAAAGTAAGTAACAGGGTACGATTAAGTCTATTTTCTGGTCACAGAGCAGAACCTTCCTGGATCTTAAAGAGTACGCCTCATACCTTAGGAGCACCAAGTATCAAAGATTTCATCCGTAACCGATACCGATAACCGTATCGGTAATCGTACGGTTACAGTTGCGTAACCGTAACATTTCAATCAAAAATTGACTTCCAAAGCCAAACTGTACAAAACCTTATAGTCCCAAATTTGAATTTATAATTTTTAGTTTTGGAAAACTGCTCAAGACAGACCGTTCGTAAAAATGAAGCCTTTTGTTCTATTCTTTTTATTATTGGTCATTATTGGCCTTGCTCTGGGATTAAAGGATCGTACGTTTTAAACTTCTTTAACTTGAAATAAATCAAATAAACTTATAAATGTGACATATATTTCAGCTATCTGCGGTCTTCAGCCTGGTATTTCAGATGTTATTTCAAGATGTTCAGCCTATATACCGAGCTTTACCTATCATCCCGAAAGAAACGAATGTTCGGAATTTTTTTACGGTGGGTGTGACGGCAATGAAAATCGTTTTCCAAACAAAGAACTTTGTGAGAAAAAGTGCAAGGAATAATATTTGATGTAGCTTACACTTAAAGGGTAATAAATCAAGTCCTTAAAAAAATGTTGTAAATATTTTAAAAAGAGAGTTTTTTGTTCAAGACTCAGGAGGCAAGGTTTGTTCAAAACAAACCTTTAACTCAAAACTTGACATGGCAATAACTCAGATTTTCTTGATTTTTTGTTTGTTCGGTAAATAAGTGAAAATAAAAAATACACTTCTGTTTTATTTTTTTTAAACTTTGGTTTTTTCTTTTTATTTTTGTACAACCAATTCAGATAACCACATTCACCAAATTGGCGGGAAAAGTAAGTAACAGGGTACGATTCAATCTATTTTCTGATCACATAGCAGAACCTTCCCGGATCTTAAAGAGTACGCCTCGTTCTTTAGGAATCTTGATACATACCAAGTATCAAGATTTTACACTCGGATACCGATAACCGTATCGGTAACCGTACGGTTACAGTTCCGTAACCGTAATAATTTAATCAAAAACTGACTTTCAAAGCAAAACTGTACAAAACCTTATAATCCCGAAGTTTGAATTTCTTATTTTTATACCCTTGCAGAGGGTATTATAATTTTGTCCAAGTGTGCAACGCAGTGAAGGAGACATCTCCGACCCTATAAAGTATATATATTCTTGATCAGGATCACCTCCTGAGTTAATATAAGCATGTCCGTCTGTCCGTCGGTCCGTCTGTCCGTCTGTCAGTCTGTTTCTACGCGAACTAGTCTCTCAGTTTTAAAGCTATCGTCTTGAAACTTTGCACACATCTTCTTTCCTTTGCACGCAGTATATAAGTCAGAACGGCCCGGATCGGCCGACTATATCCTATAGCTGCCATATAACTGATTGATCGGAAATGGTATAACTTTGGTGTTTTTAGAGTTAGAGAGTTCAAATTTGACACAAGAGCTGTAAATGTTTAGCAAAACATTACGACATGCCAAATTTCATAAGGATCGGTCGACTATATCCTATAGCTGCCATATAACTGAACGATCGAAAATGACCCAACTTTCGTGTTTTTGAAGATAGAAAGCTGGAATTTAGTACAGATCATATTTTTGGTCTTTTGATCCAACGTACTAAATTTCATTAGGATCGGCCGACTATATCCTATAGCTGCCATATAACTGAACGATTCGAAATAGTATTTGGTAGAAATATCAACTTTCGTATATTTGAAGATAGAAGCTTGGGACTTTTTTATAGATTTTTTGTTTAAGTTAATTGGTTTTATTATGATCTAATCATAAGGATCGGCTAACTGTATCCGATGTTTGCGATATATATTCGGTTTTAACTGCAAGGGTATATCAACTTCGGCTCCGCCCGAAGTTAGCTTTTCTTTCTTGTTAGTTTTGGAAAACTGCTTAAGACAGACAGTTTGTGAAAATGAAGCCTTTTGTTCTATTATTTTTATTATTGGTCATTGTTGGCCTTGCTCTGGGATTAAAGGATCGTAAGTGTTAAACTTCCTTAACTTGAAATAAATCAAGTAAACTCATAAATGTTACTTATATTTCAGCCATCTGCGGTCTTCAGCCTGCCAAAAGTGGAAATGGTTTTACAATGTGTTTAGCCTATATACCGAGCTTTACCTATCATCCCGACAGAAACGAATGTTTGAAATTTATTTACGGTGGGTGTTGGGGCAATGAAAATCGTTTTCTAAACAAAGAACTTTGTGAGAAAAAGTGCAAGGAATAATATTTGATGTAGCGTTCATATAAAGGTTAATCAGATTTTTCAATCAGCTTTTCCTTTGCTTTTTGATTTGCCTAAAGAAATCTCTACTAAGAGTATAATAAACCCTCAATTAGTAAGTGAAAAACACATATTCCCAAATTACATGTGTCGCAAGTGAGCTGAGCGATAAACTGCAAAATTTGCATAATAAATTGTAATGTCAGGGACAGGCTAATATTGTCCGTAGACAGTTAATATTATGTGATGGTATGGCATCTTGTGGGTCTCGGGCTCATTAAAATTGCATTGTGCAAGGATGAGAAAGGTCCTGCAGATGGCTGTCTGAGTGTCACGAGAGGCTGTGGGCAAAAGCGGTAATTAGAGTCACATTAGGGCCAAAATGCCGAGGAACCAAATCAAGATATGGCCGAGAGAGACAACAAACATGATGCCAGGTGTTAATAGGCAGTGCAAATTAAATTATCGCTGATGATACTGCTGATGATGTAACGGTAATGATAATGATGATTTGAGGACTTGATTCCTACGTCAAAGGACTGGTATGAGGGCTCTCAGATAGCCGTGCTATTTATTTATTAGCTCACACATTTCGGGTTCGATTGAACATTGCCTACATGTGAGGTGTTGTGTCGTGTGTTTGGGGCGACAATTCACTTAGCTGTTTAATTTGCTTCAAATAATTGAAACACCATCCAGTTGTTAATTGTCCCTCACTTTTCAGCCACAATTTAATTAATACATAGTTTCTAATAATACAATAATACAAAGTTTCTAGAAAATCAGGGACATTCAAAAGATATTTAAGACATATAGGTACAGTTTTAAAAAGTAGTTTTGCTTAAGAAATGAAACTAATCTTACTCCTTGTGTTATTTATTTCCCTAACTAAATAAAGGAGGATAAGGATCATAAGTCTTGCGATACGATAAACTATAAAAAATAATAACTTTTGATAATATTAATTCGTTATTTATCTAACTCTTTGTGAGATGCCCCCAAAACGAGGTCCTTGTCGGGCCGGCTTCAATAGATATTATTATTACCCCGTTATTATATTAATATATAATAAAATTGTTTTAAATGGGGATTGCAAGACACTATGCAATGAATGTGACTTCCAAAACTTTTAAATATTAATTTAAAAAAATTTTATCCGAAAATTATGAAATTAAAGTTTTTCTTAATTTCCCGTAGCTTTTGGTCAATATGGAAGTATGTTAATAATTTATAATATTGCATGTTGGAAATGCATAGGAACAGAACTTTGGAATAAACATTTAGCAGACGAAGAGGCTAAAAACAAAAATTAATTTTTGTTTAATTCCACCAAACGAGAAACAGGCCATGTTATAGCAGAATAGGAGTACCGAGAATAAAAACATTACAGTCGGTAACTGAATTAAAGCGCAAGCCTAATAACTTGGTTAAATAATAACTTAAACAAAAAAAACTGTTTAGCCAATAAAAACAGCCCAAGTTATAGGAGAATTTCGGGCCACAGGATAGAGCGTTAGCCTAACAAATAGGTTTAATAATAAATTTATTTAAAACAAACTTTTTAATAAATTTTCTTTAAATATCGTGACCCAATTAGATTCAAGCTTATTTTAAAATTTTCTGAGCTCTTGAAAGTTCTTGGAGGATGCTAGCTTATTTTGGTCTTTTATTATTTATCAAATTAATACACGTATATGGTAGAAATTTTACAGTCGGAACACGATAGTTCCGTAAGCGTAATAAATCAGTTACATAAATCAATAAAAAAAACCAAACTGTAGAACAAATTTACTTTAAATATCGTGGTCCAGAAATACCCAAGTTTAGTTGAAACTTTGTTCAGCTTCTTGAAAGCTCTTGAAATAATAAAATAATGAAGGTGCTATTTATTTTGGTATTAGTTTCTGGCTTCATGACCACTGCTTTTAGTCGTTTTGGAAGTAAGAAAATAGTTAATAAAATTTCATCAAAGTAGTACAAATTTTGGAGTAATAAAAACCTCTTTCAGAATTCTACCCTCCCGGAAGGTGTTTGGCATCATCTGAAAAATGCTTGGGAACAATCGAATGGGAGAGAGTTGAAAGAGAAAGAGAGGCTGAAAACCGGAAGAATATAGGTTATCCATCTTAAAAAAGTCCATTAGACAAAAAACAGCCCAAGTTATAGGAGATTTTGGGGCACAACCTAATAAGGACATCTTATATGGTACTTTAGGAGTACCGATTATAAAATCATAACAGTCCGTAACTGGATAGAAGCGTAAGCCTAACAAATTGGTTTAATAATAAATTTATTTAGAACAAACTTTTTATTACATTTTCTTTAAATATCGCGGCCCAATTAGATTCAAGCTTAGTTTAAATTTTTCTGAGTTCTTGAAAGTTCTTGGAGGGTGCTAGTTTTTTTTGGTCTTTTATATTTTATCAAATTAATACACATTTGGATTACCTAATTCAGAATTCTACCCTTCAGGAAAGTGGTTATGCGTTTCTGAAAAATTCATGAGAACTTTTAAGCTTGGGCTAAATATTTGAAAAGATAAAAATATACTGAAACAAAATAGAAAGTATAAATTTTAAAATTCGGTTTTTAGAAACTACACGCCCTTTAAAAAGTAATGCTTTAAGAGTACCGTATACAACCCGTATAGAAATTTTACAGTCGGAATACGATAGTTGCGTAAGCGTAATAAATCAGTTAGAAATTAATAAAAAAAACAAAACTGTAGAAAAAATTTACTTTAAATATCGTGGCCCAGAAATACCCAAGTTTAGTTGAAACTTTGTTCAGCTTCTTGAAAGCTCTTGAAATAATAAAATAATGAAGGTGCTATTCATTTTGGTATTAGTTTCTGGCTTCATGACCACTGCTTTTAGTCGTTTTGGAGGTAAGAAAATAGTTTATAAAATTTCATCAAAGTAGTACAAATTTTGGAGTAATAAAAACCTCTTTCAGAATTCTACCCTCTCGGAAGTTGTTTTGCATCATCTGAACAATGCTTGGGAACAATCGAATGGGAGAGAGCTGAAAGAGAAAGAGAGGCTGAAAACCGGAAGAAGATAGGTTATCCATCTTAAAAAAGTCCATCAGACAAAAAACAGCCCAAGTTATAGGAGATTTTGGGGCCACAACCTAAGAAGGACATCTTCTACTTTAGGAGAACCAATTATAAAATCATAACAGTCCGTAACTGGATAGAAGCGTAAGCCTAACAAATCGGTTTAATAATAAATTTATTTAAAACAAACTTCTTATTACATTTTCTTTAAATATCGCGACCCAATTAGATTCAAGCTTAGTTTAAATTTTTCTGAGTTCTTGAAAGTTCTTGGAGGGTGCTAGTTTTTTTTGGTCTTTTATATTTTATCAAATTAATACACATTTGGATTACCTAATTCAGAATTCTACCCTTCAGGAAAGTGGTTATGCGTTTCTGAAAAATTCATGAGAACTTTTAAGCTTGGGCTAAATATTTGAAAAGATAAAAATATACTGAAACAAAATAGAAAGTATAAATTTTAAAATTCGGTTTTTAGAAACTACACGCCCTTTAAAAAGTAATGCTTTAAGAGTACCGTATACAACCCGTATAGAAATTTTACAGTCGGAATACGATAGTTGCGTAAGCGTAATAAATCAGTTAGAAATTAATAAAAAAAAACAAAACTGTAGAAAAAATTTACTTTAAATATCGTGGCCCAGAAATACCCAAGTTTAGTTGAAACTTTGTTCAGCTTCTTGAAAGCTCTTGAAATAATAAAATAATGAAGGTGCTATTCATTTTGGTATTAGTTTCTGGCTTCATGACCACTGCTTTTAGTCGTTTTGGAGGTAAGAAAATAGTTTATAAAATTTCATCAAAGTAGTACAAATTTTGGAGTAATAAAAACCTCTTTCAGAATTCTACCCTCTCGGAAGTTGTTTTGCATCATCTGAACAATGCTTGGGAACAATCGAATGGGAGAGAGCTGAAAGAGAAAGAGAGGCTGAAAACCGGAAGAAGATAGGTTATCCATCTTAAAAAAGTCCATCAGACAAAAAACAGCCCAAGTTATAGGAGATTTTGGGGCCACAACCTAAGAAGGACATCTTCTACTTTAGGAGTACCGATTATAAAATCATAACAGTCCGTAACTGGATAGAAGCGTAAGCCTAACAAATCGGTTTAATAATAAATTTATTTAAAACAAACTTCTTATTACATTTTCTTTAAATATCGCGACCCAATTAGATTCAAGCTTAGTTAAAATTTTTCTGAGCTCTTGAAAGTTCTTGGAGGTTGCTAGTTTTTATACCCTTGCAGAGGGTATTATAATTTTGGTCAAAAGTGTGCAACGCAGTGAAGGAGACATCTCCGACCCTATAAAGTATATATATTCTTGATCAGGATCACCTCCTGAGTTGATATGAGCATGTCCGTCTGTCCGTCTGTCCGTCTGTCCGTCTGTCTGTCCGTCTGTCTGTCTGTTTCTACGCGAACTAGTCTCTCAGTTTTAAAGCTATCGTCTTGAAACTTTGCACACACCCTTCTTTCCTTTGCACGCAGTATATAAGTCGGAACGGCCCGGATCGGCCGACTATATCCTATAGCTGCCATATAACTGATTGATCGGAAATGGTATAACTTTGGTGTTTTTAGAGTTAGAGAGTTCAAATTTGACAAGAGAGCTACTTTTGGCAAAACATTACGTCATGCCAAATTTCATAAGGATCGGCCGACTATATCCTATAGCTGCCATATAACTGAACGATCGGAAATGACCCAACTTTCGTGTTTTTGAAGATAGAAAGCTGGAATTTAATACAGATTCTATTTTTGGTCAGTTGATCCAACCTATAAAATTTCATTAGGATCGGCCGACTATATCCCATAGCTGCCATATAACTGAACGATCGGAAATGGTTGTTGGTAGAAATATCAACTTTCGTATTTTTGAAGATAGAAGTTTGGGACTTTTTTTAGATTTTGTATTGTAATAAATTCGATTATATATTCCTATTCCCATAAGGATCGGCCAACTATATCCGATGTTTGCGATATATATCCGGTTTTAACTGCAAGGGTATATAAACTTCGGCTCCGCCCGAAGTTAGCTTTCCTTTCTTGTTTTTGGTCTTTTATATTTTATCAAATTAATACACATTTGGATTACCTTATTCAGAATTCTACTCTTCAGGAAAGTGGTTATGCGTTTCTGAAAAATTCATGAGAACAGAACTTTTAAGCTTGGCCTAAACATTTGAAAAGATAAAATATACTGAAACAAAATAGAAAGTATAAATTTTAAAATTCGGTTTTTAGAAACTACACGCCCTTTAAAAAGTAATGCTTTAAGAGTACCGTATACAACCCGTATAGAAATTTTACAGTCGGAATACGATAGTTGCGTAAGCGTAATAAATCAGTTAGAAATTAATAAAAAAGACAAGAAAGCAAAGCAAACTTCGGGCGGAGCCGACGTTTATATACCCTTGCAGTTAAAACCGGATATATATCGCAAACATCGGATATAGTTGGCCGATCCTTATGGGAATAGGAATATATAATCCAATTTATTACAATACAAAATCTAAAAAAAGTCCCAAACTTCTATCTTCAAAAATACGAAAGTTGATATTTCTACCAAATACCATTTACGATCGTTCAGTTATATGGCAGCTATAGGATATAGTCGGCCGATCCTAATGAAATTTGGTAGGTTGGATCAACTGGCCAGAAATAGAATCTGTATTAAGTTTCAGCTTTCTATCTTCAAAAACACGAAAGTTGGGTCATTTCCGATCGTTCAGTTATATGGCAGCTATAAGATATAGTCGGCCGATCCTTATGAAATTTGGCATGTCGTAATGGTTTGCCAAAAATAGCTCTCGTGTCAAATTTAAACTCTCTAACTCTAAAAACACCAAAGTTATACCTTTTCCGATCAACCAGTTATATGGCAGCTATAGGATATAGTCGGCCGATCCGGACCGTTCCGACTTATATACTGCGTGCAAAGGAAAGAAGGGTGCGTGCAAAGTTTCAAGTCGATAGCTTCAAAACTGAGAGACTAGTTTGCGTAGAAACAGACAGACGGACAGACGGTCAGACGGACAGAC